TCAAGAAACGTGAAATGGAAAAGACCAAAATGGAAGACGAAATTGAGGAAACTCAGCAGAATATTTCTACATACAGGAAGGACATTAACGAGCAAAATCGAACCTTAACAGCGTTGAGGAAGGTGATGACTCGTCTGGGTAAAGTGTCGGGACGAGCAGAGGTACTGAGAGATGCAACAGCCATCATGCATGATATAGCAGAGATCGGGTTACCGCTTAAGAGTTTGTTTGACAGTTTTGAAGAGTTTATTACCCAACCAGATCTCTGGAAGAAAGTGCTTTCTCGTCCTGAATTTCTGGCCGTTTGCGATGATGACGATGGAGACTGGTGAATAAAAACAGAAATGATACCCTGACAATGTTGCTAAGACTGTTGTCTCCATCACGTGAAGAGGATAATCAAGTTCTTAAAGTGTTTGCTGATCAGGTTTTGTTTGAGAACGATTGGCAGTGGATTCATGTCGATCAGTGTCAATGTATGTTTGGACACTGACAAATTGTTGAATGAAAACATAAGGGATACCTTCAGTTGATATTTTGCCAAGACTCGTGTCTCCATATCACTTTGAAAGGTACTCGAGTTATTAAAGTGTTTGTTGAAACTTATAACTGTTGAGTGGGTTTTATTGGTGAATGCCTGACACTAGATTTATGTCGCCCGCTTGATCATTAATCATTCCGCTCTCACAAGCAACAGACGAATTTTCCCATTCATGAATAGATTTCGTACTCTATTTTCTGTCTTGAGGATAATCGAGGTTGGAAATATATCAGGCTTTTTTCGCTTTCGAAATCTCCCCTCATCTGCCGTTAAAGCATTCACGACGACACAGCATCCGTTGTACGTCGACCAGAGACCAAGTAACGATACTGTGAGTTGATAATTGAATTGTTTGATAGGCATTACTTAGAAGTTGATGGGTGACAAAGTAGACACAGTTTATGGATAAGTACTAAGAGCCAACGGCAGAAACGCAACTAAACGCCAAGAACCTAAAGATGTAGTTTATAGAATTGACTGCAACTGTGGACAAGCATTGGTGTGGTGCAACTGTGGTGAAACATTCCGCCCCATGAACACCGGAATCAAAGAGCACAAAGCTTCAACCATCAAATCAGATAGTAAATCTGCCATCTCGGACCATATCAGCAACTGCCTCAATCACAACATCAACTGGGACAACGTCTAATTCCTCTCCAACAACCTAAATGATGTCATCAAAAGAAAACTAACTGAAGCAGTCCACATTCGCCGCCACAAGCAACCAATCAACAGAGATCCAGGCTATTTCTTCCTATCCGCCTACTATGAACTCATTGAATAATAATCTCAATACCAATGTAAACCTATCCTGTTGAATTGGCTTCCTGTCTTATTGGCTTCCACCTCGTCTGGTGTCTGTCCATCAAGTTGTTATAGTATGTTATCCTTCTGTTGTCATTACTTGACCTGCTCATGTCAATGCCCGTCATGTCTTCTCTGTCCATCAAGTTGTTATAGTATGTTATCCTTCTGTTGTCATTACTTAACCTGCTCAAGTTATCCTCACTCATGGATGCAATTGTTGTTACTGTTAATCCTTCACCTACTATATATACACCTCGTCATAAATATCGCACCACACATTTTTTTAAGTGAAAGTAGAAAATATAATTTTCGTGTTTTTTAAACTACAAGTACATATTTCATATACTACACCATCTGTGAACATGATATCACCAACACACCCTTTTCCGAGCTGCACGTGCATGCTTGCGTTTAGCATGCTTGAACCGGGGGTCGGTTTGCTAAAAATGATGAATGCACATAGCCTCTTTTGGCGTATGTAATGTTGGCAGACACAGCTAAAATTTGGTTTTAGGCATAAATTAAGCTTTATTTTGGCCAACCAGTGAAATGCCCAAGCGTCCAGTACCTTTGAACCAAAGATGGAAAATTGTTGGTATGCATCAGACTGGTATGTCATGTCATGCTTTTGGAGCACAACTGAATATTAATCACACTGTCATCAGCAGGCTAATATGTAAGCATACTGCTTCTGGACGTCCCAGAAAAACCATTGACAGGGAAGATCGTGCTTAAGTCTACTTGTACACAGCTGCAACATGGATGGCATCCATACAACAAAGTGTCCATCAGCACCATCAGACGACGCCTAAGTTCTGCAGGATTGAGAGCAAGACGACCAATCAGACGTCCACTCCTCACAAATCAGCACAGCCATGCCCGTTTAGCCTGGTGCCAAACACGTGCTCGCTGGAACCTGAGGACATGGACATGCTTCCGATGAAAGCAGATTTTTGCTGCATTATACAGACGGGAGGGCACGAGTTTGGAAGCAGAGAGGCACAACATATGATCAGAGGAACATTCAAGCTGATGTTCCATTTGGGGATGGATCCGTCATGGTGTGGGGGTGTTGGTCTTACGATTGTAAACTTGACCTCATCACACTTCCCGGAACACTGAATGGACAGAGGTACCAGAACTTGATCCTGGACGGTGCTGCTGTGTCTAATTTCGATAACCATGCTCTCGCCACACGTCCAGTCTTCATGGACGATAATGCCAGACCACATCGTGCTCGAGCTGTTGTTCAGCATCACCAACACGACGCCATTGAGACATTACCTGGCCTGCCAGAAGTCCAGACATTAATCCTATTGAGCATTTGTGGGATATTTTGGGATGTAGGGTGAGGGCAAGGGATCCTCCAGTTCAGAACCTTCAGGAATTGGCCCATGCATTGCATGCATATGATGAGTGGCAGCAGATCCCCCAACAGAGATTCAGACGTCTGGTGACCGGCATGGGACGGCGTGTAGAACATGTTATCCAAGTGCGAGGCGGTTACACCAGATACTGAGTTAACCAGTCACTGTGGACCTTACTAGTGTGTTCGACATTAATGAAATGTGAACTGTGTTGTGTGTCTGTTGTAACGGCTCCGACAGCCATACTTATTTCATGGAGATTTTAGTGAACTTTAGTTTGCTACAATTAGACCCTCAATTTGTGCTCAAATTCGGTCTTGTGTTGTCAATTTTCTGACTGAACGCTCACATGAGGCCATATAAATAGTTTAATGTGCTTTTCTAAGCACCATTTTTATGAGGTTGAAGATCCAGTTTTTTACTTAGTGAAAAAAGTGGGTGGTGCGATATTTATGACGAGGTGTATATATTCTGTACCATGTTCATCTTACAGTCTTGCATGACAACTGTATAAGGGTCTATTCCGAAACGTCTCATTTACATTTATTAAAGAAGTTGTTATCCATACATTTTGTCTACTTTTAATAATTCAAATTGTCAACCAAGCAACACCCACCCAAAAGAAAGTTTTAATTATTTGTGTAGTTTCTTTCACTAACTCCCCTGATCAAACAGAGGAAGCAATAGTAAGGGTAGTCAAATATCTAATTGCCCCAGTCACAAAACATGACATTAGATCATCAAATTCGGAGTAAATGTCACTCTATCAAAATCAAAATCTGATGTGTTCTGTCAGACAATTAATGCAGGGTACGATCTTTATAAAACCGCTACATTACGTGGGCATATGTCGTATTTTTCTCTGTTTTTCAAGATGAAGATGTTAAAAACAATTGACGATGTGACGTATTGGTTCATCTTGTGAGTGACACATGTAGTTGTTGTTCTCCTGAATCATACCGGAGGTGCATAGAACTTCCTTTGGCTGGACAAAGTAAATGGACAGTCTGACGTTAAATTATTCTACAAGAACATGTGCTTTCCAAGACCAGATGTCAACAGATCGGAAGGTTTTTCGTTTCCTTATGAGACTAGTCGGAGAAACGCAGTTTCTTATTTGAACTATATATGGGAAGGCATGACTTTCCCAATACTGCAAAATAAGAATTTGGATTTTAAGAACATGTTATGGATTGGAATTATTCTATTTTAAGAATTTCCTAGTTTTCGTACATTCCGAACTTTCTTTTATCTTTTTGAATTATCTACATAAAACAGGAGTCTCACGTGGCTTCGATACCACCGATGCCTAATTATGGCTAGAGGATAGAGCGTCCGCCTGGAAAGTCGAGAGTTCGATCCCCGGCCGCGTCATACCAACAGAGGTTAAGAGATGGTACTTTAATTATTGTTGCCCTTCATTGCGCTCGGCATTAAGAGGATTAAACGAGGACTGGTCGGCTCGGAGTCTGTATACTGTGTTTGAGTGTGGTATTCGTATTAAACTGCGGCATGGTATTGCGGTGGTCTAGCACTGTATCATATAATGACATATCAGCCGAATCATGCATAGCAACATGAGATCGATATAAAAGTGAGTTTTACAAGCGCACGAGTCAAGCTGAGTCGGGTCATTTGTGTGAATGTCGTTTTGAGCCACAATGATGAACAGTTTTGTCAGTTATGCAACAAAAGTTTCTTTTTAACACACAGCAAAACGATGTTTTCCAGTATTTTCGGAGCCTACATATTATATTATGTAAAGATGACATCAGGTTCTCGTGAAGATCCGGGATAGAATAGGTCTTCAGCAATCCATGTCTCAAGAGGCGACTATGCTTGTCGTAAGAGGCGACTAACGGGATCAGATGGTCAGGCTCGCTGACTTGGTTGATGCATGTCATCGATCCCAATTGTGTGGATCGATGCTCATGATGTCAATCTCTAGATTGTCTGGTCCAGATTCGATTATGTACAGACCGTCGTCATAGAGCTGGAATATTGCTGAGTGCGGCGTTAAACAAACAAACAAACACACGTAGTTGAAATTGCCTCAATGTCAGGCAGTATTATGGGCCACACAAATATGCATGGAGTAGGGCTCCTTAGCTTACTCAAACTAATCACATGTTACTACTATGAATACATCACAAATCGGCCGAACATGAAAGCCGGAGGAAAATGTATGCAAACGTTTGACTTATCGACATAGTCACTGTACACGCCTTTCCGTATTGTTTTTTAATGAATTGGATATAGGTTGTTTGGTTTGTTTGGACTTATAGTGACTTGAGTGAGGCATCATGGCGGATGTCAGCAAGAAGACGATTGCGAAGGCAGAGAAGGACCTAATGAGCCCAAAAGATACGAAGGTACTGTATTCCAAAAGAATACGATTTTTGTTTGTTGTTTATCGTCTCAATCAGCAGTATTTCAGCTGTATGGGACCTCTCCCGTGGTATAGTGGTAAAGCGTCCGCCCGGAGTGCGGAAGGTCCGGGGTTCGATCCCCGGCCGCGGCATGCCAAAAGACGTTAAAAGATGGTATTTGTTGTTACCTTGTCTGGCGCTCGGCATTGAGGGCTTAAAACAAGGACCGGTCGGCTCGGAGTCAGTTTTTTGTGTCTGAGAGGGTTGTTCATGTTAAACTGCGGCATGGTATCTCAGTGAGCTAGCACTTTAATCGGTATCAGTCCGTATTGGTACAAGCACACACACACACACACACACACACACACAAACACACACACACACACACACACACACACACACACACACACACACTTCTTTAATCCAAAGAGCTAGTGAGTTGGGTATAACACCGCTTTTAACAGTATTCTAGTTATATCACGGCGTATCAGCTTTATGTAGGAGGAAAGCCCGAGGTGATGCAGGCCTCAGACGTTTACCACTTAGCACCAACGAGCACGGGTATGGTGCTGGTGCTGACACACCTAGAAACATAATCGGGGCGAACCGGGATTCGAACCCACAATCATAGGTTTCTGGTGTGCCCAAGGGACACAACTCTGCACAGCGACTCGCGGCGCCTTAGACGACTGGGCCACTCGTGCCCCCTTTAAGCCTAAAGACTATCACTGTGCCTTCTATTACTCTAGAGACGGAACGTGTCATTCGAGAGGTTGTGGTATTGGGAGGTATTGGAATTGGAAATAGATGTATTTGGGAGGACGCGGCATTGGAGAGCTTGTGGTATTTGGAGGTAATGGTATTGGGGAGGTATTGCTGGGGGTATTGGGGATCGGAGGTGGTGTGATTTGGTGTAGCAGCATTGAGGAAGAGAGCGATATTGGGGAGGTAGTGGTGTTGGTATAGGTAGGTAGTGGTATTTAGGGGGTATTAGTATTGGGAGGTAGTGTTAATTGGGAGGTGGTGGTTTGGAGGAAATCGTTGTAGGCATTAGGGACGTAGTGGTGAGGTCGTGAGGTAGTGAGATGCTGGGAAATAGAGATGTTGGGGAGATGGTAGTATTTGGGAGGTGGCGGTATTGTTAAGCAGTGGCATTTAGGAGGTGGCATTATAAGAAGTTAGCGGAATGGGGGAGGTATTGGTATTGGGAGGTATTCGTAGTAGGTATTGAGGTAGTATTGAGATATTATGTTATTAGGGAGGTCGTGGTGTTTGGGAGGAGGCGTATCGGGGAGGTCCTGGTTTTGTGGACGTGATGGTATTGATGAGTTGCCAGAATTGGAATTATTCGGAGATACTGGCATTTGGGAATGGGTGGTATTCGGAAGGGAGTGGTATTGGGGAGTTTGTGGTATTGGGGAGGCGAAGAAGGTAGTATTGAAGAGATAGTATTATTGGGATTTAGTAGATTTAGGGAGGTAGGTGTACTTGGACACGTTAGGCGGTACTTGATTGAGTAGATGGGTTGGAGAAGTAGCTGTATTGTGTTTATGGAGAGGTTGGGTTTTAGCATTTGTGGGGCTCTTTTTAACATAAAACTTTACTCTGAGTACCAATGACCTGTAAATGCCGTTTGGGTAAGATAACACACTAAGAACCACGTCATTCATTGGTTCAATGAAGTTATTCAAGTACGGATACTAACATATGCTGCCCCCTTTCTCTTGAAAGTAACATATCGATGGAATGAAATTAAAAAAAATGAACAAGGGTGTTTGTTGTTTGGAAAGACAAACGGTTACTTCACTGTGACCATGTCAGACACCCCCCCCCCCCGATTCAGTCGCCTATTACGACCAGTGTAAAATGCTGGGGACAAAGTCCATCCCAGAATCCCCAGAGGGCACAACAAAATAATGTAGAAAATCGCCTAATTTCCTATTCAATTGTTGTTGATTTCAGGAGGACATGATGTTGGTCCTCGGGCCTCACATGAACTGGCAGGAGATGCTGTGTCCTGCCCCTCTCTCGGTGTGTCTCCTGGGGCAACTGGTCCTCGTCACGCTGGACAAGGACGTGTCTCTTGTGTCGGAACACATGACTAGAGATCGCTTCAAACACACCGAGTACCCGGAGTCTCTGCGGACCAGCATCCTTCAAGTTGCTGATGAGGGATGGAATGCTTTCAACCTGGCCAACAAAAACATGGATCAAATTCGGCTGCTGACACTGCAGATTCCTCAACACGTCAAGAACGCAGTCAAGGTAATTATTTTGACATTGAATATGGATTAAGGAATGACTTAATTTTAGTATATGCCTCAGTCTCCCAGGAACCGTGATGCTCTTGAACACCAGATTTTCTACTAGAAACCCTGAGTCTCTCAGACAACAAGAATCGCATTCAGCCGACCTGACGCTCTTCCAAATTCCATGACGCTTTCTTCTTGACACACTGACTTTCTCCAAAACAGTGACATCCCTTTTAAGACCATCTTACTCTCAACCACACATCTCAACTCTCCCAGACACCCCGTCTCTCTCTTTAACACACAGATTCTCTCTGAGACATCCTCACACTGTTCTTGACACGTGGCTCCCTCCCAGACTCCATGCATCTCCCAGACACCTAACCCCTCTCCTTGCCCCAAGGACAGTCGAAGACATGTTCCATGTTCAGTGTATCTCGGTCCCATATGGCTGTATTTCTGTTTTTCAGTACATTGTCAATGGATCCGAAATGGAAGTGCGCCATCTAGTTCCTGATTACTTAGCTAACATTAAACGCATTACTGACACATGCGTTGTACGGGCTGAAGAAGTGGAGACACGATTTTGTACTATCATGGCTTTGATAGGAGAACTACAGAAAGCATGCACATTTGCCGAAGGTCACTATTCTGAGAAACTGCTCAAAGCTGAAAAGGATCATGAGGTGAAGACATTGAGAATGAAGTCATTAGAAGAAAGAAAGAAGCTCGCAGAAGAGGAGTACAATGAATTACGCGACCAGTTTAAAAAGACCACCGAATCGTATCAAAAAGCCATGGACTCTATGCCATCTGGTTGGAGCATGATCGGTATGGACTTCGTGGAAGGGCTGGCTAAATGCACACTTGGTGTCTTCCAGTCAGTCACCAATGCTGTTACAAGGAAGTCCACGAAAAATGACAAAGCCTCCAAAGACAAGCAGGTGCAGAAAGATGAAGACAAGGAAGCTCTTCTGATGCTGGAACTCCCACAGCTATCACTTTGTGTGAAGACTCTCGTAACCAATTTTGATCAGATTATGCAGGGAATGGAAGTGGATCCTCTCTTGATGGTCGAGGCAACCTTTCAGGATATTGTTCAGACTTTGAAGTCCTACTCGGGAGTTTGTAAGCAGAAAGTAAACGCCATTGTAGATGACGGGTATCAACTCATCAAGATAATGAAGACTGCTAGTAAGCAGCTTACCAAGGACCAATCACAAGAAAAAGATGCGAAGCGTATTGCAGGAAGGCTGGAAGGAAATATGAAAGCACTGGAGACATTCTGTTCACATGCATTTGGACAGTCGGTGCAAACACCAACACCCATGATGTCCACTAAAGAGCAGGAGAGTTCCAGTTCAGCTTCAGCAAGATATAGTGAACAGTGTAGATTCAAAGTTGAACAACATGCCTCTTCTCTTGAATCAATCAGAGAGGACTTCAAGAGCAAAAGCAAATCATTACAGGAAACCAATGCCCATGTGACGTCAGTCATTGAAGAACTTGCACACATTAATCTTGACAAGGTCAACTTTGGTGAAATAAAACAGTTGTTGCAGAGAGGTATCAACGCTCTTGGACAGGTTCGAACACAGTGGGGAAAGTTGGTGAGATTTTTCACAACAATTTCAAACATCATCAGATGCTCCATGGATGAAAATGTGAAGAATTTCGTCCAGGGCGCCGAGCGAGGGGCAGAGTTTCGTCTTGAGTACACGATGTCCGACATGATGAGGGACACAATCTATGTCCAAGCATCTGAAGCCAACAAGCTATCGTACATGGTGAACAACTTGGCAGAGATGTATGTTGAAGTGTCCGAGAAGCATCTGATGGATCAAGTGGCTAGTCTTGGAGAGCTGCTTGCATTGGGTGGAGAGAACGACAAAGGCGCCGTCACCCTAAAGATGACCCAGTTGAAGAGACAGGCAAAGGACGCCACGGTGTCGATTGGTTTGATTGTTGCCCAGAAACAGCTGGAGTTCGACACAAAGGTGCAGAGGAGGATAGAAAGGATTCAAAGGGAGATGAAAGCCGTCTTACCTCCTCCTCCGCCAGAAGATCCAACGATCAAACAGCAGAAGAAAGAAGCAATTGAAGAAGCTGAGAAGTTCAAGGCAGAACACAAGGTGGTGGATGAAGATGATTGGGCGTGATCTCCTCCTTTAAACCCCATATAGTTTTGAGGATGGTTGGGTAGCCTCGTCACGCGGAATACCCGTGTTCAATGGATATGTTGAGGTCTATTTCTACTGCCACGTGCTTGATATTTTTTTTATGAAATGTACTAATGAAGTCAAAATCCCTTACAATCAAACACTGTTGTGTCCAACTTTAATGTGTCGAACTTATGGTTGTCTTGAAGTAAAAGCTTGGCTGCTGGGTATTTTTTCTTTATTTACTCGATGTATATTCGTGGGTCCCTTCAACTTCGACCCAAGGGTGTTTGACTAAATTTAAATATGGATTTTTTGGTTTAGTATAAAGTCACATACGTTGTTTATTGTATAATATTGACATTATCCACTTTTCTGTTCATCTTGCACCAGCCCCTGAGTCTTTTTGTCTCAATTTTCAAGAACGATCTATGTTCTAAGATGTATGTTCTACAGGCTCACTTAAAATGATGTTTTCTTTACTTGGATATTTTCAACCTTGAGTTTATGTTTTTTTCATTTGACGCTCGAAAAACGTTTGGAGGAATATCACACTCATTAGATATTCAAAAGTTTAAAATGCAAAAACTGTTAACTAAAGTCTTCAGTGTACAAATATACACGTTCAGCTGTTAATGTTTACATCTGTATCACCTCCTGATGATTCTGGTCCCCCATCACCTTTGCTTGCCGTAAAGGACGCAGATGGAGGAGGATTGGGTGGGACAATGTGCTACACAGGTGATTAGGTTTTGTTTGTTTGTTTGTTTGTTGTTTAACGTCGCACTCAGCAATATTCCAGCTATAGGACGGCGGTCTGTAAATAATCGAGTCTGGACCACACAATCCAGTCATTGACATCGGAAGCATCGATCCACGCAATTGGGATACGATGACATGCATCAAACAAGTCAGCGAGCCTGAGGTGATTAGGTGTATTGTACCCGGAGATGTGCACGATTACGTTTTAACCACTGACTTGCCTGGATCAGATTTGATAATTCACAACAATGATATTACTTTAGTATTAACACACCTTGTATAATCCTGTTTTCAAATACAATTATTTCGTTGCGATTATATACTTGAGGAAACGCTTTTGAGTATTAAACATTAGTAATGTTAAAGAACATCGCTCTTCATATTTGCTGTTATTTACCTCTGTGGAGGTCCGTAACTTTAAATCCATATACTTAAGAACAATGTTTTTCATAATAGAGGTACATACTCATGTGTATTGTACTGTATATAATGTTCATCCATTGACAAAACATCATGTATAACCAGGGTTTGTATTAAAGCTCCTTCTTTGTGATTATGTACTTGAGGAAACGGTTTTATGAATGGTTAATTATTGTTACAGATTGAAAACTAATTACAATGTTTTTGTTGTGAAAATATTGGAAATGTGGAATTCTATTTGGAATAAACTTCTCTTTTTGAAAATATTTTTGTTTTTATTAAATAACTGTCATGTCACAGAAGGGATAGGTTCCTGGTGTCGTGGACACACGTGGTCCTGTTAAGCAACGTACATGTACATGTAGGTCGCGGAGAGGAGATGCATGGGCGGGTCACCGTTTCCTGGAAGTCTGGGTTTTCCCCAAGGCTCCTAGGAGCTGACATTAAAATCAATAGGCGGATCCCCCCCCCCCCCCCCCCCCCAGAGAGGAGGATGATATTTTGGACCCATCCCTGTTAAATATTGCTGGATCCGCCCTTGAATACAATCCATTGACCAGGCTGATAATGATGCTCTGTGTTCTGTGAACGTGATCCCCATCGTGGAGAAGTGCAATACTCCGGCAAACTAAGGGTGAATGGGTTTGGCGTTAAACCGCTCTGGAATATGTTAGTTATGTCACAGCACGTGAGCTTAATGTGGAGAAAAGCCCGAAGTGATGGACATTTATCGCCGAACACGGGCTGGTACTGACAAACTAAGAAACATAGTTAGGTCGAGAACGAGCATATATATGGCAATGATGCACCACACATCAAAACTGGGATTCGAACCAAACATCAGCGGATCCTGGCACAGGACGCATTACGTCACCGGATATTTCTGGGCCACCTGTACCGCCCAATACAATAAAGAAAGTGTCACGCTTAAGATTAAACGTAAATATAGGACTCGTGACGCCTTATCATATATCTAAGCATTTAGGAATATTTACTTATTGCCTTATTAAACTGTATTTTTATATATAAATAAACAGTATTTCAGTGATATCACTGCGTGTATCTTCGATGTATTAGGAAACCAGAAGTGATGCAGGACTTAGATGTTTAAGCCGTTGGTGGAATCAACGACCAAAGATTCGTGCCTATGATAACAGGATTCTGGCAAACTTAAGGGACGCAACTCCGCACAACTCTTTGAGCAAATAATCATGGGTGACGGTAACCAAATACGTGAAAATGTCTATTACCGACTATAATATTAATATCCAAATCTACTGTTGTATCCCCCAGCAGTGTATTTGATTTAAACTTTCATATTGAGGGATGCGTTATGAGTGAGTGAGTTGGGCTTTTAACGCCTCTTTTAACAGTATTCCAGTTATATCACGGCGTGTCAGCTGATTGTAGGAGGAAAGCCCGGAGTGGTGCAGGTCTCAGACGGTTATCATTTCGTCGAAACCCACGAGAACGAGTATGGGGGCACGGGTGGCCCAGTCGTCTAAGGCGCCGCGATTCGCTGTGCAGAGTTGCGTCCATTGGACACGCCAGAAACCTATGATTGTGGCTTCGAATCGAGGTTCACCCCGATTATGTTTCTAGGTTTGTCAGCACCATACCCGTGCTCGTGGGTTTCACCGAAGTGGTAAATGTCTGAGACCTGCATCACTTCGGACTTTCCCACCACAATTAAGCTGACACGCCGTGATATAACTGGAGTAAAAGCGGCGTTGAACCCAACTCACTCCTTAACTCACACTTCAAAAGAAGAAAGGTAGTACAGGTAGTATGTAGTTATCTGAACTTGACACAAACAATTCGGTATATAAATTGGATATATGTTGTTGGTGGCCTGATATTCGACAAACGGTGCGTCAAAACGCAGCCATTGTCGATTTGCAATGTCTTAAACGGCATTGTTTTCACACTTGTTCAACAATGTCATGGAGGAAAACAGTAAAGCAAAATGCACGTGTTATGGCATTCGTAACTCGTGGTAGTGGTTATGAAAAGGCAAGCATGAGCCAATAATTTGTCGTTCAATTGTCAACATTTTTCAATTTCGAAAATGACAAGACTAAGCGCTGGTCGGAACATCGCCATAGGGTGTATCCAAAGAGGTGAATCGCAGTCTTCTGTTGCACGCCACTTCAACGTTGACCACAGCACTATTTGCCGCCTTTGTGACCGATACACACAGTTCAATTCCAATGCAGACTGGTCAAGTACTGCGTGGAAATTAAAGTGCTGGACATTTCATCTGACATTACGTCAAGATCACCTTTTCGTATGGTGATCACTTTTCACCCCATTGGTCCAAGCCAGGGCCTATCTTGGTAGCTTGACCACTGTTGTGGGTTGGTGAATATTTATTATCTCTGAACTTTTTTATATCACCACGTCCATCATATTTTGTATTTGATACTGCCATTGAATATTGTACTACCACTCCTTTGTATACTGGCATTGTAATTGCTATGTAGAAATTTGTATTGATTTGTAGACCTAGTTAATTTTGTAATACAATGATTGTATACCATAATTTTTTGGTTTGTTGTTGGTTTCACACTAACTTCTTTCACGACCAGATTCTTGGGTTAACATGTTTCAATTTGGGAATCGACACATATCAGAACCAAAACCAAATTAGGTTGTTATCATGAAAACATTATCATTTTCCATCTTTTTCACACCCATATAAGGCACCGCCTCCGTGGTCCAGTGTTAGAGTGTCCGCCCGGAGAGCGGAATGTCCGGGGTTCGATCCACGGCCGCGTCATTCCAAAAGACGTTAAAAGATGGTACTTGTTGTTACCCTGTCTGGCGCTCGACATAAAGGGGCTAAAACAAGGACAGATCGGCTCGGAGTCAGTACACTGTGTCTGAGTGGGGTATTCATGTTAAACTGCGGCATGGTATCTCAGTGGGCTAGCACTATAAATCGGCATCAGTCCGGACTAGTACAAGCAGCCACACACGCACACACGTGCATGCACGTCGCTATATAAGTGCAATAATCTTGGACGCGACGTTAAACCCCATTTCACCCCACCTGACCTCACCTCACCCCACCTCACCTCACCTCACCCCACCTCACCCCACCCCACCCCACCTCACCACACCTATAAGGCCGAGTGGCTGGAATCATCAACAATATTTTCACTGAACTGGTTCACTAACATCCTGGCGACATTTCGTATAAACCACAGAACTTAGTATAACATTGAAAACACATTAAGCACCACCTACTATGTATAAGTCGTATCTTGAATTAATTTTGTGATGAATAAAATTTCGTTTTAAACAAGCCATTCCGCTTGTAATGGATCCTGTTTCGTTTACAGATTCGAGTTTTATATGTATTGTTGATTTGAGATTGCCGAACCAAGTTTTTGTTCTTACCGTCACGTGGCCGAAGTAAAGATGGCTCGTATTGAGCTCGAGTTTTGTCATTAATACAAAGGTATTACACCGCTGATATAGAATACTGCTTATGGTAAAGGCAAAAATTGTTTCCAGTGAAAACAAAACGTTCATAGTGAGTTAACTCCCTTGCCTCGGGAAGATGACCGGAAGGGGCGAGAACTAGCCTAGGGGGCGGGTCAGCCAGTACCAACTACCATGAGGCCGAGTGTGTACAGGGGGGATTTATACCGCTGTGTCTTTTGTCATGGTGATTTGTTATCGCTGCTTCTGTGGAGCCGAGTCTCCTCTGAAATCTTTTCTGTCTCCTCTACTCCATGGCGATGACATAACGTCAGATCAGGACGAAGTGCTTTTCTGATTGTCCTTCATTGATGCGCTTCAGTCGAATTCACCTACGTCTGTGACGAAACTTTATGGTTTAATAAATGTTTTTAGGTCTTATCTCGTTGGCATTATCGTTATTACCTTGATAATCCACAGATATTGGTGAAGTGCTTTCATGGAGGGTCTCACTAGGTATAGGTAGTGAGCAGTAAGCCGGATCTGGTCACTCATGGCGTTGTGAAATGTATAAATGCGCCTCTGCGATCATGATAATAAACAAAATATGCATAGATTCGATGCTAAAATGGTGCGATTTAAAGGTGCGTCAGAAACAGATTACCGCCTGTAATATATGATTTATCTTACAACTCACTATTTCAAAACGTATCTAATGGTACGTAACCGCCATAAGTGTAGAAATCTCTATTTCAATCTATAAACTTTTGATAAATTCAAATAATGTATCAAGATTTGTACTTAAAATATATATATTTTATAATACATAACTAAATTTAATTTAGCCTAACTAAATATAATTTCAAGTTGTCCACGGCTCTGAATAAATACAACGCCAATAGTTTGAACCGTCTGATATGTTATGTTCAAACGTCTATGCATATCGGTTACATTTTTACCAATAATTATCAAAAAACAAATTCCTTTCTTCTAAAATGATATCAAGGTCCGCCACAAAAACAGTGAAAGCTATACCCTGTACTTCCTTCGACAACCATGTACACAAATATGATTTGTTTGTTTGTCGTTTAACGCGGCAGTCAACAATATTCAACTATATTCACAAATCGTAAATGATTAACTATTATAACTCAATGTTAAATACATTCAATGCCTCTGTAGTAGCAGTAATCGTCGTTTTAATTGGTCGTTATAACTACACATGCATTTGGAACTGAACAAAAAACTTTGGATCATGAATAGTTGGGGGATATAATTGGTTGTGAAAAGTGAGCACACAATTTTATAATATTATCTCGAAAATATTAATGATCCCAAACTTTTTTGTTCAGTGGAAAAAAACATGCCTATATTGTTTCAGTGACGTGGTGTATTTTGACGTCTATCGTAGACGTCTGACTAACCTGCAGATATCTCCTCCCAAGCGTGTAATAACAATAATCCCTCAATGACCAGGAATGTTTGTTTGTTTCTTGTTTAACGCTGGCGGTCTGTAAATAATCGACCAGACAATCCACTGATTAACATCATGAGCATCTATCCACTCAATTAGGATACGATGACATGCATCAACCAAGTCAGCAAGCCTGACCTCCCGATCCCGTTAGTCGCCTCTTACGACAAGCATAGTCGCCTATTATGGCAATCATGGGTTGCTGAAGATCTATTCTACTCCAGATCTTCACGAAATGGATCCATCCTGTTTGTTTTTTGTTAAACGCCGCACACAGCGATTTTACAGCTATATTCCCATCCGATCAGTTTGTCGCCTCTCACGACAAAGATGTGTGGGTTAACCAAATTCTTATCATTCTTCATAGTACTTCATGGTACTTGATCAGACACTTCACTTCAACAGCAGCTAAAACCTTTTGAATTTATGTTCTAAGTAAATACAAAACCCTAAATTATTTGTGTCTGTGATTGTGGGTTAACTTAAATGTTCATCAAAATTGAATATCATTAAGAAAATAAAGATGAAATAAGAAATGCACCGATGTGATATATGTATGTGGGTTATGTATTTATTTTAAGTAACACATGTCAGTTGGTCTGTAGTTTCGAGGATATCCTACAACCATCAGCATTAAGCTGGGGGAGGGACACACGGGTGTCCCAGTCGACAAAGGCGCCGCAATTCGCTGTGCAGAGTTGCAGTCCTTAGGCACATCAGAAACATCTGATCGTGAGTCTCAGATGGAGACCCTACTCTTCCAACTGCACTATGATATCCTACAATCTGTACAGCTTCTATAACTTTGAAACCGCAGATCTTGCTATTGTGTGATTTTAGGCCTTGAGCATAAACTTGAATGGGTGCTGCTTTGGAAATTGTTATTGATAACTCAATCTGAACCATGACCTCTTGCATGACTTTGGTCGTTCCTCACACACATAACTGAGGTGAGGTGAATTGAGGTTTAACGTCGCGTTCAAGATTATTGCACTTATATAGCGACGTGCTCATGCCGATTTTACAGTGCTAGCCCACAGAGATACCATGCCGCAGTTTAACATGAATACCCCGCTCAGACAGTATACTGTCCTTGTTTTAGCCCCTTAATGCGCAACGCGAGGCGAGTCACGACAAGATTGTCTTTTAACATTCTTTCTTATCCGGACCTTCCTCTCTCCGGGCAGACGCTTCACCACTACACCACGGAGGCGGTCCACACAATACTGACCCGCTCACTCACTAATGACGTTGAACATGCCAGTCCCATGATGCGTCCTGCATTACGATTTGCCGAGACCACTTGCACTACAAGGGGGTCACAACACACATTTTGGCCCCCTTACCAGCTTGCTGAAATACCGTTCAAATATTGTAACCATCACTGACTAGCCCTTGACACTATAATTGAACAAGCAGATCCAAGGCATCCCCGATACGTGTTCTACAGGTTACCAGTAGGTATTATTCACATAAGGGATAATGTTCTGAGACATCCTCTACTGAAGACAATGAATATTATCTTCACCAGGAATTTGATCCAGATCTTTAATTCCTTGACACTTTTCTTTGTCCTTGACCCTGGCAGTGACAGGGGGCGAGTACTGAGGATCGATACCCAGATTCAGGGATGATTTGATTCTCATGTGAGCTCTTTCTGGAAGCATTCTGAAACATTGGTGTTGCAAATGGACATGAGTCATGAACTGTATAGCACACAGTATTCTCAGGACATAACAAATAAAGAGAAACATGATGCTCGGAAATTCACCTAATGTCTTGCTTGAACACGTGAAGCCATACCTCAAAGCTGTACAAGGGTAAACAGGGTAAACAGGGTAAACAGGGTAAACAGGGTAAACGGGGTAAACAAGAAGACTCAAATACCGGCAGTCCTAGTGTAGGTACACGGTATTACTGTTTTAGGTACTACTGCTTATTGCTGAATCAACACTCGGCTATTTGCAAGTGTTATTCAACTTTGATGATTACTTACCTGATCAGAGGGCTAAACGTGGCAGCCACAAAGGCACGAGATACATACAAACATTAAAGAGGTTCAAATATAAAAGACACAACACAACTTAGCATACCACGTACTTACTGCATAAACATGATTATCACGATTCACGGATAATTGATTTAGACATGAACAAGAATGACGTTTTCAATATGGCCGACAACACCCATGTACAGGGACCTTCCTCGCCCCTGAACAAAAGTGGGTGAGAGAATGTTGTTTTATGCTCCAGTCAGCAATACTCCAGCGGCATCACATCAGGCTGCTGTAACTGGAGCCCAGATAAGCCGGTGGTTGGAAGCATGAGTCCAATTCCGAATGACAGGGAATGATGACACAGTCAGCCAGAGCTCGCAGTGTCAAAACTTGGGGTGCGTTGCAAAAAGCCAATCGTACTTACTCGGAGAACTTCAGGCCCAGCCACAGAGACTTCGGTACATGTACTACAAACTCTCCTCTCAACATTCCATCAATGGCGGCGAGCGCCGTCTCCCTGGGACTCAGTAGACGGTTGATTCTGGAAACATAAAAAATGGTTTGTTTGTTGTTTAACTCCGCACTCAGCGATATTCCAGATATATGACTGTTTTATTAAATAATCAAGTCTGGATCAGACAATCCAGTGATCTATATTGTGAGCAACGATAACCTGACCATCCGATTCATTTGGCCTCTTACGACGAGCATAGGTTCCTGGGGACTAGTTATATCTCGACATCCCCACGGGGTATGTACATTGTAATGATAAATTACACTGCAAAAAAAATCCATATATACAAGCTTGTATATCCTTTGGAAAGATGATATTTCCAAAGGATATACAAGATTGGAAAGATGATATATACAAAATATACAAGTTTGTATATATGACATATACAAAATATACAAATTTGTATATATGGTGTATCCAAATTTGTTTTGTTTGTATATATTGGTAAAGGGAGATAATTATTATGTATTTGTGTATAATTATGATATATGTGCAAATTGAAGTGTTTTAAGTTGAGCACTGTGTTTCTTTGTATATGTTGGTAAAGGAGGATAATTGCTATGTATTGCTCTATAAATGCTTTGTATGTGCAAAATAGTATCAGCAAGTTACAAAAAACTGATTTAGTGGCGGGTAACATTACTGGAAGGTTTAATTAGTACTCCACACTGTTAGCGGGAGTACATACTGTCCTTGCAATGATATTGACGGGTGGGCGGTTGAGGCGTCTGGTACTTTTCCTGGCGCGGTGCTTGGTATGTGAGTAGACTTTATGGTCAAATGCACAGAGGGGATTAGCTGTCGGGGGCGATTGCTTTGGCGGTAACTTCTGTATTGAAAGTGTTTGAGCTTGGATTTGTTTTACGGGGAGGCCGCGATGTGTTTTGTAACATGCTCTCGTGCACATATGCCAACAGAGTGGATTGCACAGAGGATGAAAACTATTTTATCACTACTTAAAAGTGTTGAATTTGGTTTGTTCTGAGCTGTCGGTTTCATTGTAGATATACATTGTTATAATGTGAAATCTCGGCGGAAACGCGGAAAATCGCGTTTTGTAAAACGGTAGTCCTTGGGGAAAATTGTATTATGAGCAACCGGATGCGTAAATAACGTGCGTAATATATTCCCGTATTATATTTTATAATACTTGTTCTTTAAATATTGTTATCAATGCGAGAACGAAGATTACCTTGAAAAAACACAACAGCATGCATATGTTCTAGCAAAAGGAAACTTGATATATATTCATTTGGCTTAATTTCTACTTTGGAAAACTTAGTTGGCGCTCTAAAAGCTTGACGCTGTATAATTTGGCACGCGCATGGTTGGGTGCAAACCATATGTACATCAATAATAATAGTAAAAATAATAATAATAATAATACATCATGATGGCAGTTTCAATGTAAAGATTAAGTATTTTTAAAGATATGAAAATAAATCTTGATAACTGCTTTAATCTTTGATCTTTGGGAAAATAATAATGGAATTGGTTGAGTGACTAACGTATTCTACTTTAAAAGTGACAGGAACGTGATTTACATAATTAAAATATAGAATAATATACAAATTATAAGAAAGGGTTTGTGATTTATTTTGGGATGAAGTCAGTATTTAACTTGCGCTTTCCGACATTATGCGTATTTCGCACACGGTTAAGAAAAAAAATGCAATTCATTTATTTATAAAAAGTACGAATGCATCAATCCTACATCACAGGACCATGTACATAATTTGTTGAATGTTATTTCATGAATACACAAATTGCATAACACATTCCCTGAGGACAAACCCAAATTGCCCGTCCCTTTGTGACAGGTGTTAATTAGAGAATGTATTGCCACCATATTATGTCCCGGCACTTTTATGACATGTAATGAACCTAGTCAATCCCTGGGTCTGTAACAACAACATGGGTCTAATAAAATCAAAGTAACATAAATGTTACGTCATTCGAATTAAAAAAGAGACTGAAAAAATGTAACGTGAATATAATTGCCCTTTTGAGGGTAATATAATTTTGGGAAAATATACGTTTTCTTGTATTTATGGACGACTTCACACAAGCTGAAAAATTTAACATATGTTTATATAGCTATATTTACATACATGGCATTAACATGTAATAATAATATTGATCATGTTTGTTAATTTGTACATTTCGTTGTTATTGGTATCCTGAGTATGTTGCAATAATGCATGTGTTCTGATCTTATTTGACGTAGATTACATGAACTAGTAGAGTGACTTTCTTTCATCAGCGTGGAAGGATTACCCACACATATACCCTTAATCCTTTGTCAAACAGAAAGAAGTCATATAGATATCATATCTAACTGGTACTAAAAGTTCACTATCAATCTCCTCTGATAACAAACTTACATTTAATATCCCCAAGCTACAATACCAAGCATGCTCATGGAGTAATTATGAGAAACCCGAATGATATCCTGTCTACGTGGTCACACCCGGTGATTGTTAAGACATTCAGACAATATGGCAGTCTGTATTCATTTCTTATATCCCAAAAGTCCCCACCAAGCTTCCTTTTATTAACATTGGGATGAAGGGAGATATACATATTGTATTAAATAATACATCAATACATCAAAACAGAACAAAAAAGATAGGTCAACAGTGCGGTTGATGGAAAGGGGTTTGCTAAGAAAAGTTATTTAACTCTTTAATACGTGTCTCAAAGTATGTATTAAGTCTTACTACTAGTTATTATATATGTGCAAATCCACCCGAACGTCGGATGTACATGGCCGATTTCAAAATAGCTAAATTAGGCACTGTTCAAATTGTTTCCAATAAACCACTGATTAGAAACTCACTTAACCTTTAGAATAGAATCGTTTCTAAATATATTGTAGTTGGGGCATGTGTAAAAATTAATGCAGTGTACCATTGTGACAGCCACAAGAGCATGCATGATGTGTTATCTGAGATGTGTTTTTTAAGCCGATGGAAGTTTAAAGTGACAAAATCTGGTATCATGGCTTAACTGAATATAACATTGTCTAAGTTTAATAATCCTCTTTTTCGGGTGACTATTCCAATTATTAATGGTATCAGGTAGGAATGACTTGCATTCAGTTCTACAACGTATAGCCTGTGAATTGGTTAGATTTCTTTATATGTAATCACTAACAGCAAAGATGTTTTCCATCTTGTAAAAAGGTGTAATGGCTACGTTGGTCTCACTCTACATTTTCACGTGGCTTGTACCTCTTATTGGCCCACAAATAGTCCGTAATCAGTGAGTGGGCGAGGTAAAAATTAACGTCTCATCGGCATTATTTCAGCGTCCGTAATAAATTAATGTGTAGACATTCTAGGATTAATTCTTTTTCTTTGGTACAATTATCCAAAACATGGGAGCAAAATATTGGCAATATATATATGCTTGTTCATGACTTATGTAAAAGGGGTTATTTATCTGAGTGATTGAGTATGGTTCACGGCGGTGGACACCAGAAAGGTATTTAAGACAATTAATCATAGGGCTTACCTCGTTAACTCGCCAATATCATAATCTGACTGAAATATTAATACCAAAGTCCTTTCATTTTAAGATTAGGTTTTGCACTTGGGCACACTTTGACGTGATATTGAACAGTTTTCTTTTTCCCTGGATTAAGTTTTACTTGCATTCATTCATTTGGTAATTTTCTCCAAATTGGCATTAATATTTTATGCAGTAGTATTTGGAACTGTCCATTTTGGGAATAGGGTTGACCCCACCGGAAGCACAGTAAACAGAAATTCCAAGGTGAATAATATGTACTATAGTTTGTTGGCTCGACATGCAAGACTCCATAATTTTAGCTATAAATTCATAGTAATATTAAATTAATTTTTTTTATAAAGAATTCATTGATGTATTTGACATGAGACGTAGCGACACTCATGTATTTTATAATAATGTACAATTTCAATGCCTTAAATCTGTTGCATTAAACAAATTCTTTGATTTGATGTTGTCATATTGTGACTCAATTTGTGTCTAGTCTTCCAAATGTTCTATTGCGAATACATATAGTGTCAGCGCTCATGATCGCCATATCTATGAATGGATGAAAATATCATCATTAATAAACTTACCTGAGCTCAATATGTGTTCTGAAGACAAATCGCTGTAAAGCATCTTGCACGGCTTCGTTCACCCTCAAATGTACGAAAGGAAAATCTGCAACTGTGCGTGTTCAATGTTCGTTTGCATTTTTGTGACAGGCGGTCGTTATTTTCATTAAGATTCCACAAATTCATAAATCACAACTGATGTAGCTGCCTTGGTTAACTGGAGTCAGGATATAACTAATTACAAACTCTGTTCTAATTATGCTAATCGAGGAAGTGCATTATACTGGATGACAAACTTAGTAATCCTTTCACACTAATCCTTGTTTACAATGAACGCATGTCAAATGACTAAATAAACATCCTTTTTTATTTTCTTAAGTAGAAGTATCACAATGGGCGGTGAACACAACTGTTTGTAGAATGATAGTTTCAGAAAGGAATACAAATACAAATATACAGAAAGGGGTTTAAAATGGTTTCTTTCTTTGCATCCACGCATTGTTGTTGTGGATGCGGTTATTTGCTGTCGGAATTGTTTTTGCAATTCAATTAGTTAATTACATGTCACATGACAACTGCATGTCACGGGGGCCTGGACATAAATCACGTGGTGCACTATTAGGCCTATAATAACCCCCAACCTTGATTCTGCATCGATTCAAAAACTCCTGAATCCTCATCGACTCCTGAACACTTAGATTTTGACGTTGTCATCTTGATCATCAGAACAATCAAAGGCGGCAAAATACCGTAAGCAACTTTTCTCCCACTTTTCAATTCAGATGTAGACAAGTACAACACGTTTAGTAATGATTTAAAAAATTATACGAGTTTCTTAGTGTCAATAATTAGTAGAACAGACGTAAAACAGACATACGAATGGACACGTTATAGACAACAATCCTATATATTTTAGTAACAATGATTAGTTGGAGTGACCAGTATATATTTGCAAAAAATAGATTTATAAAAGTTCAGCTTATTAAGTACAATACACCCATCAAATAGAGCTGCATGTGTCAGGGACCCAATCTAGATAGCGCCAACATCTAGAACCGCTGCGCCGGAAGTAGGTAACGTTTCTAGCTCTTACGTCGAGTAAAATCAGAAATGATTCGCGTGATACATATATGATGTACATATATGTGAACAGCCTCTCGTTATTAATGCCCTTTAATTGTAGTCATCTTACTATTTGATCGTTTGTGCCACACAAAGCTATAAGTTCCGTAATAAAAATACGGAAAAATGAACAGATTAATCTCATGGACATATATTCAAAAATGGTAGCATAACGAATGAAGAAATGTTTTAATTTCCGTTCCCATAATACTGTTTAGATGAAACACCGTTAGCAACTTGAATGGGAATAAACAGTGGTAGCTGTCACTAGCCAAAGGATACTAGACTATACAAGAACAGTTTTAGCATCTCACACCGTCCCGACAGGCGCCAACCTCTCAAATATTGCACAACATATATTGATGGCGTAGTATGATATTAATATTACATTGTTTCTTGAATACTGTGCGAAGAATATTTTGTACGATGGCAAGATTCAAAACAAGTATCATTATCTTCTTTGCGAGGAATTTAGAAGTTGGAGTATTGAGAGAGGATAAGATCTGTGGATGAACAACATCACTTGCTTGATAATGGTGTTACAACATACACCTAAGCGTCGCTCCTAACTGTAATAAAGACGTTGTTCATCAATATATCTTATCTCTACTCAGTTTTCATTATCGCTAAAATTAGACAAAACTGTAAAAATGGTTTAACATGTGTGGTAGCACAGCTAGTCCCTGTAAAATTTTCATTTAAAAAAAATAAATAAAACATCACAGCGCACAGGGAAATTGAGCGAGGCTCAATTCGAACGGTATTCCCATGTTATGTTATGTTTTTCTGAAAATGTACATGAAGCGGATTGGTCAAGAAGTTTATATGAAGACCACTCCGGAATACAATGATTCAAAAATGCATACATGATATTGTAAATATATCTAGATTTTTAGACAGGATAATGCATAGATAATATTCCAACAGTCAGATTAACCAGATTAAACAGATTCCTCTACGCTGGGCAAACACTGGTCTATGTAGAATCATATCGTTATCTGGGACTACGGGTTGACGAGCATCTAGATATGTGAAACTGTGAAAGAGTTGTACAATTCTGCCAGCCATGCTTTGTCTTATTCTGTTGGGTGTATGTCTTATGATGTTTTTTTATGAAACTGTATGAAAGTCTTGTTGAGCCGGTAATGTTCTATGGCTCTGGTATATGAGGATAAAACATTAATCTAATCCACAATAGAGCCCGTAATTATTTCTTGGTGTTAGTAACGGTACCTCCAGTATAGCCACTAATGGAGACATGGGTCTCTCCTCCCCGTTTGTTACATTACATGCTAATGTTTTTAGACTACCCCAAGATTTAATAACAGTACTTGTAACGCTTTGATGAAGAAAATGGTTACTATGTAAAAGTTCATGGAGTACTAAAGTTGTTAAAATTGCCTGTAATCTTAATATTTATGATGTTATGAATATTATGACTGCTCCAATGTCCCGAAAGAAGAAAATTGCCCATATTAAAAACGTTCTCGTAAACAAAGATGAACTGAGCTGGAGAACAGAGCTTTGGAACGATAAACATAACGTTAAGGGCAATACATTAAGAACTTTCATGATCGTAACGTTGTTGCTCCTTATGTTTTAAATACAGGGACCACCGTCGCATTTTAGCAAGTTTGAGATCTGGATCGAAACAGGACCATTTACACCCCCCCAAACCTTTTAGAAAATAGAATCTGCCCGCACTGTTTTAAAATTGTTCATAAAAGTTTGTCGAAAATGAATTTCACTTTATTAAATGTTATGTCCTTTATGATCTTAGAAGTATTTTACTTAGATAATGGTCATCTCTTTTGAAACACGTGACGCATTCATAAAATAACTTCCTCTGTAAGGTTCACACCCAATTGTCAGACATCCCATTTGGCAGGTGACCGAATCATCAGACAGACCAGTCAAGTGTGACCAGTGTATTCGCCTGGTCTAAACTACTAATTACTGTGCTGCTCTCGACTGTGGGCAGAGTAAGCTATTCACCACTCGTTAAGTGATACAGATTAACCAGTTTCCTCTTCGCTGGGCAAACACTGGTCTATGTAGAATCATATCGTTATCTGGGACTACGGGTTGACGAGCATCTAGATATGTGAAACTGTGAAAGAGTTGTACAATTCTGCCAGCCATGCTTTGTCTTATTCTGTTGGGTGTATGTCTTATGATGTTTTTTATGAAACTGTATGAAAGTCTTGTTGGGCCGGTAATGATCTATGGCTCTGGTATATGAGGATAAAACGTTAATCTAATCCAAAATAGAGCCGGTAAATTATTTCTTGGTGTTAGTAACGGTACCTCCATGTATAGCCACTAATGGAGACATGGGTCTCTCCTCCCCGTTTGTTACATTACATGCTAATGTTTTTAGACTACCCCAAGATTTAATAACAGTACTTGTAACGCTTTGATGAAGAAAATGGTTACTATGTAAAAGTTCATGGAGTACTTAAGTTGTTAAAATTGCCTGTAATCTTAATATTTATGATGTTATGAATATTATGACTGCTCCAATGTCCCGAAAGAAGAAAATTGCCCATATTAAAAACGTTCTCGTAAACAAAGATGAACTGAGCTGGAGAACAAAGCTTTGGAACGATAAACATAACGTTAAGGGCAATACATTAAGAACTTTCATGATCGTAACGTTGTTGCTCCTTATGTTTTAAATACAGGGACCACCGTCGCATTTTAGCTAGTTTGAGATCTGGATCGAAACAGGACGATTTACACCCCCCCAAACCTTTTAGAAAATAGAATCTGCCCGCACTGTTTTAAAATTGTTCATAAAAGTTTGTCGAAAATGAATTTCACTTTATTAAATGTTATGTCCTTTATGATCTCAGAAGTATTTCACTTAGATAATGGTCATCTCTTTTGAAACACGTGACGCATTCATAAAATAACTTCCTCTGTAAGGTTCACACCCAATTGTCAGACATCCCATTTGGCAGGTGACCGAATCATCAGACAGACCAGTCAAGTGTGACCAGTGTATTCGCCTGGTCTTAACTACTAATTACTGTGCTGCTCTCGACTGTGGGCAGAGTAAGCTATTCACCACTCGTTAAGTGATACAGATTAACCAGATTCCTCTTCGCTGGGCAAACACTGGTCTATGTAGAATCATATCGTTATCTGGGACTACGGGTTGACGAGCATCTAGATATGTGAAACTGTGAAAGAGTTGTACAATTCTGCCAGCCATGCTTTGTCTTATTCTGTTGGGTGTATGTCTTATGATGTTTTTTATGAAACTGTATGAAAGTCTTGTTGAGCCGGTAATGTTCTATGGCTCTGGTATATGAGGATAAAACGTTAATCTAATCCAAAATAGAGCCGGTAAATTATTTCTTGGTGTTAGTAACGGTACCTCCATGTATAGCCACTAATGGAGACATGGGTCTCTCCTCCCCGTTTGTTACATTACATGCTAATGTTTTTAGACTACCCCAAGATTTAATAACAGTACTTGTAACGCTTTGATGAAGAAAATGGTTACTATGTAAAAGTTCATGGAGTACTAAAGTTGTTAAAATTGCCTGTAATCTTAATATTTATGATGTTATGAATATTATGACTGCTCCAATGTCCCGAAAGAAGAAAATTGCCCATATTAAAAACGTTCTCGTAAACAAAGATGAACTGAGCTGGAGAACAGAGCTTTGGAACGATAAACATCAATGTTTAAAACTACTTTCAACTACTTGTTGCTGGCGTACGCATTTTATATTGATCAAACTGTTATTAAGATCTGTAAAACATAACGAAATACAAATTATTTCATAACATCATATAGTTGTCATAATGAAAATAGTATTAAAGCATTATTGTCACATGCAATGATTATACTGTTCGGTATCATTAGTAAACTTTGCAACCACATTATGTGAAACATTCTATAAGAGGTGAGGAAATTGAATGAAGCAGTGGTAAAATCTAACCATATATACAAAATTGTATATTTTGGAAATACCAACTATACAAAATTGTATATTTTGGAAATATCAAATATACAAAATTGTATATTTTGTATATATGGGTATTTTTTCTTGTGTTAATAAAAAAAATGTTTTTTTGACATTAACAATGTATTCCTCCAAACGCCAGGGGAATGGGTCCAGGTTGAATATGAACTTTGCTGTTTCCGTAACAAAGTGATGATAATCATATTTTTCAATATCCTCTTAAGATTGGGAGCATGGATGGCCCATTCGTCTTAGGCGTCGCGTTTCCCCTTCGCTTCCCTTAGGCGTGTCAGAAACCTACAATCGTTGGTTTAAACTCCGAAGACTTGCATCACTTCGGAACACGCCGTGATACGACTGAAATAATGTTCAAACTGGCGTAAAACCAAACTCACCCACTCACCCACTCACTCACCCACTCACCCACTCGCTCACTCACTCACTCACTCACTCGTAAGTTAGAGTAATTATCTAACTGGGCTCAGGTCAGTTGGCCTCTAAGTATTTAAATGCTGTAGATTCAGAAGCTCTAGCAACTCTAGCAGAGAAGACCCACCTGTCTTTGGGGTTGCGGCACAATCCTGTACTCACAAAGGCCGGGCAGACGACTGTCACCTGTATCCAGCTGTAACCTAGCAACGCCATCTCCTCCGCCAAGGCTTCAGAGAAAACCAGAACTGCCGCCTTGGAGGAACTGCAATAAAACCTAACCTGTTACCTAGCGACAGGTTGTGGTTAATGGTTATCAAGGGCACATGACATACAAGACAACCTATCCCACAGGAAATAGAGTAGAACTGCAAGCATTATCAAACTATTGCCCAGCTAAGATAACACCCCGTTTACTACGACCCGTGAAGATCCGGGTTATAATAGGGCCTCAGCAACCCATGCTTGTCGTAAAAGGCGTCTATGCTTGTCGTAGGAGGCGACTAACGGGATCGGGTTGTCAGGCTCGCTGACTTGGTTGATGCATGTCATTGTATCCCAGTGGATGACATGAATAACTGGATTGTCTGGTCCAGAATCCATTATTTACAGACCGCCGTCATATAGCTGTACTATTGCTGACTGCGGCGTTAAACAACAAACAAGACCAAAAAAACACACGGTTACATGACGTCACAGTTGCGGAGACAATCCTTGGTAGGCTGCAGTCTTTGGTGGGCATTTAGAAGTTGGAAGAAACATGAATACATGACACATTTTATGGATAACAACTTCTTTTATTCCTTGTAACGACGTTTCGGGTCTACTTCTTGATGGAGGAGCAAGAAGCTGCTCTGAAACGTCGTGACAAAGAAAAGTTGTAGAATGTTCAAATTTGTTACCAGTAAAGCAGCGGAAATATACACTGGTATTATGGTACTATGAACTGCCAGGCGAACGAAGGTATACAACCATGTTTGTGGTGGCTAAAATGAAACAATCAGGAAATGGTTATCCGATGGTGATGTATTTGATACGGGTATCATTGTTATGTTTTGGCTGTTTTTCAGTACAGTGGCGTTGATAACGTTTGTAATTTTGTAGGTAAATCCAATGTTCAAGTGTATACTTTTTTTCGTCCTGTTTAATGCTCTGCAGGACTAAACGTTGGTAAATGTGTTGTGAAAAAAAGAAGCAGTTCGGCGCCTCCAATCAGAGAAAAACAACTGTTCGCAGTGATCGAAAATATACTCTGTCTCTAACAAAAATCAAATTTTGAAGAAGAAAAATGCTAGACAAAAATATTTTGTCCTTAGGTTGTAAAGAATAATAAATGAGTGCGGTGTTAAACAAACAAACAAAATATATATCTGCAGGGGACTGCTGGGTAAATGGCTAGATTGTATCATGGGTAAAGATAGCGAGTGGTCTGTTGTTAGGAAGCATGTTTTACACCTGTAGTCGACGAGGTAGGCCGTCCCCGACTTTGCCGATGCTGAAGCTATGTTGAGAATGACGCCGCGGTTGCGATCTATCATCCCGGGCAGAAACTCCCGAACTGTCTAAAAGGAATGAGAATACACATCAATATACAGATTACAGATACAATATAACTAATTCAGAAGAGTGGAGTTCAGGCCTAGTTCCACAAAGCGATCTAAGCGGTACGACAATCGTAAGGCAATGTTAAAGTATAGGAGTTACGACAGTCTGTGTGCAAAGATCACTTTGTAGAACGCGGCACAGGCTGATTAGAAGTGTAACTAATCGAATGTGGATCAGGTTAGCCGGTGATTGATCAACGCCGTCGGGTACGATGCCACGCCATCTGCCACGCCACACGTCGTGGCCGATCCCGCACCCATCTTACGCAACCCCTGCGTGGATTGTGGTTTAAGAACAGGTTCCCACAAACCTATGCTGGTCGTAAGAGGCAATCGATGGATCGGGTTGTCAGGCTTGTTTACTTAGTCTATTGCGTGTCCTCGTTATTGTTGTTGTTGTTGGTGTTAATTACAGATTAAAATAAAAAATGCAGCAAAGAGGGTTTGGATGATCCTGGCACCGTCAGGCTGGTTAGGCATCGTCAGCTCAAGGCCCTTGCCCCTTCTTCACGCAGCCCAGACAGCAAATGGTACTTCACCCAGGAAGCGCTGCCTAGTCAAACCCACCCAGAACTTTTCGGAGAATGTGAAGACTCCCTAACACTGCAGCCTTCTGCATTATCTTGATTGTCAGAAGGGCAAACCCGGGTAATCCCCAATGTCAGTCATCAGATTGGGAGGTACCAAACCTAAGGCACCGAGAACAATGGGGAGTCGGACAACTTGGTACTTGGGATACAAGCGTGATATTTCGAAAGCGAGGTCCGCATATTTGCCATGTTTTTCCTGAATCGTGTCAATCACATTACTGTCAAAAGGGACAGAAAATTCAATCAATGATATAAATGATTTCATTGGATTTATCAAAACGGACAAGATCAGGTTTGTTGGCCTGGATACTTCTGAAGCTGTAAATGGGCCTATTATTATTATTATTATTATTATTATTGATCTACAGATGATCCTTTACTTATGGTTGTTACCAATCATGGTATTTACTTATTTCCAGTAGCTATACAAAGATATAATTTGTAATATATAATGACCAAAAAGGAATCTCCGGAGTAATCACGGTATTCCGTCCGTGCAGACATTTATATTAACATTTTTTAACGTTCAGAAATCAAAACAATACTCGTCAAGAAGTAGGTCAATTACTCGTACTACATATAACATACATGTAAGTAAAATACATTGAATTGATTTACATTCGGATGATATTTTGTAAAGGTAAAATTCGACAGTTACTATATTCATGGAAAAAGTAAAGCAAAACCAACAAAGATGCAGTGCTTACCCAGAACTGAGCCAAAGTGTTGACCTCAAACGTCTTTCTGATATCTGCTGACGTCATCTCTAGGATAGTCCCTCCATTCAACACCCCAGCGTTATTCACCAACACATCAACACCCCCGACATCTTCCCGGAGGCGCTCCGCCACGTCCTTGATGTCGTCTACGCTGCTGACGTCACATGTGTAGGTGGAAACTTTGGCGCCGACAGCCCGAACAACATCAGCAGTGTTCTCCATGTCCTCCTGTCGGAACAATGGAAGCCTTGACCACATATACCACTCAAAATAAGTTAAGGAACACCCACAACTGAAAGGCTGTGTGTCACAATACCCACCAGCCATGGCAGAGTAACTATAGCCATGTGGCAAACTCGTTCAAAATAGTTCAATGACATTTCCAGAGATTATGTTTTATGTCAGAATGTCAAAAGAAGCGTAAACAAAATACAACAGACGGCGTCGTCGTTAAACCCAAGTTGTCCACGGACTTTGGATCTCGAGGCCACCTCAACTTACGATCAAATTGCATCTAAAATGAAGAGATTAAATTAAGGAGTCAAATATACTACAATCAACCTGTTCTTAAATCCAGTCTCATTTGTACAGGCAATATCTATATTGACTCAAAATGTCAGTCAATATTTACATTGCCTAAATGAATCAGTTAGTATACATATTGCCTGGTTATAGACATTGACTGTAACATAGATAACTGCAATAACCTTGAACAAGACATTGAAGCCCATTTCACCTAACCTCAGCTACTGATAGAACACCTAGAACAGATACACACTTACCACATTGATGTCCCAGAGAATGACGTCTGCTCCAAGGCGCCCAAACTCCAACGCCATCTCGCGGCCAATTCCATGACCACCGCCCGTGATGAGCACGCGCCAACCCGTGACGTCACGGCGTCCAGGGGGAAACAGCAGCTTACAGAAGGATTCCAAATATAAGTAGATAATTTGACCACAGGTATACAAGACCTCTGCCAGCGACAAACCCATCCTCAGACAAGTTGCAGACGACAGACATAAAAACGCTGAAGCCAGTCTCCGACTTCGCTGTTGAAGTTGTTGATGAAAAGTCACTTAAACCCAGACTTCACTTGAGATGTCTTCAAATCAATCGCAATCGCTTTACCCTGAATGATAAAAGCGACGAGTGCATTTCTTACTCTCTACATTGGAGCGCACAAGTGAGGCCGATATGTTCGTCTTCCTGGCGCTCTTCCTCATGCCCTGACCCATGCGCAACAAACCACACTTTAAGGGTTAAGAACACAATTTGTCATACAGATAACAGTACACCTCCTATTTTAAGTTCAATCGCATCAAACTGTTCAGTTCAACGTTGTGAATTATTGTAAAAGATAGTCGTCATGGCGTATTAATATGATTATACGTCGGCGTTCTGAAACCTACTGCAGGTATCAGTTGACGCACACTAGTGAACCGTCCAGTGAATGTAGACGACATCCGTAAAGGGTAAGGGTCGAGAAGAGACCATGGCTACAGCCCTTCCTGCACTGGTCGTTATCTGAGTTTGGGCGATAGCAATGCTATTTGTTGGTTTACAATCTCTACCCGTCGCTAAATATACACCACCCTGGTGTCTCTATACTGGTCAAAGTTATCAAAAACAGTTTAAATTTAGACACTCTAATCTGTATTTAAAGGGTACTTAAATTGATAAAACAATTCCCAATCGGGCAGTTTGTACCCAACTATAGCTTGTACCCGGGTAGGGGCGGGTACCTGGGTAGTAAATTTTGACTCCTCCCAGCCCTACCGCAGAAGTCTCCAAACATATATTATATGCATACAAACAGAGTCTCACCTGGTGTAACGCCAAACCAAACAGGGTCGTGGTCAGAAACAACGCCCACTCCATTTCCCAACAACGACCAGATAAGAAACTATGAACTACAACTATGCCTATGGTATCTACACACTCGTCTTCCAGAATAAATGATCTGATTCGACCTGACCTTGTATCATCATTCACCAAAAAGGGGCAGTGGGGTAGTCTAGTCGTCAAAGCGTTCGCTTGTCACGCCGAAGACTCGGGTTTGATTCCCCACATGGGTACAATGTCTGAAGCCCATTTCTGGTGTCCACGCCGTGATATTGCTTGAATATTGCTAAAAGCGGCGTACCAATCGCCCCATCAAAAATGTGTAAAAAAAGGCGTTAAAATGCGCGACAACGCAACAATGCGACAATTGGCTAAAATGTTGCATTGTCGCAATGTCGAGTTTTCGCTAATTTCGACATATTTTGCTTTTTGGAAGGGCGACAATGTGAAAACGCGAAAACGCGAAAACGCGACAATGTCCCTTGTAGTATTCCATACATGCATGGAAGGCCGACTTACCAATTCTAATATCAAACTTTCAAGTCAACAAAAACAAGAAAACAGCGTTATCACTATCCCCCGCCATTGAGGTGCTTACTTCACTGCTGATTTCCTACCTTGAAGCAGGCACTGCAAACATCTGAAGCAGGGAGAGGGTAACTCTCCAAAAATATAATAATTACGGCATCAATTTTGTAACTCAGTCTTGACAAATTTGTCTTCGATAAGCTTGCAAAGTTGTATTCATGTAACTTCAGTAGTTTCTGAGAAAACGTTTCCCCAATGCAGCCACTCAGTAAAATAAGCAAAACAAAAACTTCCAAAGGCATCAGTTCTGCATGTATTTGATACATAAAGTGTCATAATTAAATGTTAAACGGTTTCCGAGTTAAGCTGCTACACGTATTTGAGTTTAAATCAAGTTTGTTGCCAAGGAAACCAAGGTACCATACAGCGTGTGTTTGATACACATGAAACGTTGCAATAGAAAATATTAAACGGTTTCATGTTATGCTCCGGAAACGAATGCTGCCGGGACGTTTTTGAGAGTAATTCCAGTTTGTTGCCAAGGAAACACAAAAAGATAAATTGTTTTAGAAATCCCAAAACATAGTAAGGCACCAGTTCAGTATATGAGTGATATCCATGCAAGTTTCATAAAGAAATATTAAAGTTTCGTGGCGGACGGAAACCACCCATTCCTAAATAAGTCTCAATGCAAATCAAAAGTTTAATGCTAATCTTTAGCTGTGATGCACACGAGATTCTATAAACCCTGGAATACACAGTTAAATTAAGGAGGCTTACTACATAAATTCATTGTAGGGGTTCGCCCCGATGAACCCACATGGGGTTCCACTCCGTCATCCTGCGGCCCCTGGGTCCTGGCTCTCAAACCCTTGAACTTCATTACTTAAAAGTGATTGGAAGCTCTGCTAATCTGGTTCAGTTACGTGAATTAAGCTTAATGTGTACGTTATATTATTCCTCCTTTATGCGTTTCTTTTTCTTCAAAAAGTGGATTTGGCACAGAAAAAGATCACATGGAAAGGACCCCAAGTGGACGGGAGTGATTGTTTATGATCAAAGGGAGGCAATCGTGTGTGTACAAGAGTAAGCTCCCTTGCCTTTAACACCGCACAGCGATTCGCTTAAAACTTCACACAATTCCGTTTACCAAAGGGAGCTAACCCCGTGCAACGAATCAAGAGTTATTGCCTCTGACTCAAAGGGAGGTAAGCATGTTTAGCAAATGGTAAATAGGATTTACACTTACTTCCCTTTGACCATCAACGATACAAGTTCTCCAATCAAATTATTGTTTTGTTTGTAGTTAACACCGCACTCAGGGGGCACGGGTGGCCCAGTCGTCTAAGGCGACGTGATTCGCTGTGCAGAGTTGCGTCCCTTGGGCACGCCAGGAACCGATGATTGTTGGTTCGAATCCCGGTTCGCCCCGATTTTGTTTCCAGGTTTGTCAGCACCATACCCGTGCTCGTGGGTTTAAAGTGGTAAATGTCTGAGACCTGCATCACTTCGGGCTTTCCTCCCACATTAAGCTGACACGCCGTGATATAACTGGAATAATATTAAAAGCGGCGTTAAACCCAACTCACTCACTCACTCACTTAACACCGTACTCAGCAATATTCCAGCTAAATGACTGCGGTCTATAAATAATTGAGTCTGGACCCGAGAATCCAGTGACTGACATCATGAGCATAGGAAAACGATGATGTACACCCGATCCCGTTAGTCGCCTCTCACGACAAGAATGTTTTGCTGAAGGCATATTCTTAACCCGATTTTCACCCGAAATCGTCGGTGAGCTTGAAACCACATCCGTGTCCACTCAGCATATGTTCCGCTAAGTACAAAACACTGAGACGAGTGCATGAAACCGTTGAATGAGTTGACCTTTAACCCAACAATCTCACGCGACACCTTCTTTATTCTTCCGATATCCTCGCTACAATTGAAGCTGAAGGGGTCTTTGTCGTATGAGGATGAACATAAATTTGGCCTTCTTTTATGGAGGACTGTTCAAGGATCCACGTTAATGTACGTCGATGTGAGTAGTATCATGTACGTAGATGTAAGTATCTTCTACGTCGATGTGAGTAGTATCATATACGTAGATGAAAGTACCTTCTACGTTGATGTGAGTAGTATCATATACGTAGATGTAAGTATCTTCTACGTCGATGTGAGTAGTATCATGTACGTAGATGAAAGCACCTTCTACGTCGATGTGAGTAGTATCATGTACGTAGATGTAAGTATCTTCTACATTGATTTGAGAAGTATCATGTACGTAGATGAAAGTATCTTCTACATTGATGTGAGTAGTATCATGTACGTAGATATAAGTATCTTCTACGTCGATGTGAGTAGTATCATGTACGTAGATATAAGTATCTTCTACGTCGATGTGAGTAGTATCATGTACGTAGATGAAAGTACCTTCTACATTGATGAGAGTAGTATCATGTACGTAGATGTAAGTACCTTCTACATTGATGTGAGTAGTATCATGTACGTAGATGTAAGTATCTTCTACATTGATTTGAGAAGTATCATGTACGTAGATGAAAGTACCTTCTACATTGATGAGAGTAGTATCATGTACGTAGATATAAGTATCTTCTACATTGATGTGAGTAGTATCATGTACGTAGATGAAAGTATCTTCTACATTGATGTGAGTAGTGTCATATACGTAGATGAAAGTACCTTCTACGTAGATGTGAGTAGTGTCATATACGTAGATATAAGTACCTTCTACGTAGATGTAAGTAGTGTCATATACGTAGATGAAAGTACCTTCTACGTAGATGTGAGTAGTGTCATATACGTAGATGAAAGTACCTTCTACGTAGATGTGAGTAGTGTCATATACGTAGATATAAGTACCTTCTACGTAGATGTGAGTAGTGTCATATACGTAGATGAAAGTACCTTCTACGTAGATGTGAGTAGTGTCATATACGTAGATGAAAGTACCTTCTACGTAGATGTGAGTAGTGTCATATACGTAGATGAAAGTACCTTCTACGTCGATGTGAGTAGTGTCATATACGTAGATGAAAGTACCTTCTACGCAGATGTGAGTAATGTCATATACGTAGATGAAAGTACCTTCTACGTAGATGTGAGTAGTGTCATATACGTAGATGAAAGTACCTTTTACGTAGATGTGAGTAGTGTCATATACGTAGATGAAAGTACCTTTTACGTAGATGTGAGTAGTATCATATACGTAGATGAAAGTACCTTCTACGTAGATGTGAGTAGTGTCATATACGTAGATGAAAGTATCTTCTACGTTGATGTGAGTAGTGTCACATACATAGATGAAAGTACCTTTTACGTAGATGTGAGTAGTATCATATACGTAGATGAAAGTACCTTCTACGTAGATGTGAGTAGTGTCATATACGTAGATGAAAGTACCTTCTACGTAGATGTGAGTAGTGTCATATACGTAGATGAAAGTACCTTCTACGTAGATGTGAGTAGTGTCATATACGTAGATGAAAGTATCTTCTACGTTGATGTGAGTAGTGTCATATACGAAGATGAAAGTATCTTCTGCGTAGGTGATACTTATTTTCTTAGCATGTGTCACTAATACGCTTCCATACATAATAAAATACTATCATACGAAGTTAATTCAAACCAACCGTTGTAAGGATGCTATATGTTTTATTTGAGAAATAGAGACAGGCAGCCGTCTTCGTGTTCGTATGTCCTTCAGCCGAACAGTCCTCCCGGGTTGACTCCAGCGCTGCGAGAAACGACGTCATAGCTTCAGATTGTTAACGTCGACGTCATTTGACAATTATAGTTTTCTAAGACGGTGCTTGCGATCAGTGCATTTTTTCGAAAGGGGGGCTCAAAGGATTAAAAAATAATGGGTAATAATGGAAATATTCGCATGCGTGTCATACTGATTTTACGAAACTTATGGAAAAATTCATGCATTAACCTCGATCTGGCTCGTTTTGTAAAACCAGTATGACACACATGCTTGTATGATAATATCTGTTCAGTGACAATGCAATATGAATATATATCCAAACGGTACATATCATTTCGGGATATGGGTGATGCGCAACTTTTTTTTCCAATTGATTTTATTATCAGATTCAGTGAATTGTGGACCTCAAGGACATGGTGGACATGGTGACGGGTGAGAAGTCCCAGAACAGCTTGTAACCCTGATCCCGTGAGCATATGTCGCCGCCGTGATTAGTTAAAATATTGCCGGATTATACAATATTCATTCTTTCAATCAGATAGGGTTCCAACTTTAAATCATTTAAAAAAATAAATAAATAAATCATTTAAAACAATAATAGATTTGTAAAGAATTATTTGGTTGGATTATGGGATTTGTGTGTTAGTATATTTACTAGCGGGCAAAAGAACGTATACACTTAATAATTGGATTTGACCCAAAAAATACAAACGGTATCAAAACGTTGCTTGTCTGAAAACAGTCGCCGAAATAGTGCAAGGTCCCAAAAATAACTAAGATACGCGTATTAAATAAATCACCCTCGAATAACCATTATTTGTTTGTTTCATTTTTAGCCACCATCAAACGTGTATGGGTGTTTTCCCTGACAGTTTATATTCTTATCTGCCTTGTGCTCATATTGATGAAAAAAGCTCACTCGACTTCGCAGATAAAGGCTTCTGAATAGCTGCAGTGCTCGTCATCCCACGAGTAGTCGGCGTGCATGGATAGACAGCGTTCCCCGGGGGATAGGTTGTTAGGTTCCCCCTGGTGCCAGAAAAACTGCGTGATTGGCTGTCCTGTTGACGCCCATATCCAGTCCCCTGACAGCATGTTCGTCCCGTCCAGCCAGAAGTCCACATTTCCTGGGTACAACGCTGTCGGGAGAGTGAGTGAATGAGTTTACACCGCGCTGACCAAAATGTCAGGAATATCGCGTCGAGTCAAGTTAATATGGAGGAAGGAGACCCAGAGCATCCTCTCTATCTCCAGGGCTGATTTCGGGACACCTACACCAACCCCTGCATCCAATCCCGTGGTTCTCGCGATCTCATATTACCTGGCCTTGATTTCGATCAGCCAATTTGATTGGCTACGCTACTCGGTCTAACGGACCATTCAGAATGCGAGTTACAAACAGCCTCAATGTTGAGTTGGCGATATCAACAACATGGCGGCCATTAATAACGATAGAGTTTGCGAGAAATTCAGCATTGAAAAATTGACTGACACGCAAAAGAAAGCCCTCAAGACAACTTGATGGAAAAGATGTCTTCATGTCCATTAAAACTGGCGGTGGCAAGTTCTCCCTCAACCATCTCCTCATTCCTCATCTCGACGTTAAATTGGTCGGTAGAATTATGATGAAAACCAAGGGCAAACCACGGGAATGGATCCAGGGGTAAATGTAGGTTTGCGGGAAATGCGAGCCCTAGATATATAGAGGATGAACCCAGTTCGTACACGTTTGCCACTTAAGCGAAATCCATGAACCAAGTTAATGGGCGAGTTGGGCCTTTGCGGTCAGCGGTATTCAAGTAATTACATTGCAGGGAACAGCAGACGGTTTGTGGCTGCTAACCCCCTTTTTGTACGCGGTATGCGAGAGTCTAATTAGATGGTATTCGTGACGCGGTATTCGAGAGTCTAATTAGATGGTATTCGTGACGCGGTATTCGAGAGTCTAATTAGATGGTATTCGGGACGCGGTATTCGAGAGTCTAATCAGATGGTATTCGGGACGCGGTATGCGAGAGTCTAATTAGATGGTATTCGTGACGCGGTATTCGAGAGTCTAATTAGATGGTATTCGGGACGCGGTATTCGAGAGTCTAATCAGATGGTATTCGGGACGCGGTATTCGAGAGTCTAATCAGATGGTATTCGTGACGCGGGACGCAAATAAAATCTTATTTCGTACGCAGATTCAACATTAAAAAAATATTCTACTATTACGTAAAATCTTTCCTTTATACGATTTGTTTTATCCTTCCTGGTAGACTGAACTCACCTTTGAGGGACGTGACGTAGCCTTTCAGGAAGTCGTGTTCCCTCTGACTCTCTACCTTGGCCAGGCTCAGCCCGAAGTCTTTGCAGTACGCCTACAGTAGAGACAAGGTTAGAGTGAGTGAGTTGGATTTAACGCCGCTTTTTACAGTATTACAGTTGAATCGCGGCGTGTCAGCTAAATGTGGGAAGAGAGCCCGCAGGGATGCAGGTGTCAGACGTTAACCACTTCGGTGAAACCCACGAGCACGGGTATGGTGCTGACAAACCTAGAAACATAATCAGGGCGAACTTGGATTCGATACCCACATTCATAGGTTTCTGGTGTGTCCAAGGGGCGCGTTAGACGACTGGGCCACCCGTGTCCCCGACAAGTTTAGCCTGCGTCTGTGTACCACAGTGAGGTGAGGTGAGGTGAGGTGAATGGGGTTTAACGTCGCGTCCAAGACTATTGCACTTATAAAGTGGCGTGCATGCACGTGTGTGTGTGGCTGATTGTACTAGTCCGGACTAATGCCGAGTTTAAAGTGCTAGTCCACTGAGATACCATGTCGCGAATACCCAACTCAGACACAGTATACTGACTCCGAGCCGACACAGTATACTGACTCCGAGCCGACCAGTCCTTGTTTTAGCCCCTTAATGCCAAGCGCCAGACAGGGTAACAACAAGTACCATTTTTTAATGTCTTTTGGTATGACGCGGCTGTTGATCGAACCCCGGACCTTACGCTCTCCGGGCGGACACTCTACCGCTATACCACGCTGGCGGTCTCGCACCGCAGACTAGACTTGCTCACACGGTTACCTTCACACTTATGGAGTCCCCATGTCTTTAGGGGCCGACGGGATATGCTTGGGACTGTTTTGGAAAGTTCTGGGGAAAGTATTTTTTCCCTTAACAAATCGCTCAGTGAACATGCAGCATGTTCGGAGTTATCATGTTTTGTGAGTCCAAAACGACATTTTGTTTCAGAGAAAAAACCCTGTATGTCTTGACAGGTGACTGAAATTATACCTTTTGTAGTACAAATAATATCTTTCCATATACTAACTATGTGGCAGGTTTTCATTAAAACGTCGCCACAAGATGTGGAATTAACATGACCAGTATTCAGAATTTCCATTGTTTCCCTGCTGGATTAATTCGAGACATGGTGACATTGTCCCAATTCCCAATTGCGGCCGCATGTATAATTGCAAACATTCAGTCGTAACTTGTATTTCATTACATAGAGGGGAATAATCTGTATGTCTTGTAGATCGTAATTTACTGTTTAATTGGATACGTGAGAAAACCAAACTGTCAAACCGACATCATAACCTGGTCCCAGTGGATGTCTATTGCATGGGGACTTGGTTGTAGGTGCCCGGACTTCATGACGTCATACGTACCTCAGCTTCCGGCCAGGTGGCCTTCTCAGGGAACACTTTGTAGCAGGAGTCATCATGGCGGACAAAGCCGTTCGGGCAGCTGAAGACGACTGAAACTTATAAACCATCAAGATGAATGAAATTATCAACCACCCATCTTCCCGAGGCAAGAGAGTTAACTGACTATAAAAGTCCAGTTTCCACCGTTGCCGAACTAGGCTGGAATTCCTGGGCTCGATCGTAGCGCCACCAGTGGCTATTACGAGTTATGTCCTTTCTATGCCTCTCCTATTGACCAATCAGATTCAACCTCTCGTATCACTTGCATTTGCTTCAAACAAAACGGTGGCGCCAAGTCAAGACGATCTGATCGATAATCAAGATCTATATTGTGATAAAACGAGTCTTACATCGCGAAGCACATCAAATCACGTGATCACCTTGATTAAAAACATGAAAAGATGTAGAAAATGTCTGTTTACAACGAGTTAGCGGTGCACATGCTTTACAAATCCTGCAGTCGACCGAAATCTGCTAACACTTTACGAACCGGATTTCGATTTCGGTGCGCGATTTTGATTGGACTATGCATAAACTCGTTAGTCCAGCCAAATGTAACTCCATAATACCAGCCTAGTTCGGCAAGGGTGGAAACTGGACTTTTATAGTCAGTCAACTCACTTGCCTCGGGAAGATGTCAACCACCAAGATGAGTGAAACTTATCAACCACCAAGATGAGTGAAACTTATCAACTATCAGGATGATTGAGTAAATGTTGTTTTCCGCCTTCAGCAATATTCGATGATGATATATTTGAGGCTGGTGTCATTGGGGATATTACATTCATCATATCAAGGAGTATCTCACAACAGGCGACTGCTTTCAGTCTAGCAGGGTTTGTAATTTTTGGGGTCAAATCCAATTTTCAAGTATATACTTTCTTTTGCCTGGCAGTCTGTTTGATTCTATCCTACATTTCCACGTGGAGACAAGCATGGATCACTGGTCATCGCGTTTGTCCCAGAATATTCACGTGGAGACAAGTATGGGATACTGGGTGTTTTAGCTGGTAATGGTATGGGTTACCATTTTGCCCCAGAATTTCCACAGATCATGGAGCATGGAGAAACGGGGACATATTCTGCCCCGAATCTCCACGACATTCCTGGGTCATGACCACAAAGGGATGTTGTATGTTGCATATGTAGTTTGTAGTCATGTCACTCGAATATAAAGGACAGTAAAATGTTATACATATTATTATTTTTACATTGTGAAGCATTTTTTTATTGTTGAGCCGAGCGGCATTCATTTTCACATTCAGCCGACACTGACCAACTGATACGGGGGCACGGGTGGCCCAGTCGTCTAAGGCGCCGCGATTCGCTGTGCAGATTTGCGACCTTTGGGCACGCCAGAAACCTATGTAGTCTAATGGTTGTGGGTTCGAATCCCGGTTCGCCCTGATTATGTTTCTAGGTTTGTCAGCACCATACCCCTGCTCGTGGGTTTCAACGAAGTGGTAAACGTCTGAGACCTGCATCACTTCGGGCTTTCCTCCCACGTTAAGCTGACACGCCGCGATATAACTGGAATGCTGTTAAAAGCGGCGTTAAACCCAACTCACTCACTCTAACTGATACACTGCTCAAAGTGGCGTTTAACATAGCGATAGTCATTTGGCTATTGAATACCCCGATGACGTGGGACGTTGTTCATAATATCCATCTCTGGTTTGTTTGGTCCTGACTCGACAATGTACACGCCGCCGTCATATGTGTGTCGTATTGGTGTGTGTGGCGTGACACGATACACTGAACACATACTATTGACATATTTGTTTGTTTGTTGTTTAACGCCGCACTCAGTAATATTCCAGCTATATGACGGTGGCCTGTAAATAATCGAGTCTCGATCAGAAAATCCATCGATCTAGGCAATGGGGATACGATGACATACATGAACCACGTCAGAGAACCTGACCACCCGGTCAGGTCCGATCCATTGATCTAGGCAATGGGGATAAATTGACATGCATGAACCAAGTCAGAGAGCCTGACCACTCGGTCTGGTCCAATCCATCAATCTAGGCAATGGGGATACGATGACATGCATGAACCAAGTCAGAGAGCCTGACCACTCGGTCTGGTCCAATCCATCAATCTAGGCAATGGGGATACGATGACATGCATGAACCAAGTCAGAGAGCCTGACCACTCGGTCTGGTCCAATCCATCGATCTAGGCAATGGGGATACGATGACATGCATGAACCAAGTCAGAGAGCCTGACCACCCGATCCCGCTAGTCGCATCTTACATGTCAAGCATAGTCACCTTTTACGGCAAGCATGGGTTGCTGAAGACCTATTCTACCCCAGATCTTCACGGGTACACTGTAGACATGTGTACTTACTACTCGCTGCCGACAGGGTCAGAAGGAACAGGTGTTTCAAGAAAGCCGCCATGTTGGAGAAGATAGCCGCAACTAACTCGGACATACTAATCTACATTGCGGTGATTCCGCGTATATATAGCATCAAGGTCAACACTATCTCTCCTGGTTTTAAATTGAAAATTTGACATTCATTATTTTCATGTGTGTCATATACCATCCTCGATTATCAAGTGTGTTATGTGCCCACCAGAACCTGGACCCATCATTTGAATCATAAGATGCTAAATGTTGCCATGCAATCAAATTACGCTCATGAGTGAGAGAAATTCCGTGCTGAGTTAGTGACGAGAGATGGTGACGTCACTTCCGAAACGAAGCTATTGTGGAATAGAGTATTTATCATAATAAAATAGTGAGGTAAGTTGAGGTGAGGTTTAACGTCGCGTCCAAGATTACTGCACTGATATAGCGACGTGTATGCACGTGTGTGTGTGGCTGCTTGTACTAGTCCGGACTGATGCCAAATTATAGTGCTAGAAACAGTGAGATACCATGCCGCAGTTTAACATGAATACCCCACTCAGACACAATATACTGACTCCGAGCCGACATGTCCTTGTTTTAGCCCTTTAAGGCCGAGCACCAGACAGGGTAACAACAAGTACCATCTTTTAACGTCTTTTGGTATGACGTGGCCGTGGATCGAACCCCGGACCTTCCTCTCTTCGGGCGGACGCTCTACCACAAGACCACGGAGGCGGTCTAATAAAATGGAAATATAGGATAGGTCACAAATCAGTTGAAGTTAAGCAACGTTAGTTACGGAGAGTAGTTGGATGGGTCCTGTCTCACACTGAAGCACATTTAACACGTGGTGTCTCCTTGGGCAAGTTTGTTCGAAATGTGCCTCTGTTCACTCAGAAGTGAATAGGTACCCGGTAGGATGAGAAACAATGTGGTTGTTAACCTTCAAAGGCCTCATAGGCAACTTAGGTTGTATACTCCCCAGGGAGCTGGGAATGATTGTTGAGTGCACTCTGGTCCACTGACTATCGCTATGAGCATGTGGAAATATGCGCAATATAAATGGCCTATTATTAAGAGATGTCGACATTTTGGAAACTTCAAAATTCCAGAGTTATAGTGACTGTGTATTTCGGCATAACGGTAGTGTAAATACTGGATGTCCACATAGTAAACATTTCATGTTTGTGAGTGGATTTGGATTTGGATTTGGCAGTATCAAAGTGTTTATCAATAATCAAATCTTAACAAACCCGTGTAAGGTCAATCACCCAAGCGGCTAACGTCTTGTTCCAGATGACATAGCGTCATCTCCATTTAATGGATCGCGGTGCAGAGGTCCAAGGTCGTAAGAGCGACGAAAACGAAGATCGGAAGCCTAGTTGATGTGGTATGGGATGTAGCGATCCCCATTTACGAGTGGTAGCCTATCGGCTTTCACCATTTACGAGTGGTAGCCTATCGGCTTTCGGGGCGGTCTGGTAGCCTAGTGGTTAAAGCGTTCACTCGTCACGCCGAAGACCCGGGTTCGAATACCGACATGGGTACAATTTGTGAAGCCCATTTCTGGTGTCCCCCGCCGTGATATTGCTGGAATATTGCTAAAAGAGGCGAAAAACCCAAATTCACTCACTCACTATCGGCTTTCACCCGGGTTCGATTCCCGACATGGGTGCAACGTGTGACGCCCATATATCTGGTGGTTCCTGTCGTGATAGGATATTGCAACAATTTACTTGAAACCAAATAAAAAGGGAATAGTCCTAACAAAACAAGAAAACATTGAGGGCAAATGTTGGATTCGAAACCACGTTCATTGGATTCTGGCATACCCAAGGGACGTAACTCTGCAAAGCGACAAGACATCAGTTCCACCCGTGGCCTTCGGAAATAAGAATCATAAATAGTTGTCTGTGTAAAAATGACAAAAATATACATTTAGTTTTGAAAACCACTTTTATTTCATAAGGTACAGAACGAAAGTTCACTTTCCAGGGTTGAGGAATTGAAGTCTGAAAAATGCAAACAAGAAATTCATTTTGGACATCAGCAATGTAAATTTGAACAAATAAATACATTAAATAGAAGAACTACGGCCATTTTTCCTACTTTCTTAAAGAGTATGCTGTAGTTAAATGACGTGACTGATGAATGATAGATACAGTGCTGGGCCTAAGAAAGTACACACTTCAAAAATGGATTTAACCCGAAAATTTAAACGTTACATGGCTGAAATTTTCAGGTGAATAACACAAATATAAAGCTCGTACCAAATACACTGTAAATATGTGTTTAGAATGTGATCACATACAAGACATGTTTAGATCTAAACATGTTTAGGAATGTGTTTAAATCCTAAACGGAATAAACATTTGGTATATTCTATCGTCTCACAGCTTAAATACCGCCTAAACACAACATCCCCATAATATAAGAATATGTGGGTCTTTCCAATAATTAGATCCTAAACACGTTTAGTTGCTAAACACATTCCTAAACATGTTTGGACCACCGTGGTCTATTGCTAGAGCGTCCGCCCGTACAGGGAGGTCATGGGTTCGATCGACGGCCGCGTCATAGAAAAAGACGTTAAAAGATGGTACTTGTTGTTACCCTGCCTGGCGCTCGGCTTTAAGGGGATCAAACAAGTTTAAACCTTCAACGCGTCAAAATTATGGCACAAGCAATGCTCTCAGGTTTGTTTTCTGGATTTAAACACACTTTTTACCACTTTCATTTTTAGCATCCATCAAATACGTGCGTATACTTTCTTTTACTCAGTACTGGATTTGTGTCCACGAGGAACGGCAAGTGTTTGGAAGTAAAACATTAAACAGTACTTGAATGACGGCCACATGGACGTGTTACACTCACGGTTTCTCACACAAAGGGTACCCAGGGTACGTGCAGTGTTCGTCGTTCCATGTGAAGTTTTTCCGTGCATAGAAGGACAGACAGCGTTCAATGGCCCCCGAGTTATTGGGTTCCCCCGGGCCCCAGAAGAACGTCTCAATCTCCTCATCCGTCCCTGCCCACGCCCACTCAGTCGACATCATGTGGGAGCCCGCTGTCCAGAAATCGGGAGCATGGGTGTAGCTGCCTATAATAATAATAATAACCATAACAATAATATATAATAAATATGATGGTGGTGGTGTTGATGGTGATGACGACGATGACGACCAATAACAACGTGATGATGATAATGATGATGATGATGATGATGATGATGATGATGATGATGATGACGACGATGGTATTGTCAGAGAAGTACTACCGTGTGTGCTGGTTCTTTATTCTGACCGTCTGACTGAATATATGGACAACTGAAGTATGCTTTCAGGAAAATCGAAAAAAAAGAAGTTATTAATTATATATGAAACCAATATAGTAGTATTGATACACTAATCTCATATATACTGGGACGGAGGAATAACATGTGACCTCAGTGTCCTTGGTGACGACAGAGCTGGACTCACCTCTGTGGGTGTAGAGGTAGTCCTTGAGGAACTTGTACTCGTCTGGACTTTGGACAATGGTCAGACTCATGCCGAACGCCTTGCAGTACTCCTGTATGAGAAAGCAAAAGTTGTGTCAACAGCTACAACGTTCCAAATGATTAGCATATGCATTTAAAAATTACATGCATGTCTCATACATTGGCATTTTAATACACAGTTTTTTCACTCCGTGTTTTAGAAGTACATGTATTATGAATGAAATTAGAATATGAATAGTGTAAAACGGTCACATTATGGAATGTGCATGCATAACTTTACCATAAAAAGGGCAATTAGATTCTCAGATATTCTGGAGTAGCTCCGCGGCGTGGTTGCGTAGCTGCGCAAAAACAATTTCACCGCCTCTCCCCTCCCCCCATTAAAAGCACCAGTCCCTAAGAAAATGTAAAACTCCGTTTCCTGCTTCTTCTCCGTGTGTGTATTTTTTTGGTTCATATCACAATTATGTTATTATATGAAGCTAATCATGGCAATATTTTAGCAGAGGGGTACTGAATTTGTGAAACTTTGTGCCCGATAATTGTGAATAAACAATGGTCAAGTATAACCACCCTGAATACATTACGAATGCGAACAATAATTAAGGAGTGACGAACAAGTGACTCACATCAAACATTATGACGTGAGACCCCTACAGACGTATTGTGTTTCACAATAGCAGATAAAAGCGACATAACCCTTTTCATACAATCATATGAAATATCTGCTGAAGGCAGTGTCCATTAAACGATTTCGACTTTTTCAAAAGCACGTGTCAATGAATCACTATCAAATAGTGAGGATACCAGATGATCGCGAGCGTATTCTGCAGGTGGCACCCTAACGACGGCCAATGAGATAGCAGTATTCTTTAACAATGAATATATGATAGCTACGCGATAAATCGCAAAGAACACTGAAGAACTAACCGTGGTTTATTTCACGATAAAACATTGCTCTACCATGACGTCATTTCTGGAGATTCGAACATGCGCTCGCATCTTGATGATGTCGTAAAGGTGAAGACGTTATTTTTTAGAGGGAAGTGAGATGTTCTCCATAGATGTAGCTGGCAACCGCAGATGAGACGCAATGGGTGAACAATCGCATTCAAACAAATGTGGGTGAGATATGACAATAGGTATTGGGAGAAAAGGTACATATAATGGACGTGAAAATTGTGAGAATATCCGGGAAATACCAAAAGTAACGCCCCTATTAATAAAATGTACTTGTCCGACACTGCCGAGGTCGGAGTATTCAGGGAGTCATCTTTATTTAAATACGGGTAAATATTTTTTAAGCTTGTACATTCTATCAACATCGCAGGAGAGACTGTACAAAATGTTGATATCTTATATAAGAAATAAACGACTCGTGGTCCTTGTTTATCGTAAATAAAACACTGCTGGGACCCTCATGGTTTATTCTGCCTGCAGTGTTTTATTGTACGATACACAACTCCCACTCGTCGTTTATTTCATGAATAATATATTGTTGTTCACCCGGTGTATCAACAACGGAACATTTCTTTGTGGAATATTGTGATAGGGTTTGGTTATAAATGGTGATATATTGGTATATAGCCATGCGGAATATTTGAATATATCCCGGTTTACCATTGCAGTGAGCCAAGTGCCGGTCTCCGGGAGGACGATGTAGCAGGAACTACCATACTGAACAAAGCCCTTCTCACACGACGCACCTGTTAGAAAAGCAATAGGGAGTAATACGAGGACAACAAGATGAAGACAGTGTAACGGCAAAGTGATGCAAAATGAAGACAAACTGAATAAAAACGAAGACAAACTGAATACATGACGAAGACAAACAGATACAAAACGAAGACAAACTGAATACAATACGAAGACAACTAAATACAAATGAAGGATGACAAAATAAATATAAATAAACGAAGACAAACTGATACAAACTGAAGACAAACTGAATACAAAACGAAGACAAACTGAACACGAAATGAAGAAAAACTGAATACAAATAAACGAAGACAAACTGAATATAATACGAAGACAAACTGAATTCAAGTAAACGAAAACAAACTAAATACAAAATGAAGTCAAACTGATACAAAACGAAGACAAACTGGATGCAAAAAAAAACGAAGACAAACTGAATACAAACTGACGAAAAACTGAATAAAAACGAAGACAGACTGGATGCAAATAAACGAAGACAAGCTGAATACAAGACGAAGACAAACTAAATACAAATAACGAAGACAAATTAGTGCAAGTCGAAGACAAGCTGAATACAAGACGAAAACAAGAACTTACTGAGCGTCACGCTGATGGAGAGACAGAGAAGAAGGAGGAGCATGCCAACTGTTGTGGGGCTCTGACCTTGCCTTGTGTATTGTCTGGTGCTGGAACACTAACTGCGTGTTAAACTATATATGTTGACTAAGGCTTCAAGATAAGCGAGGTAGGTAATGAATCTAATATCTTTTTTATCTCTTATATAACATATTTGTTTTCAAAAACGAGGCCAATCAGATAAGCTGTATATATTATTCAGTATATAGGTCAGTGACTGTCAATGTTGAGCAAAAACTGAAATTTTGCGTGCGTCTAGAATTATCCTCGCGCATTGGCCTTTCGAGTTCCTGAGAAGTTTTTCTGATTACGTGTCTTGAAACAGTCCAAATACACTAAAATTAACACTCTGATGGTCAAATGGCCACGTCTTGTTAATTGCAGGGCACCAGGCGCCGTGCTTCATGTGTTTTGGGTTGGAGGAGGCTACATTGGGAATAGTCCGAAAGATTTTGAAAAGACAATTTATCTTTGACTCACATGTGTACAATGATACGCTACATACGAAATACTAACTATAAGTGTTACCCGGCACAATCATAAAAGGGAGCTACGTTCTGTTCAGACTGGTTTACCCTCCATAGAGCGCTTGCAATATCTGCATGTCTCAACTGCTCTACTTTATAATGAACATTATTACTACTATGTAGCTATTACTTTGAAAAGATTAAGCATGAAAAAGACCCGGGTAGAGAAGAGTTCTTAAGAAACTAATGCTTGCTGTAAGAGGCGACTATGCTTGTCGTAAGAGGCGGCTAACGGAATCGGGTGGTCAGGCTCGTAGATAGATGCCTATGACGCCAATCACTGGATTATCTGGTCCAGACTTGATTATTTACAGACCGTCGTCATAAAGCTGGAATATTGCTTAATGTGGTGTTAAACAAGGAACAACAAGAACACCTATGAGCCGTCACATTTGTTTAAACTCCAGCTGGTCAGACGTACGTTACGAAATGCAGTAAGATGCTCCACAGGCCGACAAAATTAAAAGTAAGTGAGTGAGTGAGTTGGGTTTGACGCCGCCTTTAACATTATTCCAGTTATATCACGGCGTGTCAGCTTAATGTGGGAGGAAGGCCCGAAGTGATACAGGTCTCAGACATTTACCACTTCGGTGAAACCCACGAGCTGGTGCTGACAAACCTAGAAACATAATCGGGGTGAACCGGGATTCGAACCCACAATCATAGGTTTCTGGCGTGTCCAGGGGACGCAATTCTGCACAGCGAATCGACGACTGGGCCACCCGTGCCCCCGGCAATATTCCAGCAATATCACGGAAATTGGTTTTACACATTGTACCAATGTCGGGAATCGAACCCGGGTCTTCGGCGTGACGAGCTAACGCTTTAACCACTAGCCTACCTGACCGCCCCAATAGGGGTTACAAGATAGATGACAAGATAGATATAATTAACCGCAACGCAACATTTCTTTGTAACTTTCGAACTCGTAGGGGGGGGGGGGGTATTCTAGTGGTTAAAGCGTTCGCTTATCACGCCGAAGCCCATTTCTTGTGACCCCAGCCAGGATATTGCTGGTATATTGCTAAAAGCGGCGTAAAATCATACTCACTCACTCCAATGAGGAGGGAGGCAGAAACTGATGGTGCGGTCACCAAATATTGAACAAAAGGTCACGTGTTGATATGTTTGGTCGTCCAAATTACCTGAGTGGTGATTTACATCTTCCACTAACATTTGTATAAGGTATTGTGATGAAGGGTAGTTCAGATCTATCAATGTATGGGAACAAATATACAGGCCTCAGCTATGCCCAAGTTGGATACTACTTTTCAGTATCTCCGACTCTTATTATGATAATGATAACTGTACTCAGTCCAGAACCGCGGACCGCGAACTATCCCTTGCATGTCATTCAGTGGGTAGCAATGAAAAAATCCTTCAACAGGATCTTAGTATGTCTCAAATGTCAGCGAGGTGGGTACCCAGAAACCTTAATCTGCAAGATCTCCACCATGGGATGGAGTGCAGTGAAGAGCTCCTTGAAGTCGGATACAACAGATTGTATCATGTTCAATAACGAGAGATGGGACATGGGTTCATCATTGGGATCCAGAGACCAAAACTGAATACTTGCAATGGAAGCATCCAACACATCCGGCACCTAAGACGTTCGGAGTCACCCTTCAGCAGGAAAGATCATGGCCTCAGTATTTAGGTATTCCAAGGGAGTGTTATTGGTGGAATATCTGCCCCGCAAAAACACACAATACCAGGCCAGTGTCATACCAACATTTTGAAATGAATACACACAAAGCGCAGAGGATGTTCACGCTTGGGGTTCTGCTGTTGCACGAGGATTGATGAGTACAGACAGTACTAGACTGAGGCCAAGGATTGATGAGTACTTGGAAACAAGGAGTAAATAGATAGCATTTAAGCGGTGGCCACATACATTGATGACTACATGGAAACAAGTAGCACATTGAATAGTACTTAAATCGGAGGCCATACGGACGTTGAATTATCCCCCTACAGCCCAGACCTTGCCCAAGTGACTAGTATCTTTAGACAACTTTATCTTGCATTCGGGAAAACATTTATCAGATGCCTTTAAGTCTGCAGTTGACGACTTGTTTGGAACAGAAAGGTTTTGTTATAGAGGGATAAACAAGCCTGAGGGATATATGGACCAAATGAGCTGGAAAGGCGGATCATTATGTCAAAATATATAAATGATTTTAAATAGTGGTCCTTAGCTTTGGATATGACTTGCACACCTTTTTAAACGCCCCTCGTAACTCCCATTCCGACTTCTGCAGGCTATCGTGATATGTCTCCTGTTATTATTTTGCTTTATGCATCGCAATTTGCTGTTCCGTAATGATAACCAAGTAAGACTTGCATTAAAGCTACCATGATTCGATTGAAATACTGTTCAGCGTAAGATCGACCCTTCACCCTACTACCACGATTCGAGTAAAATACTGTCCAGCGTCAGATCGACCCTTCACCCACCTACCATGATTCGATTGAAATACTGTTCAGCGTCAGATCACCCCTTCACCCACCTACCATGATTCGATTGAAATACTGTCCAGCGTCAGATCACCCCTTCACCCACCTGCCATGATTCGATTGAAATACTGTCCAGTGTCAGATCGACCCTTCACCAACCTACCATGACTCGATTGAAATACTGTCCAGCGTCAGATCGACCCTTCACCAACCTACCATGACTCGATTGAAATACTGTGCAGCGTCAGATCGACCCTTCACCCACCTGCCATGACTCGATTGAAATACTGTCCAGCGTCAGATCGACCCTTCACCCACCTACCATGACTCAAATGAAATACTGTCCAGCGTCAGATCGACCCTTCACCCACCTACCACGATTCCACCCGATCCCGTTAGTCGCATCTTACGACAAGCATAGTCGGCTGTTACTGCAAGCATGGGTTGGTGAAGAACTATTCTACCATGTAGATAAGAAATGTACTCGTAAAGTTTAGATAAATAAATTGTACCTGTAATATATACATCAGCAACATTGTACCTGTAATATGCAGCGCAGCATCTTCCTGGTAGTAATGTGTAGATCAAGAACAATGCGTCAGTAATGTATACATCAAGAACAATGCATCAGTAATGTGTAGATCAAGAACAATGCATCAGTAATGTGTAGATCAAGAACAATGCATCAGTAATGTGTAGATCAAGAACAATGCATCAGTAATGTGAAGATCAACATCAATGCATCAGTTATGTGTAGATCAAGAACAATGCATCAGTAATGTGGAGATCAACAACAATGCATCAGTAATGTGTAGATCAAGAACAATGCATTAGTAATGTGTAGATCAAGAACAATGCATCAATAATGTGTAGATCAAGAACAATGCATCAGTTATGTGTAGATCAACACCAATGCATCAGTAATGTGTAGATCAACAACAATGCATCAGTAATGTGTAGATCAAGAACAATGCATTAGTAATGTGGAGATCAAGAACAATGCATTAGTAATGTGTAGATCAAGAACAATGCATCAGTAATGTGTAGATCATGAACAATGCATCAGTAATGTGTAGATCAAGAACAATGCATCAGTAATGTGTAGATCATGAACAATGCATCAGTAATGTGTAGATCATGAACACTGCATCAGTAATGTGTAGATCAAGAACAATGCATCAGTAATGTGGAGATCAAGAACAATGCATCAGTAATGTGGAGATCAAGAACAATGCATCAGTAATGTGTAGATCAAGAACAATGCATCAGTAATGTGTAGATCAAGAACAATGCATTAGTAATGTGTAGATCAAGAACAATGCATCAGTAATGTGTAGATCATGAACAATGCATCAGTAATGTGTAGATCAAGAACAATGCATCAGTTATGTGTAGATCAACAACAATGCATCAGTAATGTGTAGATCAACAACAATGCATCAGTAATGTGTAAATCAAGAACAATGCATCAGTAATGTGGAGATCAACAACAATGCATCAGTAATGTGTAGATCAAGAACAATGCATCAGTAATGTGGAGATCAAGAACAATGCATCAGTAATGTGTAGATCAAGAACAATGCATCAGTAATGTATAGATCAAGAACAATGCATCAGTAATGTGTAGATCAAGAAATATGCATCAGTAATGTGTGTAGATCAAGAAAATTGCATCAGTAATGTGTAGATCAAGAACAATGCATCGGTAATGTGTAGATCAAGAACAATGCATCAGCAATGTGTAGATCAAGAATAATGCATCAGTAATGTGTAGATCAAGAACAATGCACCAGTAATGTGTAGATCAAGAACTATCTACTGGATAATGTGTAGAACATTGTAGAAGTTGTTTTTAGACCACATCTAGTAATGTAGTACGGGTGGTACATATATAAACCAGAAACAAAGAACTGTAGTATACAGACAGGCAACATTCCAATACTAATGTGTAGACCAGCATCATTGTACTAGTAGTATAAACACCAGCAGCATTGTACTGGTAGTATAAACACCAGCAGCATTGTACTGGTAGTATAAACACCAGCAGCATTGTACTGGTAGTATAAACACCAGCAGCATTGTACTGGTAGTATAAACACCAGCAGCATTGTACTGGTAGTCTAAACACCAGCATCGTTGTTCTAGTAGTATAAACACCAGCAGCATTGTACTGGTAGTATAAACACCAGCATCATTGTACGTGTGGCATATAAACCCGCAATACTGTTCTGACAATAAATGGTATTTGAATGAGTTTACAAAGATTATTCCCAATCTTCTTCACGATCCGGCAGGCATCGATTTCATTAAGAGGCGCGCACAGGGACACAAGCAACATAGACTAAATTTTCTGTGTCAACAAAACTTTATATCATTTGAAGACCTGATTTATTTCGTGGGCTACAGAGAGTCAATTCACTTTCCAGGCATCAGTTGTAGTCTGAAAAAGAAACGTTTGGAAACGTGCATATTTTTATATCAATAATAAATGCAATATTGAATGGTGTGACTGAGGCCGCAATGATAAATAAGAGTACATAGTACTTGAATACATACTCGTAGTACTTGATTGTACAATGAGTACTGAGTATAGACTGTGCGTGCATGGTGGTCACAAGGATTGTTGAGTACAGACTATAGACAGTACTTGACTGAGGCCATAATGATTGATGAGTACTTGGAAACAACAAGTGCACTGTGTGTGTGTGAGGGGGAGGGGGGGGGGGGGGGGGGAGCTATTTGTAGCAGTTTTAAGCCTAGTAATATTTAGATAACTTTTGAAATTTTCGGGTCAAATCCATGTCTTGTATGTGTTTACATTCTAAAAACATTTTTACAGTATAAATAGATGGCATTTGAACGGTGGCCACATTTACTGATGAGTATATGGAAACTACTAGCACAGTGAACAGTACTTGAAGGAGAGGCCATATGGACGTGTTACACTCACTGTTTCTCACATACAGGGTGCCCAGGGTACGTGCAGTGCTCGTCGTCCCAAGTGAAATTTGCTTTGGCAAAGAAGGACAAACAGCGTTCGGTGCTGCCCAAGTTATTGGGTTCACCCGGGCCCCAGAAGAACGTCTCTATCTCCTCATCTGTCCCTGCCCACGCCCACTCTGTCGACATCATGTGGGTGCCCGCTGTCCAGAAATCGGGAGCTTGCGTGTAGGTGGCTATAATAGAAGAACACGACAGAAGTATTTACTTAAACAATGGATAAAACGACTGAATATTAATACAAAATGATAGATGCACTACAATGAGCTGATACGTATACCAATTTGGAGGACAGTATCTGCGACATCACTGTCCTTGATCACGACAGAGCTGGACTCACCTCTGTGGGTGTAGAGGTAGTCCTTGAGGAACTTGTACTCGTCTGGACTCTGGACAATGGTCAGACTCATGCCGAACGCCTTGCAGTACTCCTGTATAAAAGAGTAAACCTGTTGTCAACGTCCATACTAATCCGTTGCATATTAAAATGAAAAGCATTTATATTTGTTCCCATACATTGATAGATCTGAACTACCCTTCATCGCAATACTTTATACACATGTTAGTCTACTGACTTAAGGAAGGTGTAAATCACCACTCAGGTAATTTGGACGACCAAACATATCATCACTGGCCTTTTGTTCAATATTCGGTGACCGCAACGTCCGTTTCTTCCTCCTTCCTCGTTGGGCTGAGTGAATATGAATTTACACCACTTTTAGAATTATTCCGGCAATATCCTGGCTGGGGACACCAGAAATAGGCTTCACACATTGTACCCATGTGGGGAATTGAACACTGGGCTTCGGCGTGACTAGCGAACGCTTTAACCAGTGGAGGGGCGGAAAGAAATGTTACGGTGAATTATGTGTCATCTATCTTGTAACTCCCATTGGAGTCACGTGGCCAGTATGGTAACTTAAATTGTTACTCCCACCAGATTTCAATGGATTTGTATAAGACGACAACTGGCTAATAAGATAGCTTTAACAAATCATGATAAATTGTTTCAAATTGTTTGTTTGTTTGTTGATGAACGCCGCATTCAGCAATATGCCAGCTATATGACTGCGGTCTGTAAATAATGGAGTCTGGACCAGACAATCCAGTTATTGATGTCACGATGGCATGCATCAACCAAGCCAGCGAGCCTGACCACCAGATCCCGTTAGTCGCTTCTTACAACAAGCATAGTCGCCTTTTACGTCAAGCATGGGTTGCCGGAGACCTATTCTATCCCGGATCTTCACGGGTTGATAAATTGTGAAACGCCCGCTTTATCCATGATGGTATAATGCTATCTGGCCTGGTGTATTTAGAAATGTTTTGGTTATAAGTGGTGATATATTGTTATATAGCATTGTGTCAATATTGTATATTTGTTGTAGATACGGGTTTACCATTGCAGTGAGCCAGGTGCCGGTCTCCGGGAGGACGATGTAGCAGGAACTACCATACTGAACAAAGCCCTTCTCACACGACGCGCCTGTAAGGAAGACAACGCGGAAAGGATACGGCGAAATCAAGACAACAGTGATAAAAGAAAAGTTTTAACTATTTCGTTTATATATCCAGGGAAGAGTGAATACAAGACAAGATATGTCAAATAGGAGTGGGTGAGATGGGATGAACGCCGCTTTGAACAGTATTCCAGTTATATCGCGGCGTGTCAGCTTAATGTGGCAGGAAAGACCGAAGTGATGCAGGTCTCAGACGTTTACCACTTTGGTGAAACCCAAGAGCAGGGCTGTGGTGTTGACAAATCTAGAAACATAATCGGGGCGAACCGGATTCGAACCATAATTCGAATCACAGGTTTCCGGTGTTCTCAAGAGACGCAACCCTGCATAGCGAAATGCGGAGCCTCAGATGACTTGTCCACCCATGCCTCCAGTCCAATAGCAAGAGAACGTAAAGACTTAGTGAATTATCAAAACAAGCAAGATACATTCTAGCTCATAAGACGAAACAAGGTGAATACAACACAAAGAAAAATTAATACAACGCAAAGAGCTGGTCTGGCCCAGACCCGAATATGTACAGACCATCGAAATACAGCTGATATATTGCTGAGTGCGGCGTCAAACAAGAAAGCCAAAGGCAATGTAAATAATGGATGAACAGAAGCTGAATATACACCGAAAGGGCTGCTTTAAACAGTGTTTATGGCACAGCAAAGCTTGAAAAGTGGACACAATATGAAAAGAAGAATACAATATTAAAAACTCAGAGAAAAACAGGGTGAAAATTTTGGGAAAAAATAAATGAAGACAACACGAGTATTTTGGTTGGTGTGCTTCTTCTAACGAAACAGAATGTTTGAATTTGGAACGTACTTAGCGTCACGCTGATGGAGAGGCAATCTTTTCATGGCAGGACATGAACTTACTGAGCGTCACGCTGATGGCGAGTCAGTCTCCTCAAGAGAGGACATGAACTTACTGAGCGTCACGCTGATGGAGAGACAGTCTCCTCAAGACAGGACATGAACTTACTGAACGTCACGCTGATGGAGAGGCAGTCTCCTCAAGGCAGGACATGAACTTACTGAGCGTCACGCTGATTGAGCGACAGTCTCCTCAAGGCAGGACATGAACTTACTGAGCGTCACGCTGATGGAGAGACAGACTCCTCAAGGCAGGACATGAACTTACTGAGCGTCACGCTGATGGAGAGACAGTCTCCTCAAGGCAGGACATGAACTTACTCAGCGTCACGCTGATGGAGAGACAGTCTCCTCAAGGCAGGACATGAACTTACTCAGCGTCACGCTGATGGAGAGACAGTCTCCTCAAGGCAGGACATGAACTTACTCAGCGTCACGCTGATGGAGAGACAGTCTCCTCAAGGCAGGACATGAACTTACTGATCGTCACGCTGATGGAGAGACAGTTTCCTCAAGGCAGGACATGAACTTACTGAGTATCACGCTGATGGAGAGACAGTCTCCTCAAGGCAGGACATGAACTTACTCAGCGTCACGCTGATGGAGAGACAGTCTCCTCAAGGCAGGGCATGAACTTACTCAGCGTCACGCTGATGGAGAGACAGTCTCCTCAAGGCAGGACATGAACTTACTCAGCGTCACGCTGATGGAGAGGCAGTCTCCTCAAGGCAGGACATGAACTTACTGAGCGTCACGCTGATGGAGAGACAGAGAAGAAGGAGGAGCATGCCAACTGTTGTGGGACTCTGACCTTGTGTATTGTCTGGTGCTGGAACACTGACTGCGTGTTAAACTATATATGTTGACTAAGGCTTCAAGATAAGCGAGATAGGTAATGAATCTAATACAGTATTTTTCTCAGAAACGAGGTCAATCCGATAAGCCGTACAAATTATTTCTTAGTTCATGTCCTTAAAAGTTAAAATGAACATGTGTTTGCGTGCGATTAGAATTATTTTTTATTTTCACAAATGGAAATGTATTCGTCGCTACATTAAATATGGAATGTTAGATGCTCGGGTTCGAATACGAGATTGTCTAACTTCAGATATCCTGATAAGATGATGGGCAATGATGTATTTGTTTGTCCAAATGTGTGTTGAACTCATAATACCTGAATCAGACCTCCCTCAAGGCTGACGGTTTGTTGGCTCCCAATAGTCTGCCTGTTGTCGAGCTATGTCGTCAATGTTGGTGGCGTAAAAATCATACGTGGGTGCGATGGCCGTAAGCATCGTAATTTGCTGCCCGGAGTTCCGTCCCTTTGATGCCAGGATCCACTGATCGTGGGTTCGAATCGACTGCGATCCTTTGATCCAAGGCCATGTTCGTGGGTTTCACGGCATCGTAATCGTGTAGACCTGCATTTAATCTTATCCGATTTGAGCTAATTCAAGTAGTGTTTAAAACAGCGCTACATGCACCGCCTCGCTATACTCATACCAGCCGTGTGTAGAAGGCCCACACACACATGGAAATAAGGAATGTAGAAACATATTCTGTGTAAACTGATTTATTTCGTGAGCTACAGAGAGACAATTCACTTTCCAGGGTTTAGTTGAAGTCTGAAGAAACAACAGATACGAAACTTAGTTGGGGCATAGGCAATGTATATAATATGAATAAATATATCATTTACCTGAAATCAGTTAAAGAAATCTCAATGACATAAGGTCATAATTTTCTTAATAATTATGCAAGACTTTAATGGCATGACCTGAGGTCACAGGGATTGCTGAGTATAGAAAGTACTTCACTGACGGCCAGAAGGATTGCTGAGTATAGAAATGACTTCACTAAAGGTCACAAGAATTGCTGAGTATAGAAAGTACTTCACTGACGGCCAGAAGGATTGCTGAGTATAGAAATGACTTCACTAAAGGTCACAAGAATTGCTGAGTATAGAAAGTACTTCACTGACGACCACACGGGTTGCGGAGTATAGAAATGACTTCACTCAAGGTCACAAGGATTGCTGAGTATAGAAATGACTTCACTAAAGGTCACAAGGATTGCTGAGTATAGAAAGTACTTAACTGACGACCACAAGGGTTGCTGAGTATAGAAATGACTTCACTAAAGGTCACAAGGATTGCTGAGTATAGAAATGACTTCACTAAAGGTCACAAGGATTGCTGAGTATAGAAATGACTTCACTAAAGGTCACAAGGATTGCTGAGTATAGAAAGTACTTAACTGACGACCACAAGGGTTGCTGAGTATAGAAATGACTTCACTAAAGGTCACAAGGATTGCTGAGTATAGAAATGACTTCACTAAAGGTCACAAGGATTGCTGAGTATAGAAATGACTTCACTAAAGGTCACAAGGATTGCTGAGTATAGAAAGTACTTAACTGACGACCACAAGGGTTGCTGAGTATAGAAATGACTTCACTAAAGGTCACAAGGATTGCTGAGTATAGAAATGACTTCACTAAAGGTCACAAGGATTGCTGAGTATAGAAATGACTTCACTAAAGGTCACAAGGATTGCTGAGAACATGGAACCATGTTTTGTTTGTTTGTTTGTTGTTTAACCCCACACACGGCAATATTCCAGCTATATGGCGGCGGTATGTAAAAAATCGAATCTGGACCAGACAATCCAGTGATGGATACCATGAACATCGATTCACGCAATTGGGATACAATGACATGCATCAACCAAGTCAGCGAGCTTGACCACCCGATCCTTTAGTCACCTCTTACGACAAGCACAGTCGCCTTTTACGACAAGCATGGGTTGCTGAAGACGTTCTACCCCGAATCTTCACGGGTCATGGAAACATATATGTAGTTGACATGGTTCTTGAATGAGGCAAATGGACGTGCTACACTCACTGTTTCTCACATACAGGGTACCCCGGGAAAGTGCAGTGCTCGTCATCCCAAGTGAAATTTGCTCTTGCATAGAAGGACAGACAGCGTTCAGTGTTGCCGGAGTTGCTCGGTTCCCCCGGGCCCCAGAAGAACGTCTCAATCTCTTCCCCCGTCACTGCCCACGCCCACTCAGTCGACATCAGGCGGGTGCCCGCTGTCCAGAAATCGGGAGCTTGTGTGTAGGTGCCTGTGGTGATGATGATGATGATAACGATACCATTTATTATCCTTTAGTTGTAAGCGCGCCAAATGATTCTGAATAGGAATAGACTGAATAGGGAGTTTGTCAAACAATATGAACCTGAAAACACGAAGGTGTTGAGCTTATTGCTTCGGCTGCTGTTTATAATATCCACCACAAAAAAAAGAAACGCAAAATAAATTAAATCAGTACAATATGTCAGAAGTAATTTGGCGGTACAAACATATAGCCATTGTTACAGTTGCCACAAAAGGCAGATCATAAACTTGCAAATTCGCCAAAACGCACCCAAGTGCAAACCACGTGACTATTTGTTTACCGTGGCCCATGTCGTAAACTCGACCCCTTCATTATTTAGACTTATAACACGTGTATACATTTTCAAAGAAAGCTTTTGCTGTATTCAAAGGTGGGTGGGTTGGGAACAATATCCATATTTATGAAGCTTGTGAAGACCGGTTTGAAAATCAGCATCGGACGCTGTTAGAACGTTATAGAGATATGACTCGTAGCCATGTGACAGTGACCAGTGGATGTCGGATAGTAAAATTAGGACATAACATCGGTACGATCTCGCAGCCGTGCTCGAGCGATAGCACGTGCCTCCTCACTTCTTGTGATCAGGACAGAACTGGACTAGCTACTGTATTTCTGTTCATAAGTACATTAACACAACTGAGTATTTTCTTTGAAAATCGAGAAACCGATTGAATATTAATACAAAATGATAGAGGCGATACAATGAGCTGATACATATTGGAGGAGAGCATCTGCGACCTCACTGTCCTTGATGACGACAGAACTGGACTCACCTCTGTGGGTGTAGAGGTAGTCCTTGAGGAACTTGTACTCGTCTGGACTCTGGACAATGGTCAGACTCATGCCGAACGCCTTGCAGTACTCCTGTATTACGATGGGAATTATTGTCAATAACATCTGTGTCTGTGTCCGGGTATCTTAGATATAAGACAGTACACAGCACCACGTATTTGTTTCCAGACATCGATACAACTTCATCGACTGTGGAAAGTGGAAATCTTCACTCGGGTAATTTTGTCGACATAATATCAGGTGACCTGTTCAACGTCTGGTCGGCGTTGAAAGATTGCGCGACGTTAACTAAGTGATTAGTGATTAGGCGGAGGAGGGCTATTATCTGCTAGAATCGGTTTCGAAACAAAGCGTCATCAACAGACTATGGCAGCAGCATCGTCGGTTTGTTCCTCCCTCCTCGTTGGAAGATGCTGCGACATTAATTGACTGATGGAAGGCGTGGAAGGGCTATTGCGTGACATCGTGACTGGTTCTTCTCAATGTGACATACATGAGACTCGGTGTAGAGCAAAAACGTCATCGACAGACAGTGGCCGCGGCATCAATCTAACGTCGTGAGATGGCGGAACGCGAATGTCTGGTGATGAGGTGGACAGTAGCCATCTCCGTCTTTCATATCAGACCGCCTCCGTGGTCTAATGGTAGAGCGTCCGCCCCGAGAGCGGAAGGTCCGGGGTTCAATCCCCGGCCGCGTCATACCAAAAGACGTTAATAGATGGTACTTGTTGTTACCCTGTCTGGCGCTCGGCATTGAGGGGCTAAAACAAGGACTGGTCGGCTCGGAGCTAGCACTATAATTTGGCATCAGTCCGGACTAGTACAAGCAGCCACACAAACACACACACGTACATGCACGTCGCTATATAAGTGCAATAATCTTTGACGCGACGTTAAACACCATTTCACCTCACCTTTCATATCACATTTGTTAATTATCTCCCTTTGCCAAAGGCGATCGTAAGGTGTATGGGCTTCACACCATATTGTTACTCTTTTTAGTTTACCAATCATGATTTACTGTAAGGGGCACGGGTGGCCCAGTCGTCCAAGACGCCGCGATTCGCTGTGCAGAGTTGCGTCACTTAAGGCACGCCAGAAACCTATGATTGTGGGTTCAAATCCCGGTTCGCCCCGATTATGTTTCTAGGTTTGTCAGCACCATAGTTTCACCGAAGTGGTAAACGTCTGAGACCTGCATCACTTCGGGCTTTCCTCCCACATTAAACTTACAAGCCGTGATATGACTGGAATAATGTTAAAAGCGGCGTTAAACCTAACTCACTCACTCACTAACTGATTTACTGTACAATAATACGAGAGATGATTGACAAGTCCTAAGCCTCACACAGAAGGAATTATAGTGAAATCATGTGTTGTGGACAGTACATGATGCCATAGAGGTATATGCACAAAATATTAAGTCAGGTGGACTAATTGTTTTGCTCTGACAGGTCAGTGAAATACGCAGGGGGATAGGACCTTTAGGAACATGGACAAACTTGAATAACGTGTTGTGGTCAAAAACTTGCAGAAAAGGGCCTATAACTGTTATGGTTATAAGTGGTGATATATAGGTATGAATACACAATGCCATTTAGAATGTGGTCAAATGTAACAAATATCATATTTGGGATAACACTTTCTTAGTAAAGTACAGATTGTCGTACTTTTTTGGGTTGAGTCCCGTCCGTACTCAAAGTACGTGATCTAGACTACCAGTTGTCGGACTTTCATTTTTGTGGAAGCCTCGGTGGTTGAGTGGGTTAGATCGCTGACTTTGTGTGCTGGCGATTAGGTGCCTCACTCTGGCAAGTGTGGGTTCGAATCACTGACGGGACTCAACCCAAAAAAGTACGAGAATCTGTACTTTACTGAGAAAGTGTTATCCCAAATATAACATTTGTTAGATATAAAGGTATATGCCATGTTGTATACATTGTATATTGTTGTATATCCCGGTTTACCATTGCGGTGAGCCAGGTGCCGGTCTCCGGGAGGACGATGTAGCAGGAACTACCATACTGAACAAAGCCCTTCTCACACGACGCACCTAGGGGAGAAGAAAATGGCGAGGAAAATTGGCGATGTCAAGATGAAGACAGAGTAAAGGCAATCATTTGACAAAGTGAATAAATGATAAAAACGAAGTGAATACAAGATAAACGTTAAATACTATTTCGATAGGAAGAAAACGTGAAGACAAAGTGGATAAAGAATTAAAACAAGCAGAATATAAACTGAATACAAGATGACAAGACGAAGTCAATGTAATACAAGATGAAGAGCGTGTCTGGTCCAGACTCGATTATTTACAGGCCGACCTGTGCAGATCCGGGGTAGAATAGGTCTTCAGCAACCCATGCTTTCCGTAACCGGCGACTGTGCTTGTCGTGAGAGGCGACAAACGGGATCGGGTGGTCATGCTGGCTGACTGGGTTGATGCATGTCATCGTATCACAAGTGTATGGATCGATTCTCATGATATCAATCACTGGACTCGATTATTTAGAGACCGCCGTCATATAGCTGAGTGCGGCGTCAAACAACGATAAACAGACAATCAAGAAATATTTACAGGCCAGTCTCCTCAAGACAGGACATGAACTTACTGAACGGGGGGCACGGGTGGCCCAGTCGCCTAAGGCGCCGCGATTCGCTGGGCAGAGTTGCGTCCCTTGGGCACGCCAGAAACCTATGATTGTGGGTTCGAATCCCGGTTCGCCCCGATTATGTTTCTAGGTTTGTCAGCACCATACCCGTGCTCGTGGGTTTCACCGAAATGGTAAACGTCTGAGACCTGCATCACTTCGGGCTTTCCCCCCACATTAAGCTGACACGCCGTGATATGACTGGAATAATGTTAAAAGTGGTGTTAAACCAACTCATTCACTCACTCACTCACTCACTCACTCACTCACTCACTTACTGAACGTCACGCTGATGGAGAGACGCTCTCCTCAAGACAGGACATGAACTTACTGAGCGTCACGCTGATGGAGAGACAGTCTCATCAAGACAGGACATGAACTTACTGAGCGTCACGCTGATGGAGTGGCAGTCTCCTCAAGACAGGACTTGAACTTACTGAGCGTCACGCTGATGGACAGACAGTCTCCTCAAGACAGGACATGAACTCACTGAGCGTCACGCTGATGGAGAGACAGTCTCCTCAAGACAGGACATGAACTTACTGAGCGTCACGCTGATGGAGAGACAGTCTCCTCAAGGCGGGACATGAACTTACTGAGCGTCACGCTGATGGAGAGACAGTCTCCTGAAGGCAGGACTTTAACTTACCGAGCGTCACGCTGATGGAGTGACAGTCTCCTCAAGGCAGAACATGAACTTACTGAGCGTCACGCTGATAGAGAGACAGTCTCCTCAAGGCAGGACATGAACCTACTGAGCGTCACGCTGATGGAGAGACAGTCTCCTCAAGGCAGAACATGAACTTACTGAGCGTCACGCTGATAGAGTGACAGTCTCCTCAAGGCAGGACTTGAACTTACTCAGCGTCACGCTGATAGAGAGAGAGAGAGTCTCCTCAAGACAGGACATGAACTTACTGAGCGTCACGCTGATAGAGAGACAGTCTCCTCAAGGCAGGACATGAACTTACTTAGCGTCGAGCTGATGGAGAGACAGTCTCCTCAAGGCAGGACATGAACTTACTGAGCGTCACGCTGATGGAGAAAGAGTCTCCTCAAGACAGGACGTGAACTTACTGAGCGTCACGCTGATAGAGAGAGAGTCTCCTCAAGGCAGGACATGAACTTACTGAGCGTCAGGCTGATGGAGAGACAGTCTCCCTAAGGCAGGACTTGAACTTACTGAGCGTCACGCTGATGGAGAGACAGTCTCCTCAAGGCGGGACATGAACTTACTGAGCGTCACGCTGATGGAGAGACAGTCTCCTCAAGACAGGACATGAACTTACTGAGCGTCACGCTGATGGAGAGGCAGTCTCCTCAAGACAGGACATGAACTTACTGAGCGTCACGCTGATGGAGAGGCAGTCTCCTCAAGACAGGACATGAACTCACTGAGCGTCACGCTGATGGAGAGACAGTCTCCTCAAGACAGGAGATGAACTTACTGAGCGTCACGCTGATGGAGAGGCAGTCTCCTCGAGACAGGACTTGAACTTACTGAGCGTCACGCTGATGGAGAGACAGTCTCCTCAAGACAGGAAATGAACTTACTGAACGTCACGCTGATGGAGAGACAGTCTCCTGAAGGCAGGACATGAACTTACTGAGCGTCACGCTGATGGAGAGACACTCTCCTCAAGACAGGACATGAACTTACTGAGCGTCACGCTGATGGACAGACAGTCTCCTCAAGACAGGACATGAACTCACTGAGCGTCACGCTGATGGAGAGACAGTCTCCTCAAGACAGGACATGAACTTACTGAGCGTCACGCTGATGGAGAGACAGTTTCCTCAAGACAGGACATGAACTTACCGAGCGTCACGCTGATGGAGAGACAGTCTCCTCAAGGCGGGACATGAACTTACTGAGCGTCACGCTGATGGAGAGACAGTCTCCTGAAGGCAGGACTTTAACTTACCGAGCGTCACGCTGATGGAGTGACAGTCTCCTCAAGACAGGACATGAACTTACCGAGCGTCACGCTGATGGAGAGACAGTCTCCTCAAGGCGGGACATGAACTTACTGAGCGTCACGCTGATGGAGAGACAGTCGCCTGAAGGCAGGACTTTAACTTACCGAGCGTCACGCTGATGGAGTGACAGTCTCCTCAAGGCAGGACATGAACCTACTGAGCGTCACGCTGATGGAGAGACAGTCTCCTCAAGGCAGGACATGAACTTACTGAGCGTCACGCTGATGGAGAGACAGTCTCCTCAAGGCAGGACTTTAACTTACCGAGCGTCACGCTGATGGAGTGACAGTCTTCTCAAGGCAGGACATGAACTTACTGAGCGTCACGCTGATGGAGAGACAGTCTCCTCAAGGCAGGACATGAACCTACTGAGCGTCACGCTGATGGAGTGACAGTCTCCTCAAGGCAGGACTTGAACTTACATAGCGTCACGCTGATAGAGAGAGAGAGAGTCTCCTCAAGACAGGACATGAACTTACTGAGCGTCACGCTGATAGAGAGACAGTCTCCTCAAGGCAGGACATGAACTTACTTAGCGTCAAGCTGATGGAGAGACAGTCTCCTCAAGGCAGGACATGAACTTACTGAGCGTCACGCTGATGGAGAGAGAGTCTCCTCAAGACAGGACGTGAACTTACTGAGCGTCACGCTGATAGAGAGAGAGTCTCCTCAAGGCAGGACATGAACTTACTGAGCGTCAGGCTGATGGAGAGACAGTCTCCCTAAGGCAGGACTTGAACTTACTGGGCGTCACGCTGATGGAGAGACAGTCTCCTCAAGAGAGGACATGAACTTACTGAGCGTCACGCTGATGGAGAGACAGTCTCCTCAAGGCAGGACATGAACTTACTGAGCGTCACGCTGATGGAGAGACAGTCTCCTCAAGGCAAGGACATGAACTTACTGGGCGTCACGCTGATGGAGAGACAGTCTCCTCAAGGCAGGACATGAACTTACTGAGCGTCACGCTGATGGAGAGACAGTCTCCTCAAGGTAGGACATGAACTTACTGAGCGTCACGCTGATGGAGAGACAGTCTCCTCAAGACAGGACTTGAACTTACTTAGCGTCACGCTGATGGAGAGGCAGTCTCCTCAAGACAGGACATGAACTTACTTAGCGTCACGCTGATGGAGAGACAGTCTCCTCAAGACAGGACTTGAACTTACTGAGCGGCACGCTGATGGAGAGACAGTCTCCTCAAGACAGGACTTGAACTTACTTAGCGTCACGCTGATGGAGAGGCAGTCTCCTCAAGGCAGGACATGAACTTACTTAGCGTCACACTGATGGAGAGACAGTCTCCTCAAGACAGGACATGAACTTACTTAGCGTCACACTGATGGAGAGACAGTCTCCTCAAGGCAGGGCATGAACTTACTTAGCGTCACGCTGATGGAGAGACAGTCTCCTCAAGGCAGGACATGAACTTACTCAGCGTCACGCTGATGGAGAGACAGAGAAGAAGGAGCAGCATGGCAACTGCTGCGTGACTGTGTCCTTGCCCTGTGTGTTCTGTAGGCTGCCTCGGACCACTGGACACCACGTCTTGTAGTATATATGTCTGGGCTAAGGTGACAAGATAACCGAGATAAGCATGGCAGGGAATCTAATATTCCTTCAATTTCTACCACGAGGCCAATTAGATAAGCCGTATGTATATCATTCAGTGTATAGACCAGGGACTCAAATATATGAATATTAATGTGCTTTTTATTACAACAAATATTGTGAAGAATTATATTGTTGTTTATAAGTACATATGATCGTCGCTGCGCTTCATTTGGAATATATTTGGTGCTCGAGTTAGAATCCCTAATTTCAGGTTTGCTGAAGAACCATAGACAATGATATATTTGTTGCCCTGTGTGTTAACTCGGTTCTGCCTCGAAACAACCAGTTTGCTGACTCCAACTCAGACAGTTGACAGAAATGATTTATTTTGCAACCATATGAACTCTACCATGTTTGAAATGTTGTACATTTGAATAAATCCAATTTATGGATTTCAAAGATAAGATGTCCAAGATACCCTACAGCAGTTGAGTATTATGCGACGGTATTTTTGTAATTCTTAAAGCTTTAAATCAAATTTTGTCTTAAAAAGTGCCAGTTAAGTTCATTTTTTAAATATTTTTAATTGAAAATCAAACATATGATGACATCACCACAATTCTATTGCTTTTAAGTTAATATATTGGGGTGGAGGGATAACACTGTATTGGGATGGAGGGATAACACTATATTGGGATGGAGGGATAACACTATATTGGGATGGAGGGATAACACTACATTGGGATGGAGGGAAAACACCATATTGGGATGGAGGGATAACACTATTTTGGGATGGAGGGATAACACTATATTGGGATGGAGGGATAACACTATATTGGGATGGAGGGATAACATTATATTGGGATGGAGGGATAACACTATATTGGGATGGAGGGATAACACTATATTGGGAAGGAGGGATAACACTATATTGGGATGGAGGGATAACACTGTATTTGAATGGAGGGAGAACATTATATTGGGATTGAGGTATAACACTATATTGGGATGGAGGGATAACACTATACTGGGATGGAGGGATTACACTATATTGGGATGGAGGGAAAACACTATATTGGGATGGAGGGATAACACTATATTGGGATGGGGTGATAACACTATATTGGGATGGAGGGAAAACACTATATTGGGATGGAGGGATAACACTGTGCTCACGACGCACCTGCACAAGCAAAAACCCATTATATTTATTTTCCTACAGTGCGAGGCAAATGTCAAAGAAATACAGGAGCCTATTCCCAGCTAAACATTTTACGCTGTGTGAACGTTGTGCGAACGTTATTTTGTGGTTGCCACAACGTTCGCTCACAACGGTGTGGCAACATAAAAGTGTTGAGTTGTCGCAGTGTCGTGACAACGTAATATCCGAAAGTTAGTAACAACATTCCTACAACCTTCCAACAACATTTATGTATTGTTTTGTTTGTTTTGTTTGTTGTTTAACACCGCACTCAGCAATATTCCAGCTATATGACGGCGGTCTGTAAAATAATCGAGCCTGGGCCAGACAATCCAGTGATTGACATCATGAGCATCGGTCTACGCAATTGGGACCGATGACATGTATCAACCAGCGAGCCTGACCACCCGATCCCGTTAGTCGCCTTTTACGACAAGCATAGTCGCCTTTACGGCAAGTATGGGTTGCTGAAGACCTATTCTACCCCGGAATCTTCACGGGTCCTTTTATGCACTGACAAAATGTAAACATTAATAATAAAAACTACTGTAACTAGGAACTGCAAATTGGAAACACTTGTAAGTTAATATCCTTTTATGCCTGTAAATTCTGAAGTAGAGGTCATGATTTTCTGTTTATAAATTTCAGTATTGCAATAAAGATCACATTCAGTACGAGGGTGGAATACGAAAGTAATATTAGCAGGCCTAGCTTTACCAACATGGCGGCGCCCATGAACACTACCGGTTTGTGAACCTGAAAGTAAACAAGAACGTTAACTTGATTGTCCAGTCAGCGAGATGGACGAGGAAGCCTTAGAGCAGTCGCTGGAATTGTATCGGACTCAGGTATATCCTAGATCATCATGATTTTAAACTGGGCAAGTGATAACTGTAAATATGTCTCTTGACACTCACAGAGCGCGAAAACTGTATACATTAACATAGTACTCTTGGGTCCGTTTAGCAATCTCTTTCAGCAATTAAAGAAGGCAAAGTAAGACTGCATGCAGTCTACGGAGTACCTTTTAGCGCTAATTGGCTCAGGCTGCAGGCACTCACTTCAATGATATCGAGTTCATCGTCGGCCTAGGTTTAGTCTATCTTACAAACCCTGATACAAATATATATCAAATACAGCCCATGCAAGTCTATAATGTTTGACAAGTTTAGATTACTGCAGTATCAGGAAAATGAAGAGAGTCACTGGGCTCCCTTTTATTATATTTTTATTAAGATAACTGAACAACTGTTTATTCTGTACGATATGTTCATTTCAGAGACTAGATGTTAGTCTAGCCTTGGTTGTGTAGCTGGGCTACCCCCAATTCAATCCTTAGCCTTTGGATCCCTTTAGATACCATTTTCCAATTGAACACCTCTTCATGGTCCTTTTTGATTGGCTAATTAGATTAACTCATTTGCCTAGCCTACAAGATTCTGGGTTAGAATAGGTCATCATCAACCCATGCTCGTCGTAAGAGGTGACTATAACAGGTTTGGGTGGTCAGGCTCGCTGTCTTGGTTGATGTATGTCATCGTATCCCAATTGCGTAGATTGATGCTCATGATGTCAATCACTGAATTGTCTGGTCCATACTCGATTATTTACAAACCACCGTCATACAGCTGGAATATTGCTGAGTGCGACGTTTAATATTAACTAGCTTAAAATAAGCTTTAAGCTGGCAACAAGCTGCCGTTACATCATTTCCAGAGCTGCTAATTGAAATCCGAAAAGGTGTGCCTGGTAAAGAGCAGTAGCCTACTCCCAAGTGTTATGTGCTGACATATCGTTTGTAGTAGAACTTGAATTGAACTAGGCCTCCTTAGAAATTAGAACACTTGCCCTAGAAATATCTCACCGTCAACAGACCACCTCTATGGTCTAGTGCTAGAGTGTCCGCCCGGAGAGCGAAAGGTCCGGGGGTCGATCCCCTGCCGAGTCATACCAAAAGACGTTAATAGATAGTACTTGTTGTTACCCTGTCTGGACGCAACGTTAAAACCAATCTCACCTCACCATCAACAGATCAAGTGAATGATAGGTGAATGTCAAGTGGAACTTAGTGCAACAGCAGTCAATGTTGTTTATACATGAATCATGTGAGTGTGTGACACAGTGCTATGTTCACTTACTGTTATGTCTTTATGTACACTCAATGTAGTGGTCTATGGGAGATAACTCCGGACGGCTTAATGTGTTCATGCAAGCTCCAAACAGCGATAGCCCATTCGCGGAGCTCTCTATACTATCGCTGACACCAGTCATAACTCCCCACTGTGATAGGTGGCCACAACTGTGCTTGGAGTTGAACTCGCAACCGAATGACCGTTATGTTTACAAACAAGTGACGACTGTCATGACGCCGAATACACTTACTGCTGATAAATTACTTTGTTTGTTTGTCAATTTTAATTTCTATTTCATTAAAACTATCATCTTTAATTGATATAGTAAGAATGTAAGGGAGAAGTTGGTTGATTTTCTCCAATCTGATTATCAAAACAACAAAATAAATTCATCTGGAAAACATGGTCAGTCGTGAACCTTTTCAAAATGAACTATGTGGCATTCCCAAGGACATAAAAAAAGTATAAACATTATTACATATGGGGTTAGAGGGCAAATTTCAAGATTCTTGTAATGGCCGCGCCCACACTGGTGGCAGCGATGTTACCGAGAGTGTAACGAAGGTGTCATGCGCTGGGAAGGAGCTTGGTGTTTATGGTATGGTCTAGGGGAGATAACTCCGGACAGCTTATGTTATGAAATGTACTCTCAGTTAGGGAGTAAGAAAAGGAGGAGTTCCAATATGTCTGCCTGCATGTATGCCATGTGCTCTGTGTGAATTAAAACCCTTGTTCTACATTTCCTGAATCCATTATACAACACTTACAGTTATTAAAGTTCATAGTCAAGACAATTTATTCTATATAGAGGCCAATGGCCCAAAATACAGGGCATAGAGTAAAGAATGGAATGGAGTTTGGAAACAGTGAGTGAGTGAGTGAGTATGGTTTTACGCCGCTTTTAGCAATATTCCAGCAATATCACGGCGGGGGACACCAGAAATGGGCTTCACACATTGTACCCATGTTGGGAATCGAACCCGGGTTTTCAGCGTGACGAGCGAACGCTTTAACCACTAGGCTACCCGACCACCCCAGTTTGGAATGAGAAAAAAAAGGAATATAATCTCCCAATGAAAACAAACCCTGTGTTGTACCTACCCTTACTGACACAATAAAGTGAATTGCATTGAACAGACAAAATACAGACATAGAGAAGTTACATTATATATATGTAATATTAGGAGAAAGTACTTAGGGGTGCAATTATAACACACACATAGCAAAGACACACATATTAGAAGTTGATAGAACATGATGCCATATTGTCTAATTGTTATGTTATCACTGTTATAGTGCAAACCATTTCAATACTTTTATTTTACGTTTCATTTATCTAAATACCTAACTGGTTCAATATGTTTCCAAGTGCACCGAAATTCTATGCCCTTTGTCTGTTTAATATATTCAGCAAACATTCGGCGTATCCCCTCTTATCATAAGCCCCTCCGGGCAGGACCCTTAATCTCCAGCGCTATCTATAAATTTTAATTAACACCTCCTAACGTCGCCGGATCTTACGTCTATACATACACGTGGGACAATGACCTTGCCACACGTTACGTAATACCTCGCTCTACAAAACCCGACTGACATGGTCAGTCAGGGGGACAGCCTGGAGACAGCCTGGAGACAGACAGAAGATCGACTTGTGTAAGTGACAGAACGGTTCTCCCACCCGGGAAGATTGGCCACTCGGTCCCAGTGTGCGTTCTGTCACGTTATTATCAACATGTACCTTTTCGACTCATTTCAACCTGCATCAATAAATATGGCTGCTGTCGTCTAAACTTCACCCCTGAGTTTTGTCTTCCATCATCACCCTGAGCTGCCATCCGAGGGCCGAAACTTACGCCCTTGGACATTACACTAGTGGGGTCTTTGTTATCCCACATGGAGCCCCATATCACCCTATTTAACTATACTCTCCTGTAAATGACATTGTTTTCCTCGGTATGTTATCTGTGTACATTAATCCTACCTTGTGTAAACATATATATATATATATATATATATATATATATATACACACACATATAAATATATATTAATATGCTTAGGGGGGCACAGAATATATATTAATATGCTTAGGGGGGCACAGGTGGCCCAGTCGTCTAAACCGCCGTGATTTGCTGTGCAGAGTTGTGTCCCTTCAAACCCGCCAGAAACCTATGATTTAGGATTCGAATACTGGTTCGTCCCGATTATGTTTCTAGGTTTGTCAGCACCATACCCGTGCTCGTGGGTTTCACCGAAGTGGTAAACGTCTGAGACCTGCATCACTTAAGGCTTTCCTCCCACATTAAGTTGACACGCTGCGATATAACTGGAATACTGTTAAAAGCGGCGTTAAACCAAACTCACTCACTCACTATTAATATTCTTACTACATCTGATGAAGAGCAGGAAGTAGCCCTGAAACATTGTTACAAACCATGAAGAAGTTGGTATCCTTCAAAATTCCTAATCATGTCTTCCTGACTCATTGTAATTGCTTACTAACATGTAGTACAAAACACAAATTAGAAAATAAGTGCCTTCAACTTGAAGCAGTATTCCAGGATAGACTAGATTCCCAGTAATGCTGAAGGTGTCGTCAGCATGGGTACGACAGATATGTACCCCATTTACTTTTTAGAATGCAGAAATGTACCCTAGCCAAAAATTCTGCTATTCTGATAATATTTTTTAACCCACAGTTTGCACAGGTGAACCAGGTGGTTCTAGCTGGCGGTGGAACGGATGACCTGATCAAACTGAAGGAAGATCTCACTGAGCTTATCAACCTCACACAAGGTGAAACCCCTGCAGATTACCCTCAATACATCTCCAAACCTCGAAAATCACGATCATGATAATGTCTATCGACAATGTAAATTGTTACAAAAAACATTGACATTAATCTTCAGTAGGAGTCTTTTACTCATTCTTTCGTGAAGGGGTGGTTGAGTAGCCTGGTGGTTAAAGCGTTCGCTCGTCACCCTGAAGACCTGGGTTCAATTCCTGACGTGGGTACAATGTGTGAAGCCCATTTCTGGTGTCCCCGCCGTGATATTGCTGGAATATGGCTAAAAGTGGCGTAAAACAATACTCCCTCACTCATTCTTTCATGTGACAATTCCTATTTTGCCATGTTTACTACACAGTTGGTGTAATCAATATTATCATGATTATTGTACTAGTTAGTATTAGGAAATTACTTATACTATGCTTCTAAAAGATACTACATGTAGTTACTTCAATAGTTCTAGGACACTTTGTTCTAGGTTGTTATGTATCTGTAGCAATGCATCTTCCTAGTCCACCAAGGTATCCTGGTCAAGTTAGGTGTGGTCAGTCAGCGAGAGACTTGTTCAAACATGTCAATTATCCATTGCTTATTATATCTTTTTGACAGCCTTTTTAGTCTTATGTGATAAATGATTTTGATTTTTATGAATGAGAATCACATAGGAATAGAAATGTCCATCTTCCCGAGGCAAGGGAGTTAACTGACTATAAAAGTCCTGTTTCCACCCTTGCTAAATTAGCCTGGATTTTCATGTCTAGATCGTAGCAGCACCAGTTATGTCCCTTCTATTTCCCTCCTATTGACCAATCAAATTCCACCTTTCATATCACTTGCATTTACTTCAAAACAAAATGGTGGCACCCAGTCAAGATGATCTGATTGATAGTCAAGATCTCAATATAACGGGTCTCACCTCATAAAGTGCATCAAATCACTTGAGCACCTTGATAAAAAAACATAAAAATATCTTGGAATCTGTTGAAGTTGACAGTACACACGTTTTGCAAATCCTGCAGTCAACGAAAATCTGCAAGTTCAAATCCATGTTGTTAACGAACAGATGTCTAGTTCGTTACACAGTTTTATTTGGAATGTGCATAGACTCAGTCCAGCCAAAATGTAACTTCGACATTCCAGTCTAGTTCGGTGAGGGTGAAAACTGAACTTCTATAGTCGATTAACTCTCTTGCCTCATATTTCTAACAATGCTTACTGTTGACTTCTTCCTGCAGACAGTTTACTCTCTTTGAAGAAAAGTAAGTTGCTTGCATCTCTAGAAACATCTGCAACTACAGCACCAGCAACATCAGCATCATCAGCTGCAGATACAATAGATGATGAATATTCTGCATTTCAGGTGAGGGAAATTTTTCATCACTTTGCATGGATTACAAGTTACATACATTAAAAGTATTTTTGTGAAACCTGGTTTGCGTGTGACCTTGGGGTTTTCTGAATTAAACTGATTGAACTCTGACAGATGCAGTTTCACAGATGTTATTGTCCAGAACGACAGTGGGATTGGGCACAAGTGCATCTCTTATTGCAAGCTTTTCCACTAAGGTGCTTAACTTCAGTTTTAAACCCCCGATTTAACTCTGTCAGTGCTTGTATTTGGTTGGTTTGACTGAACTCTGACAGGTCCTTATTTTTTGTTTGCACCCTCGACTGAACTCTGACAGATGCTTGTCTTCTGTGTGAACCCCCTGATTGAACTCTTGACAGGGGCTTGTATATTGTTTGAACCCTCAATTGAACTCTGACAGGTGGTTATCCTTTTTTACCCCCCTGATTGAACTCTGACAAGTGCTTGTGTTCTGTGTCAACCCCCTGATTGAACTCTTGACAGGTGCTTCTATTTTGTGTGAACCCTCTGATTGAACTCTGACAAGTGCTTGTGTTCTGTGTCAAACCCATGATTGAACTCTGACAAGTGCTTGTATTTTGTGTGAACCCCCTGATTGAACTCTGACAGGTGCTTGTTTTCTGTTTGTAACCCCAGGCAGCTCTTGGAGGGGATGTATTTGATGGTCCTCCAGGTGGCACTTCCAGGGGATCACCATCAGCGACAGGCAGCCAATCAGAACTACAGGATGAAGAGTCTGACCAATCAGATGACGAGAAAGTGGCAAATGCTTCAGTTGCAGAGTCTTTCTCCGAACTTGTTGGCATGAAATGTCGAGCCCCATTCTCCCATGACTGGGGTGGCCTTTCTTACCACAATGCACTGGTGTTTCAAGTGGAGCCCGGCAGAACAGATGAAGAAATACCCCAGGTAGGGTGGTCTCTTTCAGGTACATCAGTCCCAGATGAATTCTGCAGTAAAATTATCAAATTTCTGCTGTAATATTACCAAAAGTCTGCGACTAACATTGCCCAGTTCTGCAGTACATTCTGTGGTAAAAACATAACCCTTTCACCCCCAAACATTAATACAAACTCAATCTTTTTTAAAACTTTTTTAATGTCTTGTATTGAGACATTTCAAGATATAAACATATGCAAATACATATGCATAGTGCCTGATATTTATTGATCGTATTACCACAAGAACATTTAAAAGTGGGAATGATTATTTCAAATTTCGTTTTTATAGGATTCATACTTTGTATTTTTGAATTGTTTCATAAATGTTTGGGCATCCTTCGAGGGCAAAATTCTATCGAAAAGTTTGAAAATGAGTGTATTCATTGATTAAAAAAGGGGCTAATTCCATGATTTTTCTGCAATTCTGTGGTAAGCTAAGTTTTCTGAAAAACTTTCCAAGGTAAATGCAGAATTAGCCTTGAACTGGTACGTGAACTACCAGCACTGTGTAGGTCTGGAGGATGCCAGGACACACACTCAACAGTCTTAGCACTGTTGGGATGCCCATACTTCCACTGTAACAGTTGTTATGACATGCAAGTGTGGTGTTCTGTACAACCTAAAGTCAGTAAAGGTTCTGTGTTTGTCATTATGAGATGTACGTGTGATGTTCTGTAACCTACCTGTATTTCAATCATAGCTGTTTGTTACATTTTTACAGGTGATATTCTGTGTGTCCATGGTAACCTATAGGTTATGTATTTGTCATTATGACAGGTGTGTGTGATGTTCTGAAATCCCACCTGTGTTTCCATGGTAACCTGTAGCCACTGTGTTTGTCATTATGACAGGTGAGTGTGATGTTCTGTAACCCCACCCATATGTCTATGGTGCCATGCAGATTCTTCCTTGACGGTCGATGTCGGTTTTCAGAGGAAAAGTGCAAGTATGTATATTCATATATTTTATATGGTTTTAGAATACTGTTATTTGGAGTCAGGTGCTCAATGTGCCCATCTCATTAAAATGAGATCTTAGTGCTGGTTACCACTAAAGAAAGATCTGAAGACATCTAAATACAGATCACACAAGAATGACCTTCGCTAACTTTGACAGACCAGTGAATTGACACATAAGAAGTATGCTTTTTCAAACTTTTACGGCACTAGTTCCAAACTGGTGACTTCCATTCCAGACTACACTTTGAAAAATAACTTGACAAAGTTATGGATTTAATTAAAGTTTGCAAACTCAAAAAGAAACTTCTGGAATGTCTAATAGACGGCTGAGATTGTATAGCAGTGCTTCCCATGAGCTACGGAAAGTCTCTTCCATTTCCGATGTTTATCCCATTGAAGCAAGAGACAGACGATGATTTTTTATGGAATCAGTTGTACAGCCCAAAACTATCGTTCAGAATACCCTGTGTTAACCTTTTTGAGGTTGCATGATTAGAAAATACATTTTGACTGCCTCTACCACTATGATTGGTGGGATGAAAGGTCGTTCTGATGTGACCCGTAATGAGATGTTCTCAGATCTAATTGTGATGAGATTGTCAATGGGCCAGTCAGTATGCTTGTAGACACTTTTTATTTTAGACATTCATGATCATTTTATGGAAATCAAGGACTTAACTGTGGTGCTGTGATGTCAGAAGAGTGATTATTTTCATTTAGAAATAACAAAAATGAGCTTGATCATAGTTTCCACAAAAACATGTTGGTGCCAGGAATATTGATGTGACAATAAAGTTTTAATTGTCGATACTATAATTGGCTTGCTGTTGATATAGATCATAGATATTGATAATCGCTAACTAAATATCGATCAGTTGTCGATAAATATCGGAGAAGGAACTTGAAGCAAATATGCTAAAAAGTACCGAAAGAAATCAACATATCTCACGCCACTGGTGAGCAGTGACACTCTCATGCATGGATTATTTTGCGGACATTTGAGATGTAACAAAAACAGTTGCTTTCCATCTTTGACGTTTGACATGATTGACAATAACAAGTCTGTTTAGGTAAATGTAAACTTTATTTCATCACAATAGTTTATATAAGTTTTTATTGATGACAACTGTTTCATATCGATAATCGTTAATGTTTCTTCCCATCGACGATCATTCCGATTATCAATCTTTTTAGCCAGCTCTAGTGTATTCAGACAAATTTATAAATATCGATAATAAATAAATAATTTTATTATATACTTAAGTGTGAAAGACTGAGTTTTCCAAAATTGAGAAAAAAGATTTTTTCATTGCAGTGAACATAACACTTGATATTTCACTGCCATGAACATAACACTTTGACGGAACTATTGTCATACAAGAGTTACATCCCCTCAAATTGTCTCCCTTTATCGTAAGTGTCTAGCCTGTACACAAACTGTTGATGTCCTTTTCCCGTTAGTTCCACATTGACAAGGCAAAATAATGACAGATGGTCATCTATGGAGTTAATATCACTTCTTGCCGTTTGTTATTTTCTCGAAAATCTTTCGTTATAAAACTGTAAATTTCTCATTTAACTCATCAATCGAGACTTTCATTTCGCAAATCGCCAATTTTTTTCACTTGACCAGCCTGTATTCTTTCGCTTCCAACAGCTGTCTCCTAGTTTTCAAGAATATTATTTGTTAAAGTTGAATTTGTATATAATCATATCTATATGTATGATAAAGAAATTTCATGACCCTAATTAGTTTTTGATAGTTTTGTTTATATTGTTTAAGTGAACCGTCTCTGTGTGTTAGGTAGGGAGAATTTACGTTTCAAGGTTTTACATTTGTAAGGAAGTAATATAATTTTCCAGTAGACGCCTACACAATTTTTTTTAAATAAATAGGATATTCCATATGTCTTGTGAAATATCATGATAGGCAAATTAATAGGCAAAAAGGAGATATTTTCACTCGTGGCTACACCAATCGTGACAATATCTCCTTTCCCCCCCCTGTTACTGGATGAGAGAAACATGATGTTTTTACTCGACTCATGAAATATCCTCTATCACTGCCTCAGAAACGTTTACATTTGTTAAGATGACGATGATTAAGATGACGATGAGAAGGCAGAAAATTCACTTTTAGACATTCAATAGATCTGCCTAGCTCATATTTAGCATTAGGTTGATTAATGGCAGGTCTAGAAAGGACATATTTATCTTTACACAATCAGAATAACTAATTTATGTTATTAATCGATATTTCATAATACTTTTGAGTTGATATATCGATACTGAACTTTCCTATCAGTGACACCCCTAATATATCCATATTGAGATGGCAATTTAGTTTTGTGTGTTGCCATTAGATTGCTGGGATTCTAAGCTAGAATAGGTCCCCAGCAAACTGTGCTGGTTGTAAGAGACGCCTGGATCGGATGGTCAGGCTCGGCGACATGGTTGATTGCATGGATCATTGCTCATAATATCGATCACTGGATTATCTGACCCAGATTCAATTATCTACAATTGCCGTCTTATAGCTGGAATATTGCTGAGTGTGCGTTAAACAACTAACAAACATACAAATATACAAACAAACTACATCTGCTTGTGCTCCATGTCCATTATAGATGTTGGTGTTTTTTTTTTCAGATACTCTCATGGACACCTGGTCTGCATAGAAGACCTCCAGGAATATCAGGATCCTGATTACAGGTAGGACAGGCGTTGACAGGTGGCACCCTTGACAGCCACTTGCAACTGATGATTTCATTTCCTGAGCTAGGACAACGAGAGTTGCAAATAGTTTGAAGCTGGGTTATGTTTTTCTAAGTTGACAGCCATTTCTGGGTTTTCAGCCATTCCAGAAACTTACAAGATAAATAATAACTACAGGTGTCATAATACCATTCCAAAGTTGTTGAATTGGACTGTTGGACAAATTGTTTTTGTTTTGTCTGTTATAGTTTTATATACTACTCAAAAGAAGTTAAGGATCACAGAGTTTTTTCATATTACTATAGTTAATCTGTTATGCCTTGAACATATGAAAGAATCAGGTGACGTATTGAGTCCTATTCTTTAATACTTTGCTGGAAACTAAACCGAAATGACCAAACATCGACATGATTGGTGGATGGATGGAAAACACAGTATGTGTTCATCTCACTGTCCATGAATTTTTTATTGTCTGGTAAATAAATATTTTCTTAATGATATGTAATTTGTAGAGATATTTTTGACAGATTTGGGTTTGGAAAGACAACTGTTCCCTAGTACAATATATACCAGACTGACAAAGATTGACCCAAATTTCAGTAATTTATTTAGCTTAGAGAGATTATTTCTCCAAAGTTACCATGGTAACATGCTATCCACTTCCTCACCTCTGCTCAATTATCGGTGTACAACATTAACAGTTGACCATTTATTCAGTCAGGCATCAAACCCTCACCGATTTCTATGTAACATAGGCAATGTTTTTTATCCACACTGAAGGGTTGATATTTACGAAATTAACAAAGAATGGAAGTTGTTTATCGTACAATGAAACACTCATAGTTTATTCTCCAGATTTCCAGAAAATTCCTACACCCCTCATAGTTTATTCTCCCTGCAGTGTTTTGTTGAACAGTAAACAACAACCACAAGTTGTTTATTTCTGTGTGAGATATCAGCATTATGTACGGCCACCTTGAGGATGTTGATAAAATGTACGAGCTCTGAAAATATTTCCCAAATTTGAATAATGATGACTCCCTGAAGAGAATCCAACCTCGGACATGATGGAAAAGTCCATTTTACGAACAGGTGGGTTAGGTTTGGTATTTCCCGCATATTCTCTCAATCCTCATGTCGATTATCTGTACCCTTTCTCCTAATGCTGATTGTCATATCTCTCCCACTTTGTGTGCGATCGTTCAACCACTGCCTTTATATGGTTTGCCCTGCTACATCTATGGGGAGCAACTCACCAGACACTCCCCTCTCAAAAATAATGTTGTCCAATATATGATGTCATCAAGTTGCTGGCACATATTCGAATCTCCAGAAATGACGTCATGATAGAACAATGTTTTATCGTGAAACAAAGCACGCTTGGTTCTTCATTGTTCTTTGCGATTTATCGCGTTGCTGTGTTATGTTTTAAAATATTAAGCGACTTACACATACGTGACATTACCCATTGTTGTTTTCTCCGTGGTGATTCTGGAAGTAACCTCTGCTTGTTGTAAGAGGTGACCAATTGTATCAGGTGGTTAGGCTTGTTGACTTTGTTTAGGGTCAAAATTTACTACCCAGGTACCCGACCCCCTATTACCCGACCCTACCCAGGTACCCGACCCTACCCGGGTACCCGACCCCCTATTACCCGACCCTACCCGGGTACCCGACCCCCTATTACCCGACCCTACCCGGGTACCCGACCCCCTATTACCCGACCCTACCCGGGTACCCGACCCCCAACCTGACCCTACCCAGGTACCCGACCCCCTATTACCCGACCCTACCCAGGTACCCGACCCGCTATTACCAGACCCTACCCAGGTACCCGACCCCCTATTACCAGACCCAACCTGGTACCCGACCCCCTATTATCAGACCCTACCCGGGTACCCACTGCAGGTCTCAAGAGTTGGGAATGTCTGATTGGGAATTGTTTTACCGCAGCCCTGGCCAACATTTAACTATTTAGATGCATGTATCAAACAATCAGATCATGCGTACACTGAAGTTGACTGAAGCTTTATCTTTACTCAAACATATACAAATCAAAAGGAATGTGTGCATCGTCAGAAAGAAATGCTAACATTAGCAACTTGTAGTGTAACCACTGAGCTATAGTGAGTTTTTGTCATTAAACAATATGTCACGTGACTAACCACAGGTCTGGGTAGTACTGTGGGTACCGGGTTCCTACTCAGGACCCACCCGATCCGAGTACCTGAGTTACTCATCCCAGCCCTTACTTCGTTAATTGTCGTATCCCACTTGCATGGAAAGATGCTCATGATGCCAGTCACTAGATTGTCTGGCCCAGAATTGATTATTTACAGACCGCCATCATATACATGTTTGTTTGTTTGTTGTTTAACGCCACACTCAGCAATATTCCAGCTATATGACGGCGGTCTGTAAATAATCGAGTCTGGACCAGACTATCCAGTGATTAATATCATGAGCATCGATCCACGCAAGTGGGATCAATGACATGCATCAACCAAGTCAGCGAGCCTGACCACCCGATCCCGTTAGTCGCCTTTTACGACAAGCAGAGTCACCTTTTACGGCAAGCATGGTTTGCTGAAGACCTATTCTACCCACGAATCTTCACAGGTCATATACATGTAGCTGGAATGGTTCTGATAGTGCATTAAGCAACAAACAAACATAACATGGACCTGTTGTTTATGCCACTTTGAGTTGTGTACAATTACAGGTTTGATTCTAAACAATAAATAAACAAACAAGAACTAAACCCATTGTTTCAGCCATGTGCAGGTTGGAGGGAAGTGCTTTGCCCGCTACTCCGATGATGTCTGGCATCCGGCGTCCATTGAAGATGTAGCAGACGGTCAGGTGACTGTGACCTTCACCTCTCATGGGAATTCGGAGACTGTGGAGCTCCAGGACATCCTTCCACTGGGTGTGTTCTGTGTTATCAGCGTTTGATTTCTTGAAAACATTACCAAAAGAGCTTAAGATTTGCATAAAATACGCATTAAGTAAGCTGACAAATCAAATCCTAGCGTATCAAAATCAAAAACTATAAATATACTATTGAAATAAAATTAATGCTTTTATTACAATATTAGATAAAACGATTGCGTATATTACAACTGTTAGATGAAATGATTGTGTATCAGCCGATCGCCAAATTCACTTAATGACAATTACATTCGTTAAAGCTGCTGTGACAAACATACCGATAGATGCCAACTGAAAAGCACATTTGGCCTAGTCAATGTACATGTTGTATCTTAATTAGTCACTGATTAGTAATTAAGTCAATAGCACCTTTCTAACAATACTAGTTTTTGTAAGGCAAGCAGACGCAGACGGACATACTACTATTTACATAGTTTTAAATGATTTACAGGGATTGTTACAAAACAGGTTTTAAGTTAAATACCCAAATGTCAAGAAACAGGTGGCTAAAAATTTGTTTTGAATACGCACTAAAACTTGTGAATACCCAATCAAAATTAAACCCCTGGGTAAAATACCCAAATAACCAAAAGCTTAGCTGTAGCTCTGACCAACAAACAATTTTTGTAGATTTCATCTTCTAGCACTCATTCTCCATTCTGAACATTGCAGAGCAACATGGCTACGACAGTTGTCCGTCCGATGGAGAACAGGAGGAGCCTTCAACATCATCTCAGCCAATTAGAAGAGAGGATTCAGATTCGGAGGATGAACTGCCTGTGTTTCTATGGAAACCACCAAAGACAACAGCAGCTTTAGGAGAATGGGAACAGTACACAAAGGTCAGTGGCAGGAATTTCAAGGTCATAGTCTGTGTCCCCATAGGAAAGTTTATGCCTGTCTTTATCCAAGTGTTGTAAATAAGTGACTGCCCGAACATTTCGGTAAGTGTCTGAAACAGTTCAGATGACCACACACTCATGGAAGTGAGGTGAAATTGGGTTTAACGTCGGGTCCAAGATTATTGCACTTATATAGCGACGTGCATGCAGGTGTGTGTGTGTGTGGTTGCTTGTACTAGTCCGGACTGATGCCGATTTATAGTGCTAGCTCACTGAGATACCATGCCGCAGTTAACATGAATACCCCACTCAGACACAGTATACTGACTCCGAGCCGACCAGTCCTTGTTTTAGCCCCTTAATGCCAAGCGCCAGACAGGGTAACAACAAGTACCATCTTTTAACGTCTTTTGGTATGACGCGGCCAGGGATCGAACCCCGGACCTTCCGCTCTCCAGGCGGACGCTCTACCACTAGACCACAGAGGCGGTCTGACACTCATGGACATACTACACTAAAAGGTCCTTTCTTCCATTTTTGCAGTCATGTTAATGACCCGTGAAGATCTGGTCTTCAGAAACCTATGCTTGCCGTAAGAGGCGACTTACAGAATCGGATGGTCAGGCTCCTTGACTTGGTTGATGCATGCCATCGCATTCCAATTGCGTGGATCGATGTTTGTGATGTCAATTACTGGACTGTCTGGTCCAGACTCGTTTATTTACAGACCGATGTCATATATCTGGAATATTGCTGAGTGCGGCGTTAAACAACAAACAAACAAACAAACAAACAAAACCCTTCACGGCCCACCAATCCTTGACCTACAATTACCACTGAATTCATCATCATGTGGAATATGATTTGATTTTCAGGGCATTGGTTCCAAACTGATGGCAAAGATGGGCTACATTACAGGTCAAGGTCTGGGGGTCAGAGGTGAAGGTCGAGCTGACCCGGTCCCTATACAGCTTCTGCCACAAGGTGAGGGAACCGTCCATCTCAAATCTCTTGTTGTTCCTCTCATTGTGCTTAAGATCTAGCCTGGGTTTTAGGAAGTTTGTGGCCTCATGGGGATTCGGGGTTAGCGTTGGTTCCCAGCAATCTATGGTGGTTGAAAGAGGTGACTCAAGGGATTGGGAGGTCTGGCTTATATAATATCAATCATGGGATTTTCGGGTCCAGACTTTATTGACAAATTGCTGTCATATTGCTGGAATATTACTGAGTGCAGTGATGAACAAGAAAACAATCAATAGACCAGGGTGAGTAGGAATATTAATATACTTATGGCCCACTTTTGGTATTTAAACAGTTATTGTCGTTTCCATTATTTTAATCTTTATGTGACATATCACAGCAGACAAAAGTAACAGGAAAAATGTAAATATTCATACCGGTAATAACGCAAGACAAACCTTAAAACAAGAAAAATAGTATCCAAATGCTTCTCCCTCCACTCAACCTGGGTGGCCGAGGGGTCAGTGGCTGGTCAAGCAGCTTTGGACTTCTAAGGTATCTCAGGCGGAATGTTTACACATCTTCTTATTCATGTCTGGAATTGTTAGAACATGTTTACATGAATAATCTGAACATGGATTTACAAGGATTGCCAAGGAATACATATTCCCTGGTTATACCTATTCCCTGGTTATACATATTCCCTGGTTATACATGTTCCCTGGTAATACATATTCCCTGGTTATACATGTTCCCTGGTTATACATATTCCCTGGTTATAAATATTTCCTGGTCATACATGTTCCCTGGTTATACACTTCTCTGGTTATACATGTTTATTGGATCCTGATACCAAGTTTATCAGATATGTGTATCACATCGATAACAGAATCCATTATATGATGAAGGACATGTCTGTGTGTTGTAGGCAAGTCCCTGGATAAGATCATGGAACTGAAGGAGATTGCAGGAGATCAGGATCTCTTTGACGCACTCAAGAAACTGAAGAGGAAGAAGCGCAAGGAGGAGAAGAAAGCAGCAGCAGGAACTCCGGTTGTCAGGGAGACGCCACCAAATGTGTTTGACTTCATCAACAAGAAACTTAGAGGAAAGAAAGGTAGGACAACTGACTGGAGAATCGATGTGAGCTTCACTAACCTGTGTGATGGCCTTTATTGTGTTTTGTTTGCAGATTTGCTTGCTGTGAAGTCAGTGAAGATTGATACAAATGGGGGTCGAAATCTTATTTACCCGGGTAGTCAGTAAATTGAGGAACATAGCAACATATATTCTTTTCCTTCTTTCATTGTGTTTATGGAATCGGTTTTATCAAGTAGCTTGGATAACTACAGCCTAACAGCTATTTATAGTGTAAACACATTGGACCACGAAGGAGTGCATTTGGCCACTTTTATGATACAAAGTACATTTCTATGTTGCGCTAATCAGTATTTCATTGTTGTTTTGTGTAAGACTGTTGCAGTAAATTTTAGATGGACCTTACACTTACTATAGTGTTTTTGAATGATGTTATACGGAGAGTTACAAGGGGAGACAACTTTTGCGCTCTTCTTGCTCAGTTGGAAGTATGTATTGTGCTGTGTTACTGGCACATCAGTGCTGTTCATGAAGGCTGGGTGATGTGTTGATAGGAGACCAGGACATAGTCTGTCTCCAGTCCCTTTCTTCCCTTCCTCCCATCCCTTAGTGTAATGGTAAGGCCCTAAATGAATTTTCCACAGGTTTATGATCAGGTACTGAACCTCCCACCTCATTGGGGCAGGCTCCTTTTCAATATAAATGGAGTTATTTGTTTCTATCAAATTTATATTTTCCCAGACTGAGTGTTTGACATAGCTGAAGTGTTTACATTAGGTATTAAAATATTAACACCTGCGACCAGCATACGAACCCCTGCATCAAATGGGATGTCCTTCTTCTTGCATCAAATGAAAGCATGACATGATTTGTACTTAAAACCCCTCAAAGACATCTGTTTCTTGATATAGAAAAACATAAAACATTTTTTAGATTATTGGTTGTTTTTGAGACATGATCAAAGCACTGGAATTAAATTTGGAACACTATTGACCAGAGGTTTTAAATGTTAAAATCCCAGTGCATCAACATAGAACATTGTCCGTAGTATTTCCTGGCTTTAGATTGACACACAGTCATATTTGTTTCACAGTGTGTTTTACTGATACCAAGGGGAGCCCTGTGATCTCACAATGGCTGGCATCACATACAAATCTTGCATCCCTTAGGCTTGCCAGAAAACTATGATGGTGGGTTCTAATATTGTATTTGCCCTGATTAGGATTCTTGGTTTGACAGCACCATTCTAGCCTTCCAGGAATTATCCCCAGTACACCCTGCTTGTCTCCCTCTCGGGATTCTGGGGCAGAATATGTCCATAGTACCCTATGATTGTCTCCCTGTGGCGATTCTGGAGCAGAATATGTCTCCAGTACCCTGTGATTGTCTCACTCTCAGGATTCTGGAGAAGAATGTGTCCATAGTACCCTGTGATTGTCTCACTCTCGGGATTCTGGAGCAGAATTTGTCTCCAGTACCCTATGATTGTCTCACTCTCGGGATTCTCAAGCAGAATAGGTACCAAGTATCCCATGCTTGTCTCCCTTTGGGGATTCCAGGCCAGAGTAGAGCTCCAGTACCCCATACTTGTCTCCCTTTTGGGATTCCAAACCAGGGTAGGTCTCCAGTACCTCATACTTGTGTCAGTGTCAAGTGTCACTGACAACTGGCTGTACGCAATCAGCAGCAAATCAATCGGTAGATGCGGGAGGAAACATGTATAAACGTATGTGTGTATTGTGTTTTGTTTTAGCCAAGATGGTGGACGAAAACGTATAAACATGATAAAACGAACAACGTATGTAACGAATTGATTTCTCCGATCCCTTTTAGTTCGTTATATCCATGTTCTACTGTATGTCTAAAACCTGCATGAATTTCGGCTTTCCTCCCACGTCACGCTAACCTGATCCCAGGATATAAATGAAATACTGTTAAAAGCAGCAATAAGCTGAACACACTCACTTCCATGATAGAGCTGGTGTAGTGCTTGTTTGAGCATAAAGCTTTCTCCAGCCAGGTTCAATTGAAACAAACAAATTTACAATTTATATTTTATTTGTAGAAGCATAGATAATATAATTTTCACTCTTTCATTAACATAGTAGAAAACATATTAAGAAAAGCATAATTCATGTAAAAAGACATGTTAACAAAACATAAAGACACATAAAAATACACTAGTCTTTTCAAACAATAGAACTAGTCTTATAACAACGTGAAACTTTGCATATTGATCGTTATAATATAATGGAAGGGAATTCCTCTTCCAGGAAAATTATGAAAATACTGTCTTGTCTTAGACTTCAATAGGACTGATATCATGAAAGACACTTAGGAAGATAACAAGAGAAGAAATGACACATGCAGTACATATACTGAGGCAGGCTTTTACACTATCAACATGGTTGGGGAGCGCTATGTAGTTCCAGCAGAGCCTACTGCAGTCATGGTGAAGTTCAGCTTAAAGGGACACTAGGCGCAGACTATTTGACAGACCCAGCAAATTAAGTTCAAGTCCATTAAACACCACTTTGTCTGTTTGTTCATATTTTATTATGTATACTGAACCAAAAATGTTAGGGATCATAAAAAGTTAGGAATTATAAATATTTTTTCGGATATTTTTATGAAATTGTGGGCTTAGTCTTCACTACAAAAACAAATCCCCCAAAATATTCATGATCCCTAATTTCTTTTCTTCAGTTTATATGGATTAATGATTACCATAGGTCCATAGGTTAAACAGAGACAATGTATCAATTTCACATGTGGTGTTACAATGTCTCAGTTTACACGTGGTGTTACAATGTTTCAGTTTCACACATGGTGTTACAATGTTTGGCCAAAAATTGGCACCAAACCGTAGAGTCCCTTTTGAAGGCCATCTTTCCGAGGCAAGAGAGTTAACTGACTATAAAAGTCCAGTTTCCACCCTTGCCAAACTAGGCTGGTATTATGGAGTTACATTTTGCCTGGACTAAAGAGTCTATGCACAGTCCAATCAAAATCGCGGAACGAAATCGAAATCCGATTCATCAACTGTTGTGCAGTTTTCGGTCGATTGCAGGATTTGCAAAGCATGTGCACTGCCATCTTGTTGTCAACAGTTATTTTCAAAATCTTTCCATGTTTTTAATCAATATGCTCACGTTATTTGATGCACTTCGCGATGTAAGACTCCTTGTATCACAACATAGATCTTGATTATCGATCATATCGTCTTGACTGTGATACGGGAGGTGGAATCTAATTGGTCCACAGGAGAAGCTTAGAAGGGACATAACTGGTAATAGCAACTGGTGGCGCTACGATCAAGCCCAGGAATTCCAGCCTACTTCGGCAAGGGTGGAAACTGGACTTTTAAAGTCAGTTAACTCCCTTGCCACGGGAAGATGCTTTAAGGCATGAGCTCTACTGTGTATGCTAATACCAGAGATCCTGTATCCAGTGTGGTAATTATCCTAACCATACTTTCTCGTTACTGAAATACATTCTAGCTTGTATCTAAATATTTCAGATTCCACAGTGGCAGAATTCCCCCGTGTATTCAGAGTTACAATTTATGTGGAACCCATGCACTATTACAACTTTCTTTATTAAATGCTGACAGATTTCAAAGATTGGAGACTCCAGAACTTAAACAACAGTAATAATATAAATGCAGTCTTCAGTACAAATTGAGAATGAATTTGGTTATTTATGACATTCAGTTATATTTGAGCCTGATGTGTCATGTGGGATTTCAAGCATTTGGAAGGCTTTATGATAAGTGATAGCCCTCTACTCAAACTATGCATGATGTGTTAATGTTTCAAAAAATGGATTTTCGTTTCGGAATTTCTTTCAAAACAGTGAAACATGTTTTAACAAAAGTGTTTTTTGTATGTTTGAAAACACAAGAATGAAGAATATTTTGCTGAATTTTAGAAATCAGCTGCGGAATTTATTGGAATTCTTCCTCTGAATTTAAACATTTTTTTCCCCATAGTCTATAATGGACTGTTCAAGGACTGATCATTGATCTTTATAATGCCACGGATTTTGTCCTCAATCTGGAGGGATACTATGTGATACATAATGGGTACACACAATGGAGGGAGTAAATTTAAATGCATAACGTGTGATACAAGGACCTGTTATCACACATACTTTAATCAGGGACATAGATGTAAAGTACGTTGAGCAGTTTGAGTGAGTGAGTGAATGTTGTACACTAACAGTCAGACCCGTGAAGATCCGGGGTAGAATAGGTCTTCAGCAACCCATGCTTGCTGTAACAGGCGACTATGCTTGTGGTAAGACTAAAGAGGCGACTAACGGAATCAGGTGGTCAGGCTTGCTGACTTGGTTGATGCATGTCATTGTATCCCAATTGTGTGGATCTATGCTCATGATATCAATCACTGGATTGTCTGGTTCAGACTCGATTATTTACAGACCGCCGTCATATAGCTGGAATATTGCTGAGTGCAGCTTTAAACAACAAATAAACAAACAAACAAAACTAACAGTCAGCATTGTTGTAGCTATGTCACGGCAGCATGTGAATACCGTATTCGATGTAATAAGCGCCCGGGGCGCTCTCAAAATTAGAAATCGGGTGCTCTTATTAGAATATTATTTTGCTGAAAAAAAACATAGTTGAAAGATAAATTTCGTTGTTTATGCTGTCAGCCTGAAATGTTTATGGACGACAGATATATTTTTCCAGAATTTAATTGCCCATAAATAAGGGTGCATATAACACACGTGTGCGTATTATACCGAATAAATAAGTTTTGTGTACATTGATCAATCGGAAGGGATGCAAATTGGGCTTCTTCACAAGCCAATATATCAGCAAATATCGCCGTGGGCACTTATTAGAGTGGGGTGTTATTATGTAGAATACGGTAATGGAATCTGGGCCAGTCAACCAAGTGACTGAAATCGTGCATGGAACCATTGTCTAGGGTGCCACAATTCTCTGTGCAGAGGTGCGTCCATTAGTTAGAAACCTATGAATATCGGGGGTTGAATTCCGGTTCACCCTCAGTGGTGTCTCAATTGTAGAAAAGTCAGTAGTAATCTGTCTTTCTTTATGTCTTAGACATTTTGAGTCTGTTATTTTCGTCTCTGATCTTGTTCTTTCATTTGGCTAGTACACACAGGTATTTGTTGATAGTAAACAAGTTAAATTATCCATTAACAGAAGAGAATGAAATATGGCATGTTCCATCTTGTTTATGACCCACATGAGATAAACTGAAGTGTTTTATAGTCTGAAGTCTTCTCGACAACCAGACACTTATGACACCCCTGTGATTGATCAAACCACTGTGTTCAGCAGTCTATGGCCATTTAGAGTAGAGAGACTTTTGGATGTTAAAGTCATCCATTTTTGTGTGTTTACCTTTGATTTGAACAAACGCTTACTTTTTATGCAAATTGGGTGAGTAGTGGGTGCTATCCCAGTAGTGGGTGACTTTCAGTGATCCTCTCATATAATTTTGACCACTATTCTGCCTTTTATACCCAATGGAATCTGTTTCGACTGATAATCGAGACTGGTTATTCTCTGGTGCTGACGTTTTATATCTCATGTATTCATTCTCATTGATACTTCAATTTTCTTGGAGTATGCAACATGATGTAAATCCCATTGCTCCAGTCTTTTGGGTATTTTGAAACCAAGACCCACTACACAGTTATTACATATTATAGCTAGAACGGATAGACTTATCATCAAACCGCCCGCATGTTATCATTAATGAGCGGGCCAATGTAACTTGATAATGCCCTCATATTGCTTGACGACGGGCCATTATCACGCCCGTTGTTAGGTGATGTCATATTGATGTTCAATAATGACATCATCTGGTTTGTCGTGTGACGTTTCCATATTTGTAAAAGTGGGTCAGTGACATTCGTTTCGGTTGATTGCAGTAAATGTTTCAAAACCGATATTGTTGTTTATTTATATTTGATAACAAATTCTATCCATTTTAGCTATAATAACGGTAACGCCATTTTTTAGGGCATAATTATTTGCAGAAGCCCTCGGTCTTTTCAACTGCACTCCTTCGTCGGGCAATTAACGGAAGACCTCAGACTTCTGCAAATGATAATGCCCTGAAAAATAGCGATACCCTTATAGTAACACTGTAGAATCATTCTACCCTTCGTTTTGGGGTTGGTGGGATGGGATAGATGTGGCTCTTATCATAAATTCTTTAGACATGCAATATTTTTCACCTAGGTGGTAGCAGACCAGTTGTTCATCTGTACATCATTAGATAGGCTGCTTATATGGGACAGATAAATATCCCCCAGCATAAATGTTTTGACTGGTGCTGTTTGCTATTCAGGAATCTTGGAACTTTTTTATTTATCTGGTTACCATGACAACATGTTGTACAGAGGGGTCCAGATTATGCCAATTATCAGTCTTGATCTATCGTACCTCCGGAATGGTGTGTTTCCACCAAGAGGTAAGTGCCCTCCCACATCAAGCTAACATGCCAGGATCACACTGAAATACTGTTCAAAGCAGCAATAAACACAAAATAACATCACTAACATAGGAAAACCCAACAGCTTGGATACAGAACACCAACAAGGTAAGGCCAGACTCCTATTTCTTTTTTATGCAAGGAGCTGACAGATTTGGGCCCAATTCAGTATGGTAGGTCGAAAAAAAATTACAAATATCAAAAGTAGTTTTCAAGATGTATCATTTTCATGAGGTTTTAATTATGGTATTTTAAATAATTCATTTATGTTGATAGTGTCAGTAAATTTTTTAACATTATTCTTTTCTGGCTGGAATGAAAAAGACACCGTTTTTCATATTTGCTTTTTCAAATTTTTGGAGTCGGCAGATTCATAAACCAAGTTTCATGAAAAGTCTGGCCTAACAATACCATCCTCAAAGACAATCACTGGAGCTTGTATATGGTGCTATGCAATTGTTAAAGCCAGTGAAACAATGCCCTCACATCACCCACTCACCTGCATCTATGCTACAATGTACATGTACGGAGTAGGCACATTACGTTGTTCTAGTTAAAAACACCAAGTGTTGTGGTTCAATTACCTGATCAATTCCATCAATTCTATATACACTGACCAATACAATTATTTTGCTTGTCTAATACAAAAAAATAGCTGAAACATACTAATATGTTTAATGTTCTTATGATTATGATTGAAATGATTGAATGGCGGTGCTAATATTTACATGTAATTGGGACCACAACAATCTCATTAAAACCAGATCTTAGTGCTCATTACTTCTGCGCACAGATCTGAGGACACCCTTGAGGATTCTGATGTGACATTACGGGTCACATCAGAATGACCTATCATCTGACCAATCTGAGTGTCACTTACAGATATAAAAGTATAGGTCCCAATGTGTTTTCTGATCATGCAACCTCGAAAAGGTTGACATGAGGGATTCCAAATGACAGTTACGGACTGTATGACTGATTCTGAATGCTAGACATTGTCGATCTCTCACTTCAGTTGGATAAATATTTAAAACGGAATTCTTTCCATAGCCCGTGGGAAGTACTGCTATACAATCTGGGCATCAGACATTCCACAAGTTTCTTTTTTCGGTTTTCAAATTTTGAATCGAGAAATTTTTCAAAATATATCTAAAAGCATAGTCTGGAATGCAGGGCGCCATTTTGGAACTTGTGCCTTAAATTTGAGAGAGCTTCTTTCTGATTGGCTAACGTCAAAAGTTCGCTAAAGGTCGTTCTGTCATGACCTGTAATGGGATGTCCTCAGGTCTTTGGTCTAGCGGTAGTGAGTACTAAGTTCTGAGTTAGAGTTCGGAACCACAACAGGTTATTAGGCTTCATGGCAGAGATCATGTTGGTGTATGTTGCTATATAATAATATGCATAAATGTATCATTGCAGAAGTTGACATGCTTATATACACTTATGTACAGATATTTCATCATTTAACAGTATTTCATCATAATCAATAACAGTAATTGAGCCTTTGCAATAGTTTGAGCTCATGTTAAAATTTGTGTTACATACAGTCGACTCACGTTCAGCGGAACTGGAACATATTGAAGGCTTCAAGCCTTTATTTTTGCTTACCTGGATTTCTACAACTCTGGCTTCCAACCTTTCTTCCAAAACAAAATGGCTGGGTATTAAGACTTTGCAATACACAGCGAAATAGGAAAAAACAAATTGTAATGATCTCACAAAAACACTTGTCCTGCTGGATGTTCTGAGAAATTATGTGTTTTGGGTAAAAAAGTGTGCTTGGCACCTCCTTTCAGAGCAAAAACGTGCTGCAGACTGAAAATATACTACTCAAAAGAAGACATACTATTTGTAGTAATATGAGAGAATCGGGTGTTGTTTCACTTTTTTGGAGCCTGGTGAGTAGTGTATATATGGTCTCCAAAAAAAGAAGCTCCAAACACCCCATCTTTCCTCCCCCTGCCATGGTGCCTTTGCTTTGATTCTGTACAAATTATCCTTTGATTCTGTACAAATTATCCTTTGATTCTGTACAAATTATCCTTTGATTCTGTACAAATTATTCTTTGATTCTGAACGAGAGTCGACTGTACTTTCATTTTGTACACACAAGTTTTAAAGCACATTTGACATTCCATGAAACAATATGACGAACAGTGAAGGTTAGTGTATCCAGGCCATCTGATCGACTGTTTGTGATAAACTTTGGTTGATGCGTAACCATGGCCACTGACAAGACAATACTAACGTGATGAGATCTTGTAGTGCCAGTGTTTCTCTGCAATTCAAGCTAGCCATTGTCACACTAAGCATGCTGAAGAATGCAGAATAGCACATGCGTGTTTCTATCCTATTTGTACAATAATGTCCATATTGCCCCTATCACCTTTCTCGATTATCCATTTTATTACTGTGGATCGCATAGAAGTCTGCCTATTCACAAACGACACTGAAATTTTTTTAAGTAATAAATAAGATACTAAAGTCGCTCCCGTGTAATACCAATTTTATGAAACTCGTAAATATCGCTTGTCAGATACCAGAACTATTCACTGTATTACACAGGAGCAAGTTTAGTATTCTACATGTATTACATCTCCGCTATTGTTTTAGATAGCCTGGACCCATTCACAACCAAAGCTTCATTTCGGAAGAGACATCACCACCTCAATCGTAGTCAGTCATGATATCCAATACAGCCCATGCATGTCTATAATGTTTGGCAAGTCTAGATTACTGCTGTATCAGTATCTTAAAATGAAGAAAGTCCTAAGGCTTCTTTTTATTAATTAATTTAACAGCAGTTTTTTTCGGTAAAATATGTACATTTCAGAGACTAGATGTTAGTCTACCTCAGTTAGTCCTGTTTCTAACAGGCTCAAAACAATGGTTGTGAATGGGCCTCTTGGGTATTTATCTTAATAGAATGGAGATTTTATACACTGGATAATCGAGTATGGGTATTGACATCATGTCTGTTATATAAACATTTTATACTTGGCATACATCTGTTATGCAACACAATGGTATTAATAGTATCTAGTATAACTGTCATGAAACTTTACATCAGTACACAGATTTATCATGCTGTAACACAAGTCGAAATTGTTTGGTCAATTGTATTCTTACGTTACACACAACCTCCCCTTGACCACCTGTGTGCCTCTCTATGACAGTGTTTGGGACCTCCATCTCTCTCTCTTCTTCCTGGCATTGGCTCTGAGTTGCTGCAGCCGATTACGTGTCAGACCGCTGTCATTTGTAGGTGGGGATGTTGATGTACTGAAAACTTGCCCTTCTGTATCAAGCCTGTCATAAACCGAGTTCTCATGAGTATTATGAGAGGATGAAAAATCTATCTCACCAGACACTTCGGGTATGGAGCCTGTTGATCCTTTGCGAGCTGCCATACTGTCCGACATCCTGCGAGATGGACTGTAGTGTGGTGAGGTTGGGGGAGGAGAGTTGCCCCTTGGTACGATGTGATGTCTCATAGAGCTGAGCTGGTCTCGGAACATCTGGAACTTGGTCTCAGTTCCTACCTTAGCTTCAGGTGATTTGGGAGAATCTGGTGATACAGGACTTGTATCTCCTGGTGCTCTTTCGAATGATGTCTGTGAACTCTCGCTGGATTTGAGGATCTCTCTTCTTCGTCTCCAGTTGTCACGGAGATATTTCAGCTTCATGGTCATTTCTTCATCAGCTGGAGTTGTTTCCTTGGACGCGTCATGACCTGCAGTTATCTCCCCTTCTATGCTGTCGATACTTCCAGCTTTGTCCAGTGTGGCTGTCTCCTGGTGTCCCTCGGGTTGTTCAGCCTCACTGGGAGCTTGTAATCCTTTGGCAGCCTGTTCCATCAGCCGTGTCCTGGAGGATGGCCTGCCACTGAAGGATTGGACTCTCCTCTTCTTCTCTCTGGTGGGTCGTCTGTGGGCACTGAACAAGTGAACATCATGGATGTTCTCCATGTTGTCCTCCATGTGTTTCTCTTCCAACAGCTCCTTCCTCCTCAGTTTCAGAGTCTCCTGAAGGTCCTTCATGTCCTCCGGGCTCTCGGGATCATCTTCTGGAGATGTCTTCTCCACTTCCAGCTCCCGGTCCTCAGAGGTGATGATCCTTGTGGCTCTTCTCTGGGGTGATGAGAACCTCAGTTCCCTCCCTTGCGGAGAAGAGAAGCGAATCTGCTGTGTCTTGGCTCTTCTTCGCCTCAGTTTTGTACTTGAGGCTTTTGTAAACTCCATTTGTTTGACTTTCTCCAGCTGGGTGAGTTTCATGTCACCTAGTCCTTCTCCAGCATCTGGCTCAAACACGACAGATCTCTTCTCAACCGGGATCAAACTGCCAAACTCATCATCAAGATTCTCATATGATGTCACTGTTGGGACCTTTAAGGTATATTCTTTTTTGTTGGTTTCAACACCACACAAAATCTTCAGATCACCCAGGAGAAAGTCCTTCATTGCTAGAATCTCCTCATCCTGCCCAAAGTTTTGCATCTGTTTCAGGAACTCCACACCGTTAAGAACACGCTTCAGATTCATCCGCAGCTCATTTTTGGTCCTGTCAGCCTCATTGAGGAACTGGTCATGGTTCTCCAGGTTGTCTACCTCCGCTAAAAGCTTCTGTTCGTGTCTCTTGATGAGATGTTGCAGCATCCGTGACCTGTCCATGATGCTGGCTTTGATCTCGATGTTCCTCTCCTGCCACTGACGAACCCCCTCGTTGACTGAGTCAATAGAGTAAGTAATCCTCAGAGCCTCCCCCTGGAGGTGCATCAGCTTGGACATGAGTTTGCCCGTCACTCGACATGCCTCCTTCTTCATTTCATGTTTTTCCTCTTGTGTAGCACCAGCACCAGGACTTGACTGATCTGAAACTGCTGTGGAAAGTCCTGACTGCTTGTCTCCATTTAGTGACTTAGCCTGCCCAACAATTGTCTGTGGAACAGCATCTGTTTGTCCATGCCAGGTCTCAGATCTAGTCATGTGACCAACATGGACTTCCGACTGTTCCCCGAACCCTTCGTCTGGCTCGGAAGTCTCTGTGTGGTCATTATGGAGACTTTTCATTATTTCACTTAAGTAATTATCTGCGAGTCGCTTCACAAGCATATTAGTAACCAATCCAGACACACCTCTGACAGGCAGAGTCACATGACACCCACATGTAGGACAGGTTATCTCCCCTGATCCCGGCTCTCCTGTCACAAGATTCTGTAAGCAGGTTGAACAGAAGGTATGAAGGCAGGGCAGAACCTTTGGATCCTGGAAGACTGTCTGACAGAGGCAGCAGACCGGAGTCATAGGGGGCTGGCTTGGGTTCATCATCTTCTCTGGATTGTTTCAAGATGTCACACGTTACAGGAGTCTCTCATGTCACTGAATATCGTTTCTTGATTCCTCCAAGATATCACACGTTATTGTTAGACAACACCCTGTACTTGGGGTGTTTAGTTTCCGTGGTCTCTTTCTTGTCTGTCTACCTCATCATTAGTTGTGGTACCTGAAAATAAACAGAAAGTGATGCAGATATATACAGTTTATAGAAGGTATTTGGATGTCTTCTGAAATTAAACTTCGTCTCATTCATAGAGTCTCAACACTCACCCTCTGTTTCACTGTGTGTATCCCCTGCTTCCCCTTCTCTTTCTCCCCTCTCTCCCCTCACTTTTCATCCCCCTCTCTTCCTCTCTCTCTTGCTTCTTTCCCTTCTCTTACTCCCCTCTCCCTTCCTCCCCTCTCTCGTCCCCTCCTCCCTTCTCTCGTCCCCTCCTTTTCTCTTCCTCCCTCTCTCTTCCTCCCTTTCTCTTCCTCTCCCTCTCTTTTCCTCCTCTCTTCCATCCCCTCTTCCTCCCCAATGAGTGAGTTAAATTTTTTAATTTGAAGTCACATTATTTCAGCCACATCGCAATATGTGTGTGTTGCAACTCACTCACTCAGTATTAAACAGTCTTTTGGATGTCCCACACCCCTCTGTCATCTCATAAGATGGAATCAAACTAAAGACATCTACCCCCTTCCCACTGAGCTACCCTACCTCCCTGTAATATTAGATATGAAACAAGTGTTTTTTTCCATGTCAAATCTAGCTCAAATATGTGAAGGATTAATATACAAATTAAGCATAAATGAGCAGATAGATTTAAGAGCTAGAACATATACTGTGCACACATGACACATCAAATATGAATTGTCTGTTTGTGATGGGTGTATCAACCAGCTCTGGAAATATAATTTCATGATGTGTTATCAAGAAAGTTAATGGCCTATTATATAACCCTTTTAACAGGTATTGTCAGGTATTGATAGACACTATTATTGGCCAGTTATGTTCAGAGCTCCACATAAGCTGCTTATTTGCATAAAATATGCAAAATATATCACCATAACTCAATGAATTTTGTGTAGCTTGCGTACAAATACACATTACTTTTCTTAAGAATCAACAGTATGATAACACTATATGTTATTACCCTATTGTAGCCTTTTGAGCTTGGGTACTTGAATTTCAAGTGCAGGCATCACCCATACATAAACTCTGCTGCAGTGAATAATGCGTTTTATTACCCATAGGGTTAGAAATAACTGAGTTAATAAAAACCATATGCACACTAGTGCAAACATCGCTTCCTGCACACCAGAGCATTGTTTACGTCACCCAGATGGCATTGTTGACATCATTCAAATCTTATTATGATGACGTCACACTAGAAACGATGTCATAGCTGTTGATGTCATTCAACAATGTGGTTTTGTTAGACGGCGATCGTGATCAGTGCATTTTTCTAAACAGGGGGTCAAAACGATTAAGAAATAATGGGTAATAAAGGAATTATTACACTCAGATGTGTGTCATACTGATTTTACGAAACTCGTGTAAGAATTCATGTATTATCCTCACTCTCGCTCGGAAAATTCAAGAATTCTGATACTCATTTCATAAAATCAATATGACACACATGCTTGTATAATATTCTCTGAATAGGGCTAGTTCTCACTTACTGAAACTGAGACATGTATGGCTGTTGTCATTTTTTTATAAAATAACCAGACTAGATCCAAGGGAGTTCAAATATATTGAGTTCCCAAAGAAAACATGTAAATAAAATAATCAATGGCCTAAAGATTTATCTGGAGCCCAGTTTTATTGCAGATGTTTCACACTATAGTTATTCTTTACAAGCAGGCGCTTCTTTACAATGAGGATGCAAAGTAAAGGTCAGCAGAACACAGCCGCTAGCTACACCAGACTCATACCGGATGTATAGTCTCTTTACGAAAACATGATTCTTATCTGGTCTTAAGACTGATGACTTAAACATAATCAAGAATATTTTCAGTGAATCCTTATGCTCTTACTTTGGATGAGTTAGAATAGGTCTTCAGAAACCAAAGCTTGCTGTAAGAGGTGACTATGTTTGTCGTAAAAGACAACTAAAAGGGATTGGGCGGTCTGGCTTGTTGACTTGGTTGATGCATGTCATCGTATCCCAGTTGTGTAGATTGATGCTCATGATGTCAATCCCTGAATTGTCTGATCCAGACTTGATTATTTGCTGACTGATGAATATTGCTGGAATAATGCTGAGTGCGGCATTAAACAACAAACAAACATACTTTGGGGAATATATTTATTTAAAGGGAAAGGACTATGTAGCCATAATTCTTATTCTGGAAACTTGTTAATTCAAACAGTTTGCCAGTATTTTTTTCACATGAGTATCTGGTTGTTAGATGTTGCCTCATATTGAGTACGGGGGCACTGGTGGCCGTTGTCTGAGGCCCAGCGATTCACTGTGCAGAGTTGCGTCCCTTGGGCACACCAGAAGCCTAGGATTGTGGGTTCAAATCCCGGTTCACCCCGTTTATGTTTCTAGGTTGGTCAGCACCATACCCGTGCTCGTGGGTTTCACCGAAGTGGTAAACGTCTGAGACCTGCATCACTTCAGGCTTTCCTCCCAAATTAAGCTGACACACCGTGATATAACTGGAATACTGTTAAAAGCGGCGTTAAACCCAACTCACTCACTCACTCATGGTGTAGTGTAATAGAGCGTCTATCCAGAGTGGGGAAGGTAAAAATGTTAAGCACTTTTCATCATTGTGTGTAGCTGTAACTTGTACAGATATTCAATGAATACTACATAAACGCAATGCTTGTAGGTATAGAACTGCTTGTTGAGGAACATTCCTGAGCACACTGTCACTATGCAGACATTATTATTTAATAATGTTAATGTTTAGCCCGGATTGCTCTGACATTCTGTGGAGAGGGATCGTCTCAAAACTCAAAATCACCTTTTGCAGGAAATCTTTTACATTCCAAATCAGAGTTCCCAATTATACAATATCCCTTGATTTCTATTGGAAAAACAGTAAACAAACATATTTTGGTTCGATTTATGGATTGGAAAAGCAAAATAGGCCATAACAGATTAACTATGGTTATGAGTGAGTGAGTGAGTTGGGTGTAACGCTGCTTTTAACAGTATTACAGTTATATCAAGGCGTGTCAGCTTAATGTGGGAGGAAAGCCCGAAGTGATGCAGGTCTCAGACGTTTACCACTTCGGTGAAACCCACGAGCACGGGTATGGTACTGACAAACCTAGGAACATAATCAGGGCGAACCGGGATTCGAACCCACAATCATAGGTTTCTGGCATGCCTAAGGGTGCCTGACCACCCGATCCCTGACATGAAAGACCTTGAGCTTGAGATATGGGGCGAAACTATGTTACTAGTCTGTCATTATGTCAACAAGTGGCAGCATTTGTTCATACCTCCTTCACTATAACATGTAACTACTTTGTTTAGTTTTAATCTATCTTCATGTATCTGCAGGGGGCACGGGTGGCCCAGTCGTCGAAGGCGCCGTGATTCGCTGTGCAGAGTTGCGTCCTTTGGGCACGCCAGAAACCTATGATTGTGGGTTCGAATCCCAGGTCATCCCATTTCTAGGTTTGTCAGCACCATACCCGTGGGTTTGCTCGTGGGTTTCACCGAAGTGGTAAACGTCTGAGACCTGCATCACTTCGGGCTTTTCTCCCACATTAAGCAGACATGCCGTGATATAACTGGAATAATGTTAAAAGCGGCGTTACACCCAACTCACTCACTCATGTATTTGCAATGCAAATTATATAATGTATCTTCAATACTGGAGATAATATAGACAATCTACCTTTTACAACAAGCATGGGTTGCTGAAGACATATTCTAACCCGGATCTTCGGGGGTCAAATGATTTATGAAAATTACTTTTGACTTACCGGGTATACAGATATTCAATGAATACTACATTTACCTTGTGATAATTCCAAAGATCCCCAGAAAACCAATCATGGATCAGGTAATGAAGAAACCTTTTTTTTAATTATCTTTTATTTTACATAAATACTGAACAAAAAAACTTAAGAATTTTTTGGGGGGAGATCTTGAAATTGTGTGGCGAGTCTTCACTACAAAAATATTCAAGATCCCAAACTTTTTTGTTCACTATGTATCGGGGATGAAGAGAAGTGGGGGAGCTATAGGGGGTAATAGGAGGAGTATTAGAAAGCTAGGTTATTGTGCTCTGTAATGTCGATTGATGGAGGCTACAGTATATGACACGTTTGAACCACAAGACGCCCATCATAAAATAATCTGAAATCATCAAATGAAAGACAGAGGTCACCCATGATACATATGTCACACGTCCCCTGACTTGAATGTTCTTCTTGAGTTTCTGGTTGAAATGACCTTGTGTCACTGTTCATGAGTTGATAAAAAGCTCCACGTTGAACTGTGTATGAATGTGAATTAAAAAATGACTTGTGACGTTAAGAAGGTGTGACTGGAGGCTTCATCATTCACGCATGATCTGTCACTGTAGATGTGATAGATTTGTAGATTACAGGGCATCGCAGTGTTTTGAGAAGAGAAATGAGTTTGTACTCAGCTGCTCATACAAGTCTGTTGCCTGAATGAAGATGCATCGAGGTGCATGAATGCCTGTGGACATGCACAAACCACAGCTTAGTAACACCTGGTCACATTAAGGGTCGTTAAAACAGCCAGACTTGAACTCAGAAACCTCGCTCACACACAAAGTGTTAGGGACCAGTTCAAAAGTTCTATGTGGGATAATGAAAATCTTGATTCCTTTTGTTTAGTTTTATTCAACAGCATCAACTTTCCAGATTTCTAAATGTTTTATATAGTAAATGAACTAAACTGATCCTATATTCATATGCTGTTAAGAGTTGTCTATATAAAACAGCCAGTCTTTCCACAAGTTAGGATTTTATCATCGCTGGCAATAGTCCACCTTGTTTAGTGCCTAATATATGATGACAAATTTGATCTATTAAAAAACTACAAATGATTGTCAACACTTAGTAAATAAACTTCATTTGATAAATGTTCTGAAAAAAACTAGGGCAAAACATGAGAATGCATGACAAAAGAGGTCACTAAACTCAGAAATTCAACATTTTTAGAATTTAGTTTTTTGAGTGGG